CCTGAATTGTAAGTTTTCAAGACGTGGTTCCCTTTTTTTGTTGATGATGTGTACTAATTATGAGTTAGATTGTTCATGCACGGCGGGTTCACAAACAGGATCTGCGACTTTGATTGGAATAAGAACGACCCGTGGCTTATGATGGGTGCGGCGGAGGATAACCAGTTGCAGATTTTCCGGCCCTCGAGGAAGCTTGTGGAGCCGCTTAAGAAGAGTGTGAATCACGGTGATGTGTCGGATTGAGCTGTGTCTGTTTGTGGAATTCTTCTTTACCATAAAGATGTATCATGGCATGTCATCAAGGAAGGGAGGGGAAAGGAAAGAATGAAGTGATGGTTTGCTGTAGAGGAACTCCACCTCAGTTCGAATCCGGGAGGCAGCACCTCTTGCGTCCCACCAACTCAGTCTATTCAAAACGAAACAGCGAACAGGAAATATGAAGGAACTAGGCACAGAACACCCCACAATATCCCCCTTTCCAAACCCCCCAATAACTAAACAAATATAATCAAACAAACCCATCTTTTTCAATACCCAAGCACAACCTTTCTCTCCCCAACATTCCTCCCATCAACAACCAACACCCTCGCCCCCACCCCCTCTCCCCCTCTCACCTCCACAACCTCCTCTTCCCCGGGCAAAAGCGTAAAGTAATTCTTACTCCACATCAGCGATCCGACATCCCTCCCTACCGCATCAACAACATTCAAGCGCACAAACACCGCAGGTGCCGTCCCGGTATTCCTCAGCACCAGACGCGCTACTAGGTTAGTCCCAGAAGTTGAATAATAGGTGGCGGAGATGCTGAGGTCTGCGGCAGGGATGCTCGACAAGGCGGAATAATCCTCGTATTTGGCGACAGGTGTGTAGTACCAATCCGACCTGCCCCAGTCCAGGGTGTCGGGGGTGTGAGAGAGCCAGTATGTTTTCTTTAATAGAGTGCTGTTTCCATTGTTAAGCTGCAAGCGAGCTAGGACAACGGGGTCGGTCGTTTTATTCTGCCAAGTGGGAAGCCTTGCTACTTCGTGTGCGGAGTTTGGTTTTGTAATTGCAGCGGTGGTTTGGCTGGCTATCGTTGTGCCGTTTAGGGATACGATTTGCATGCTTATGATGCGTTGGTCGGAGACATATCCGGGAGTGTTGGGGACTAGAAGACGGTTGACGAGGGATACGGCTTGAGTTTCGTAGTTGAGAGTAAGGGTTTCGCGAGTGCCGAGGGCGTCTTTGGTGCCAAAGTAGGCGCCTGCTGGGCGGAGATAGTAGTCAAAGAGGTTCCAGTGAAGAGAGGGCCAGGCGTTGTTGAGCATCCAGTATATCATGCCTGTTGCGGGTCTCTCGAGGGCTTCGTTCCAAGTACTGATTAGGGACTCGAATTGGGCGCGCGTTGCTTCGTAGTCCATCATTTGTGCTTTGAGAACGTAGTCAGATAAGCTTGACGGGGCGCCATAGCGCGCCCAGAGACCAGTGTTGTAAAGATCGCGCGTGTGGAAGACCGAACCCTCTGTCGCCATGTGATAGAGACCTTTCTTTGGTTCCCTCCACAGATCTTCCAGATCAGATGGGGAGAGGAATCTCACTAGAGAATTAAGCTCAGGTGTGCCTGCTCCTGCGCTCAGTTCAGAGCCGAATCCTGCTGCACTGCCGTAGCGACGTTGAGGATCGTACCAATAGTTGGGAGGCTCCCAGTCATATGGACCTTGCATCTTCAACCCACTGTTATTGAGTTGTGCCGGTGCTCCCCACTGAATTGCGGATGCTAGAATGGGAATGTCCCAGTTTACGGCACTGAGAGCATCGAGGTAGATCTGTGTTGCTCTGTCATTCGGCCAAAAGTCACTTCCAATCAGGAAGCCCAATATGCTTGGGTGATGCCGCATCATCTCAGCTTCGTGCTTCATCGATCGCGCCGCAATTGGATAGTCAGGATCGGTCCATTTCTCTCCACTGCCAATATCATTGTAAGTCCACCCCTCCCATTTATTGCAGCATTCCCAGCCAGCAAGTATCATGATACCCATTTGATCGGCTAGATCGTAGAATTCCGGGTGTTCCTGTTTTCCTTCCGAGCGGACAGTGTTCAGACCCATATCTTTGACCAATTGAAATTGTCTTCTGGTCTGTTCTAGGTCAAATCGGAGGAAGATATCAGACGTGTAGCCCGCGCCCTGAGCTTGAAATCGATGGCCGTTGACGAAAAACGTAGTATCGTTGAAGCGTGGGTTCAAAGAAGACGTGACCGTGCGGATGCCGAAGTTGGTTGGTGGTGTAGAGTCGGAAACAGAATTGTTAGGGGTCGAAGCACTGCATTGAATGCTGTATAACGGCTGGCTACCCCATTGGTAAGGCCACCAAAGCTGAGGGTTGTCTACTTTTCCCCTGAACGAGATAGTTGATTGCTGACTGCCAGAGAGCCTGAAGCGTGACGTTGCACTCAAGATTGCGAGTTTATTAGGGTCGAAGATTGTACACGCAACACTGCCCTCAATATCGCCTTCCTTTGCCATGTTCTTGACGTCCACAAAGATATCGAGACCTCCATCGAGAGCGGCGTGTGAGGTGACCCTTGGGGTAGTTAGTCTAACTTGGCCCGTCCTTTTCAGTTGAAATGGTCGCCATATGCCGGTTCCGTTGTCTTGGGGAGCAGGGTTCCAGTCCAAGAAGGAAATAGCGAAGTCCCGATTGTAATCGGTCGGATAAGCTTTCACCAGGACTACGTTTTGTGCACCATTGGGCTGAAGGAGGTTAGATATATCGTACTCTATCCCAGCATACGACCCAGCCTGCGTTTCCTTGTTTACAATAAGTTGCCCATTGACCCAAATGTCCGCTCTTGAGGTGATACCATTGGTGATCAAAGTGTAGTAGTCATTTGGAGTTTTCTCGGCGATCACGACCTTGTCAGTTCGGTAGTACCATGGGATTCGGAATTGCGCGGTGTCTATCTTCTGCATATTGGTCGAGTAAAACAAGTCGGTGTCATTGTAGACGGCATTGCTGATGAGAGTGTTCATGAGAGTGGCTGCGGGTCCGATGGAATACCATGACGAAGTGTTGATGCCGGATTGAGAGAGCCTGATGGGGTCGTCAACGACGTTGGCAGAGGATATGACATTCCATTGTTGCAAAGTAGTTGTAGAGGCAAGGGCGCCTTGGGCAACCCATGAAAAGGCAGTTAGGAGGCGCATGGCCATGCTGTCTATGTCTGTCACATCGCGGGCATCACGAAGGATATATATGGTTGTAGACACCAAGGCGGGGAAGACTGCCGTGGATGATCAGATGTATCCTACCTTGGGTACAGCGGCCCTGTGCACTGTAACCTCATAATATTACGGCTGATTTGCATATGCCAGGGAAACTGTGACCCAATTCGTGGGAATTAGCATGGGTCAGGTTGTACAGCTTGCTAGGCAAGCGGTGTGAGTTTGATAATAATCGTGGCAGTTGCACCAGAATCTGCGGATGTACCGCTGTAATGTGTTTGTTGGCCATTCTTCATGTAGATCCAGCTCAAAAGGTATCATGGGCAGAGCAGAATGGTTCATAAAGCAAAGTGAGCTGAGTAGGAAAGAGAGTGGATAGGCTGTGTTTAGTGGATGTCGTTGGTCCAAGCGCAAGCTCCGAGGTACGTGCCGGGACAAGCTTAGGAACAGCTCCCCGCATTCGTCATTGCATCTCTCACCTTCACCATGTAAGGCAAACGACACCAACGTACACGACAAAAACAAATAAACATGCTCCTTCTCGGCCTCACCGGATCGATCGCAACAGGCAAATCGACCGTCTCATCTCTGCTCTCCAAGCCACCATACTCGCTTCCAATCATAGACGCCGACCGCATCGCGCGACAGGTCGTCGAGCCCGGTACAGCAGGATACAATGCGATTGTCAAATATTTCTTGCCCTCAACACCGGATCTGCTCCTCCCGGATGCGACACCCAAAGGCGCGCCGCTGAACCGACCAGCGCTGGGACGAAGAGTGTTTGGTGCTGGCGAGGAGAAGGAGCGCGACAGGAAGATGCTCAACAGCATTGTCCACCCCGCAATACGTAGGGAGATGTACAAGCAGATGGTATGGGCATACCTACGCGGCAACTGGGCCGTTGTGCTGGATGTCCCTCTTCTCTTCGAAAGCGGATGGGAGCGATACTGCGGCACCATTCTCGTCGTTGGAGTCTCAGACCCCGCGATCCAGATCCAGCGTCTGCGCGCTCGGGATTCACATCTTACTGAGGAGGATGCCCGGAACCGCGTTATGAGCCAAGGTGATGTGCGCGAAAAGGCAGAGCGTTGTTTGCGGAGGGGGCCGGGTAATGGCGTTGTGGTCTGGAATGATCACGACAGAGAGCATTTGGAGAAGGAGGTGCAGAGAGTGATGCAGGATGTTCGGAAAAGAAGTCCGCGATGGTGGAGCTTACTTCTCTGGGTGTTCCCACCGTTTGGTGCCATGGCGGGACTTTGGAGCTGGTATAAGATGCGGAATGTGCAGTTGCAATGGGAGCAAGAGAAGAAGAAGGAAAAGGCAAAGCTGTGAGGAGTAATTTGAGTTGTGCTACTGTGCTCGCCTTGGGTTGGGGTCAGCGCTGGTATTTGTCTTGATGTTTGCCGAATGTGCGCATATATATCCTAGCAGTTGGTCAAACAACATTGTATTACAGTAACTGGGTTTTAATATCGTCAACCTTGTGTGCATTTCTGTACTCAGTTCTTTTGCAGTGCCCAAGTTTTGGAAGTGCCATTCATGATCCTCTCATATATCACTCTGCAAACGCACAGAACCAGATTACTTTCACCACTCACCACTACCCAAACAATGCCCTCGAAACGTACTCGCAAACCACTCCTCTACATCCACCTCGTTACCCATCGGAAAAAACCAATCCCAAAACCTAAGCCAAAGCATAGTTGCCCACCAGCCTACAACACCTACATTTGCGAGCCCAGCACCTCGCACTCTCACTCCAGCCATCACCAAGCAAAAACATCTCACCACACCACCATGAGCTCCATAACCCCAACCTCCTTCATCGACGACGCCATCTCGCTAACCAACCGCCTACCCCGGGGCCTCGGTCCACACCAGGTAGCGCAATGGCTCTCGCAGCACGGATCCGACACGTCTGCGTACACGGGCAGCTTCATCGACGACAACGTGGACAGCGTGCTACGCGACAGCGGTGTATCATCCAGCCACGTGCGCGACCATGGAAAAGAGAAGAGGAAGCATGAAAAAGGGCATGTGTGGAACGAGCGTGTGCAGAAAGCGGTCAGCGGAGATGTGCAGCGGCATGTAGACAAGATACGGGGACTGCGTGGGTGTGTGCGGGTGCAGAAGGTGGGTGGTGTGTCGGAAAGCGAGAAGAAGAAAGAGAAGGTGTCTGTGCCTTTGCCGCGGGAGTGGGGGACATTTGTTATCAGGGAGAAGGATGGGCGGGTTGTGGTTGTGGACGAGGAGGGGGAGTTTGATTCTGGGGGGCAGCAGCAGTTACCAAGATGGGCTTGGGTTAGAGCAGAGTCTACGGTTCAGGCGTCTGAGTCTGAGTCTGTGAGAGGGGATGTGGAGCAGCTGAGACTGGAGCAGCAGATGGGTTCAAGCCGGTCCGTGGGGATTGCTAAGACGGCAAGGCGGAGGCATAGGGAATTTGGATGGAGCAACAGTCAAGGCTCGCCAACGAAGGTACTCTCGCCTATACCTGAGTCTGAATGCGAGAGTGGCTGCCTGCCTTCTGGAAGCGAGACGACCAGGTCACCAAGGGACTTCATGATGAGTGGTGCGAATGCATGGTCACCACACACTCGGCCTTCAGCTGTGTCTACAGTTGGCTCAGCAAGCGAGAGCTGGGACTACAGGAGCTCAAAATCGGTAGCTGAGATGGTGAAAAAGGGGTACAGGCACGTCAAGCCAGTATCTTGGGAGACTAGACACGCTGGAGACGCGTGGGAAGTGGATGGTCCGGGTCATTGGTACCAGAATAATGGGTCGACCTCCTCGAGCAAGAGCAAAAAGTCGACCAAGAGTTGCTCCACATACAAGGCGCCGACCGTAGAAGATGCATCTAGTACCTCGTCGGGAGGTGATGGCAGGAACTTGCCTCATCCGTATACTTGGGCAGCCAGCCCATCTGACAGCGTAGGCAACTGGAGTCGCAGACCAAAGGCAGCAGATAATCCTGCATGGACTGGTATCCAAGCTTATTCCTCGCAGCAACACGTCTTAAACAATACACCTACGACACGCTCGTCAAGCGAAGTAACATGGGACGGGTTCGAGCGCGACAAGACACTGAGTGACGTCAGCATTGCAGGTTCCAGCAGCACACACGGGTGTCCTAGTAATAAAAGCATGCAAAGCAATCATCATGACACAGGCCGGCGAAGCACGTCTCGCGAGCAAATACGCGCTTATAATCAGCATGGCTGGGAGGCGCACGGAAGTAGCGGAAGAGGCACTATCAGATACGCGAATGGCTTTGACGAGGACAACGCGACGTATCTAAATGCGAATTGGGGCGGAACACCGGTACGCGTGACTAAGTACTAGTCTTGTCGGTCTTCCGAGGCTGAAAAAAAAGTATATCGGACTATTTCATGTGGGGTTCGGCGATTGGCGTTGGTGCTCGGACTGGTACTAGAACCACGAAAGCGCGACTGATGACGGACCGTGTTGAAGAAACGAGATCTGGGGATTTTTAGTGGGGACTAGGATGAATTGATGGAAGATGGATTCTTTCCTTAAGGTTATGGCAGTAATACAAATGTTTCGTATGGAGTGGCCATAGTGGAGCGCAAAGGCTGAATGCTGGGAATGAGGGTGTAAGGGATACAGCACGGGGAGCCAACGAGTGTCCCAGCCTTTGATATATTGAGCGTGACGAAGCAGGCTTCGCGTGCAGAGGGCGCCTCGTCGCGCACAGCATTACCGGGAATCACGTCGCTGACATGCATTCAGCTCTACGCGTCGAAACATTGCCCGGGACTTGGAACATGGCGCGAGTGGGATGGAGCCAAAGCGCAGCACCGCTCCGGTCCACCAACCCCCCCCTTCGGAAGACATTGCTGTTACGCAAATGTCGTCCGGTGCCCGTCTCAAGAGGCACACTACTCGTTCCAGCAGAAGCAGCCAGACGCGCCAAGTGGGCACACGGGGAACGGGCAGTTCACGTCTTTTTGGAAGGCCGGATGGACGCATCGCGAGCGTGTCTATGGGGCGGCATAGGCTGGCTGTAAGGCATGTCTGCAAATAGCGCGGGTGGATCCAGAGGGTAATGGCCAGTAGACGGCATTGCATGAATTGCGCTCATCAGGATCAAGCCGGTTTCCAAGCGTCTGATTCGGAGAGACATCCCGGCAAGTGTCTGGGGTGGAGTGGAGATGACGCCCTCTGCGCGCGCTCGCCCCTAGAATACGTGAGCGACACGCTAGCCACCGACGCGTTGAGTGCTCCGTCTATTAGCTGGACCTGCCCACCACCACGGCCTTTTCTGCTTCATTCTCTCTTCTGCTCCTCCTGCTCCTCCTCTTCTGCTGGTCTCGAGAGTCGTGGGAATCCAAGCCGTTGTGTCTCTTCCACTCATTCCATACGCTGCTTCTTGCACTACGCTTGTTATTGTGTGCCCGGCTAATCCCAGAGTCACGTCGACACTCACGCCCCCACTACTTGTCTACCCTCACGCCCCAGCAGCGCCCGTCTACCCACCTCCAACACCACCACCACCACCACTACCACCCCAACTCCGAACCATTGCTGCTACATCTTTAATTTCTGCAACCCCGTACCGCCGTATTCTTCACCCTCTGTACCATGGCTACCTCGACACGCCAACCCTTTGCCGAGCTCGGCTCGTCCCGGCTGCAAGGACTGCACAGTGCAAAGAACCGCCAGAATTGTAAAGAACCTCGTCTGACATGCAGCTCAACATTGGCTAACTGTGCATTCACATAGCCATCTCCAAGCTTGCCCCCTCGCAGAGCTTGAAGCTCACCCCTGGTCCGTCAACGGGTAAGCGCCAGCGCGCGCCCGAGATCTTCGAGGATGCCGATTCCGAGAACGTGGACCCTCTTGTCTTTAGCAGCCCGACTAAGAAGACCAAAACCACCACCGCCATCACTAGTGACGCCGGATTTGTCAAGCCAGCCAGCTTCCCAGCCTTCACCTCGCCCGTTAAGACCAGCACTAGCCTCACTTCCACGCCTTCCGTCTCGTCTTCCCGCAAGGCCCGCTCATCGCCCAGCTCCACCAAGTCGACGCCCATCACCAACAGCCGTGGATCGCCAAAGAACAAGCGCCTTCATGCCATTTCCAAGCGTCGCGCCTCTACCTCGCCTTTCCGACGCGTCGACCCCCCGGCCTTTACCAAGAGCAGCCCAGGACTTCCCTTCTCCATTGACGCAGCACTAAGTGGTTCCATCTCTACCTACACCCCCAAGGCGCCCAAAGTAACAGCCACGCCCGTCTCCGCCCCCGCCCAGCAATCTAGCGCACTTGACGAAACCATGCCCAAGGCCTGGTTCTTTGAGATCCACGAGGACACCCCCGAGCAGGAGGCTTCTAACCTCATGGAACACTCTGCCTCTACCCTTGACATCTCATCCGACGACGACGTCGAGACCAAGACACGCAATGAGGACCGCGGAAAGGAGAATATCCCACCTCCAGACTTCCGTGCCTCGCAGCCCCGCTCTCAGGCAGCCACTCTAGTTGAGGATGACGGCTATGAGACGGAGATTCTTGGTGATGAGCCAATTAAGCGCCGCATTGTACGCAAGTTTGTCAAGGACTCGATGGATGAGGACCGCAAGCCATTGGGTGATTTGGCACCAAGCAACTTTTACGGCGAGGGATGTGATTCAACCTCTTACGTCACTGTCGATGCTGGTATCGAGAAGCCTTCGCGTCTGTCCAAAGAGGTTGCATTGTGTTCCGATATTGAGGAAGAGGAGTCATCACCAACACGAAAACCCGTTGTTGCGGCTTCATAAAATGTTGTTGTCATTGTTGTTTTCTTCGTTTCTCTTCTCTTCTCTTGTTGCTTAGCGCGTTTAGGATACCTCACTCGGCGTTTATTGGTTCAGCCATATATTCATAGTCTACGTCTCGAAATGATGAGTACACGACTGATGGGATGCAGTTTGCTTTGTGTTTTTTTGTTTTTTTTTAAAAAAAACGATACCTTTCTAGCTAGTTGCCTGTTGGCCTTTGAATAATCGAAACATCTTCTTCACACGATTGATCTATTACAGATCTACTTAACTCATCTTGTCCAGTAAAAAGTAACTAACATGATATGCATCCATGTCACAACTTCCACCCCCTCGCCTTCGCAAGCCCAACCTCCTGTCTAACCGCCAAATCCGCAAGAATCTCCTCACTGCCCCCTCCCACCACCATCATCCTCAAATCCCGACTAATCTGCTCCACCACCGCCCCAGGACCTCCACCCTTCTGGTACCCCGCGCCCCCAAACACCTGCTGCGCCTCTCTTGCCGCCAACTCGAGTATCCTGCCCCCATGCACCTTACACAGCGCAATCTGGCCCGCAATGCCCGGATCCATCCATCCCTCTGGCGCATTCTGCACATGGAACGCCAGCTGCTCCAACCACGCCCAATGCGACTCGACGTACCGTGCCAGCGTCGCCAGCTTACTTCTTATAATCTGGTTTTCGACGAGGGGCTTTCCAAACGTCTCCCTCGATCTCGCATACGCCATGGATTCAGACAGACAGGTGCGGGCTTTGCGGTTGCAGGAGACGGCGAGGATGTAGCGCTCGCGGTTGAAGTTGCGCATGATGATGGGGAAGCCTGCGTTTTCGGGGCCGACGAGGTGGTCGGCGGGAACGACGACGTTGTCGAGTTCGACAAAGGAGGCGCCGCCAGCTTTTTGGCCGCTGTTGGCGATGCGGCGGTGGGTGATGCCGGGGGAATTGGTGGGGATGACGATGAAGGAGAGGCCTGCTGCGCCGGGCCCGCCGGTGCGCACGGCGGTCGTCATGTGGGTTGCCCAGGGGAAACCGGTGATCCATTTTTTGTAGCCATTGATGGTGTAGGTGGATCCGTCTGGGGATTTTGTCGCCGTGGTTTGGAGGTTGGCGACGTCGGACTGTTGCATGGTGTTAGCCATGCCTTTTTCTTTTCTTTTCTTTTCTTTCTGTAATACTACCAAGTATCACACATCCAAGAAAAGATGAGAAGAAACGGGGGGGGGGAAAGAAAATGAGAGAAGAGAACAACATACACCACCACCCGGCTCCGTCACCCCAAGACAAAAACTCGTCTCCCACGTAAACAAGCCCGGCAACCACCTCCTCTTCTGCTCCTCGGTCCCAAAATGCACCACCGGCGGTACCCCAATCACACTCGCGCCCGCCAACGCCGTCGCCACGCCCCCCTCAATCCTACTCGCCTCATCATTCATAATCAGCAGATGAAACGCGTCCAGCTCTTTCACCGGTATCCCTGCAGGGCCCGGTACATTGGCTGGCCGATACGGCTCGGGGACGTCTGCGAATGCGAAGCCTGTTTGCGCCCATTTGAGGCGTTCGGCGGCGGGCGCTTCGCCGGCTTCTTCCCACGAGAGCATGTATGGTTTTACGTGCGTGTCAATGTAGGTGCGCAGGGCGGCGCGCAGTTTACGGTGCGAGGAGGTGTAGTAGGGCGAGGAGAGCGAGGTGTACCATGATGGTTCGGCCCAGGGGCCTAGGTTGCCGTAGGTTTCTTGCTTGGGGGATGGCATTTTTTTTGAGAGGATGAGGTTGGGATGGAGGAGATGTTTGGGCCCTTCTTATCACATTGTAGGTGGGAATGTTGCTGGTGCTGATTGCCGATGTTGCAGGATCGACGAGCTGAGAGGCTTACCGCGGTTGATGATGCGGAGTCGCTAATTGGGGATTGCGGGGAACTATTTCAAGTAGCCGACTTGGTAAGCTGTTTATCCATCTCTTCAGCCCTGCATATAGACAATCACATGACAGCCGGGGAACATGTACCTGTCTGCCTGGTTCCTGCATATAAAAGTTTTTTCTTAACCAATATACAAGGATAACTTTTATTTCGAACGAGTTAGCTCAGTTAGCTCACATACCACACAACAACAGACAACATGGATGAACAAGATTCATGGAACCTGCGAAGCTTATTGTCATTTCCAAATTAGATACATGAAATCATAGCTTCCGGCATGCGCTGGGATATTATTTTATTTATTCCTTCGTGTCCTCGTCCAGAAGCAACACGTTTACCTGACGCAGTAACCACCGTCAATGAGGAGATCGGAGCCCTGTAATTGCGTTAGCCATTGAATACCAACAAATATATTAAAAAAAACTTACAGTGCAGTACGATGAAGCATCAGAGGCAAAGTAGACGTAGGCACCCTTGAGCTCAGTAGCCTTGGCGTCACGGCCCATGGGGATCATGGAGTGCCACAGCTTCTGAATGTCCTGGGGAACAAAGTCGGACAGACCAGTGTCAATGTATCCAGGGGAGATGGAGTTGACACGGGCAAAGTCCCTCCACTCGTTGGCAAGCGACTTGGCCATGTGTATGCAGCCAGCCTTTGCGACGTTGTATGAGGTCTGCTCCTGAGGGAAGTTGGCAATGTGGCCAGACATGGACGATGTGATGATGAGGGAGCCAGTCTTGCGCTCGCGGAAGTGCAGACCAACGGCACGGGCGCAGTTGAAGGTACCAGTCAGGTCAGTCTCGACAACCTCGTTCCACTGCTCAACAGTGGCGTCGAGGATACCGTTGTCGGCAGTCTTGCCGGCGTTGGCGATGAAGACATCGACCTTGCCAAAGTCCTTGATGACGTCCTGGACGAGCTTCTCGCACTGGGCGTACTCGTTGACCTGGCACTTGTAGGCCTTGACCTTGACGCCATACTTCTCGCTCATCTCCTTTGCATTCTTCTCGGCACCCTCGGCGCGCGAGTTGTAGGTGATGGCGAGGTCAGCGCCAAACTCGGCGCATCCGCGGGCAGCCTCTGTGCCAATACCGGTAGGGCCAGAGGCACCAGTGACGATGACGACCTTGCCCTTGAGGTTGAAGAGGTCCTTGAGCTCGGTTGCTTGGGGAACGGGAATCATTGTGAGGGTGGGGGGTTGAATGAAGACTCGGAGGAAGATTCAAATGGTGGCAAGGTGCAATTGAAGCTGAGAGTATGAGGATGAAGAGGGCAATGGAGGGGCAGCGAGGGGTTCAAGTAGTGTTTGGCTGGACGACATGATTGCGAGGCTCGGGTTAGTGGTTAGTGAGGGGCGCTGGGTCCAGAGTGACGTGTAGCTCGATTCAATAGCGGCGCGACGTCATGCTTCCGGGGATGATTCGCCAATTGGGTCTGTTTTGTGGATGTTCTGGGTTTACGGCGTTCGGCTGGGATGCTAGCTGGTGATGGTGGGGGTGGTGGGTTGGTTCGGACAGACGTGACGTTAGCGTGGCCGTCTGCTAGTGCTAGCCCGCCCTGTGTTCCTGGGCCTACTTATCAGGCGTCTTTGGCCGATGCAGACGGCGCATGCAAGGCCATCTGCATTGGACATGGCTGCAGTTCACCTTGGTTTGCATGTCACTGCGACATGGCGCCACTCGCGAGACGGGCGTGGTGGTCTACCATTTCGCAGGCATGTGTGTCCGAGGACCCCGCCATCAGTGGCATGGCATGCACTGTCAGCGATTACCATGTTGACAAAGAGCATTACAAGTCCAACTAACATTTGACAAATCGGGCTGTGGCTATGTTCTGGCTACACGGCGTGTCTGCAGTCAGGGTTACTCAGCTCTTTCTCTGTTGGTCTGGGTAATGCGTGTATGTAATGGAGCATGGCCGTGTGCCTGCGCGATGCTCGATGCTCGATGCTCATCGGAGAACTCTGATGGACCCTGCATGTGTAGCAGCACACGAACAAGGAAGAGGGCCGAAAATCTTTGCGCGTGTGCAAAGCCTTCAGGCTAGGTACACGATGCGGATCCGGCCATGCGTGGAAGTGCCAGGTGTCGATGCAGAGCATCAGCGATGCGGTATGTACTGCTCTCCAAGCATGCTTCTGGATGGTGGGCCATTGTACTACGTACTCTACGACTAAGTCCTAGTAGCGCTGCTCGCTCGCCGCCCGCCCAAGGCCAGCGGCTCCTTGTTTCTCCGGCACCGCCCAGGCACGGCACGTGACGACAACTTACTACGCATGTGCCAGCCGCGACACTGCATCGCCGTCGTGATGGCTCGTCCGGCAGTGTTTGGCGCGGCGAGTCATGCTGCAACTCGATTCTGCTGTCGCGACTCTGGTTGCGAGCATCTGAGGCAAAGACGGACCCGATTAGCCAAGCAGCTGCCACAGGGCCTGATGCGCCCCTCTGATTCGCAGCCATGAGAGAGCTCTCGTCATCCTTTTGCTCTCCTGCGTCACCCTGCCACCCTGCCACCCTGCCCCTCCAGCCCAGTTGACCGCAGGCTGCTTGTTCCACGACCCTCTCCCAACACGTCGCAGCATACAAATCCACACCACACCCCCCGCCCCGCAGCAATGGTCCAAAACGCCCTCTTGCCCAAGCCCATCCCCGCCGATGCCGTCACCGTCGGCCAGCTGCTCACGGACCCCGTCCACCCAGAGCGCGACTCTTTCTACCCCGACAAGGCCCACTCGGCAGTCGATGACCTGAACGATTTCCACATCCAGCTCCGCTACAAGGATCTCTACTCAGTCGACACCGAGGGCCGTTTCATGACAAACTATGGCGCCAAATTCGATCTCGGACGGATATACAGACAGCCCAACCTGCTCACTGTCAAGGCTGAGCAGATGGTCCAATGCACCACCCAGAGCCCTACAAAGGCCTTCGAGGCCGTGTGCAGCGATGCCGATGCCCGCGCCTGGATGGCCGAACAGATCCAAGCAGGAAAGCCGCTGTACATTGTTCTTGGTCTGACCGAACTCAAGAATGCCACCTTCAAGCGCGCCAAGCTCCGTGACGCCGGCGCCTCTAACCGCCTCAACGAGTTGCCTCTCGACAAGGATGCCAAGGTCCCCCCTTCTCTGCGCGGAAGAACTGGAGCCAGCCTGGGGGCAATTGGCACCGAGCCCTTGATATCAGGCGTCTTCGGCATGGACGTGAGGCGCATTGTCGCCAGACTCACCACCCCCGCAGAGCCACATCGCCTCGAGGATATTGGATACCGATGGTCCTACTACGACGTCCCCGGTTCCGCCAACAAGGAGCAATTGGCAGTTGGTCTAGGCCAGTCGCTCAAGGCCAATGAACTGCGCCTCATGCTCGACCTCAGCAAAGAAGACGTCCAGGATAATCTCGATGCCATAAGCAAGCTCAGTCTCGATGCAATGAGCGCTACGGCTAGTCCCATGCTCAAGCCTAGCACTCCCATGCTACGCGGACGATCACCTTCCCCGCACCCCGCCATGCTCCGCTCATAGCATCACCCGACCAACATGTACCCCGCAACAAGCCGTGTCTGATGGTGTTGACTTTACGTCTTTGTTGGAAAAATTAGACTCTGATGGATGCTCTTGCCGTGAACCATGACCCTTACGATCTGGCATCTATTCTTATGTAATAATCATATACGCATCAAGTCCATTCTTGCTGGTCTCTTGACATGTCAGTGCATACATTGGCGAGAATACATTTCATCTTTTTGTCGCACACTTTTATGCAGTGAATCAGAATTTGTCAACTTCACACACACCTATCATTTCTATGACCACTGCTGACTGTGATGAAGATGTGGCCACATTCAATAAGTGCTCTAGCTTCGACTGTGATAAATGTAAACTCATTATGACCGTCTTGTAATTCTCATAGAGATGTTCAGAAATTGTAACTGCGAAAGAGAAGGCTATCCATTGCCTACTATAGAGCGTGTTCTGCAGGCATAGTTGTAAATGGAGGTCACCGTGCAAGTTGGTGATTAAAGGCGCAATCTGGCTAGGCGCGGGAGAGGCGCGCTAGCGGCTACAGGGGCTCGGTAGCGTAAATAACGCACCCCCGTTTTGCATGAACTACACTACACAGCTTACCATCATCACATGATTCATTGCTTTACCTGGTCCGACCACTCCACTCGCTTTCGCTTGCTTTGGGTCTTGTTGCAGAGTGTTGTCTGCATGTAGAGGGCAGGGGTCGCTCTATATAAAGTGTAAGTCACAATCGTCGTGGGTCTTTTATCGAACAGCAAGAAAGCCAGGCTTACTCGAATGCTGCAGTCCAAATTGTTATTACTTCTTTGCACACAGTTTGATTTCATAGCATAGCTCGAAAAGAAGGCCTAAGAGAACCTTGTCACAAAGCAGATACGTTGCAGTATCCTTGAAACAAGAGCAGGTAACTTACTCCCGTTGATATACTATCTTCGATATCACCAGCCATGGACGCTTCAAACATGTCCTTTGAAGCAAAGATTGCCATGGCGTTGGGAGGATCTAGTTGGCAAAGTCTACAGAACAGTAGCACTGCGGATCCCGTTACTACAGTTGAACAGGCAGCCGGTGCGGATGAAGAGTATGAAGACAGTGATGATGATGATGATGATGATGATGATGAAGACGGACATGGCGGAAACGGAATTCCCATAGTGGACGAGGTTGTAGATACGGGCGCAGCTCAGGAGCCAGAAGTCGATAAGGCCCTACTCCAGAAACGTAAGAAAAGGCTGGAGCGGTTTGAAAAGACCATTACCAGAGATGCGGGAGAGGTGGTTGAGACAATTGACATTGCCTCGCTCACACCCATCTCACAACAAGTGTCATGGGACCAGGACCCAGAGCTTCTTTGTTGCTACAACTGGCAAGCCTCTACAGATGGTACCAACACTATCTTCGGTACGTTATTCTTAACATTGTTCATTGAAGTACTCACATCTCCCCGTCAGTCCCGGGTGAGCCAGCAAAATGGCAGCAGCCAGCTCTACCACATCATTTAGAGCGAGACAGCGGTTTCCAATACCAAGATTACAACTATGCACGGAAGCCAAAGAATCCTTATTCTCCTATGTTCCAGGCACTCAGCGTCATGAACCCCAATTTTACGTTCCATGACGTTGACATTCTGGCCGATCGCAACAATCTCCGCGTGTTGCTCGAAGTTGCTCAGGGCAAAGCCAACGGGCCATTTCGATTAAACGTATACCTGGTCTTCAACACTCTAGTCATTGTACGCCGCGAGTCACGTTGGTGGAAACTTTCAGACGGCCACAGCTACGGCATCAATTTCGAGCGAGACTTTACCACGACAACGGACGACATGCGTGACGCAACAAGCCACTACCGCGCCATCCGCTACAAAATGGGTCCCCTGAACGTAGTCTGCCGCTTCGAAGCAGACGCCTACGATGACAATATGAGAAACGACAACCTCACAGCATCCGAGGCCGCAGCCACAACCGGCAACGGTGCAGGCCCAACCACCAGGCCCACCTTCAACTACAACGCTCCCATCCGCGTGCTCCAAAAGGGCCACATCGTCCCCACCGCGCAAATGGTCGAGCTAAAAACACAAGCCTACCACCCGGAAAGCAGCACTCTAGTACAGTGCCAAGACCAACTCTGGTTCGGCCGCACATGCCTCTTATTCACCGCCCCTTACGACAAAGAGACGGGCCGTGTACAGCGCGTAAAGAAGGAAGATGCAACAGAGCGCGTAGCGAGGTGGGAAGAAGCGCAGCAAGAAGCGCTCCAGAAACTCGTTGCGCTACTCATTCGCATCCGCGCCGTGCTCGTGCGCGAACGCAGACCCAACCGCGCCGTTGTTCTTGTGCGAGAAGCAAAGAGCGGACCCCTCGTGCTGCGCACAATGGAGGAGAGAAGTCACGCCGTCGACAGGGAAACTCGAGAACTCTTCTGGCCGCTGCGACCTCAGTCGTTTGCCGGATATCGGGGACGCGCCGCCGACCGTGGTAGGGGGTCTTTTCACAGTGAGCGCGGTCGTGGGCAGCGTGCTGGACAGGGTGGTAGAGGTAACTTTGCCCCTTCTTTTCCTCCTCCTCCTTTTCATGGAAGGGGCCAGTATCCTCAGCAGCAGCAGCAGCAGCAGCAGCCGCAGGGTTGGGTGCCGCCGTATCACAATGCTACTCGTGGCCGTGGACGGGGCCAGTTTCGTGGCGGCGCTTCGTCCGGTCCGACGTATCATGGTGACCAGAGGTCGGATGCGGGACAAGGGCGGGGTGCGGGCAGGCCGAAACATGTTGGTCGTGGTCAAAGCCAGACATGTCCTTATTGAGGACATGCGTGGGTATGAATCATCTTTGCATGTGGGAGTTTTTTTTTTTTCCTTCGGCATGTTCCTTTTTTCCCCGAAACCTTTTGCAATCTTTGTAGATCTGGCAGAAAGGATTTGTAGCAGTGCGGGCGACGAGCACGATAGATGGCGCCCGAGTCCTTTGTTTCGCAACTGCCATGTATGTGTATAAGAAGTTTTTTTCTTTGCCAATCATGTAGGGCTTTATAGACCGGAAAACTGGCTTCATAATCGAACAATGATTCTGTTTTTTTTTTCTTACCTTGTGTCTTCTCGAGACTGATGAAATTCATGAAAAAGTCTCCCGCAAAAAAAAAAAAACAAAAAAAAACGATTGCTACTACGCCGAGAATCATCAAATTCATTTCCCATAGTAGAGAAAACAAAAGAACCCACACCCTCTCCCCCAACCTACGCCTGAAACCCCTTTCCATAAGCCGTCGTAGCATTCAACCTCTCCAAAATATACTCCCCGGCCCTCACCGGCCTCCACCTAGCCTCGCCCTCGGCCTCGTCCAAACAGCCGGGCAACGTCTCAACGACAGCATCATAATTGACGGAAAAGAAAAACGGGACACTATACCTCTCCTCGCGGGATCGATTCACGACGCGATGCACGGTACTCTTGTACAAGCCATTTGTCCAGCGCATGAGGAAATCGGCCACGTTGACGATGAGGGTGCCGGGGAGGTGGGGGGCAATGTACCAGGAGCCCGATGGTTTGAGGATTTCGAGGCCGGGGGTGGAGGAAGGGAGGAGGAGGGTGAAGCATTCGTAGTCGGAGTGGGCGCCTAGGCCGATTTGCTGGTCTGGGGTTGATGTAGGGGAGGGGGCAGGGAGGGGNAGGGGGGTGGAAGGGGGTGGGTAGTAGAGGAGGCGGGCGATGCCGCCGGGGTGCGTGGTTAGCGGGTCGAAGTGGGATTCTGGGAGGGAGAGGGAGAGGGCGAAGAGGCGGAAGAGGTGGCGGGCTAGGTTTAGGACCTACGCATATATGTGTTATATTAGTGTATGAGGCGAAAGGGGGGGAGGGGGTTGTATGTGACAGATGGAACGTACGTTGCCGTAGTAATCTTTTACTTTGGTGTAGAATCCGGGGAGATCTTCTTCTTTGGGCCACATGTTTGCGTTGCCGGTTGAGCCATCGAGGTTCTTGTACTGGCCGTCGCCGCCGGTGGGATCGAGGTCGGCTTCGTAGGCAAAATTGAAGACTTCCTTTTCTTCCTTGTCGCCTGCGATGGAGGTATATTCGCTCGGTTCCCAGCCTAATCCGAACTTGTTCTTCTTCAAATGCAGCTCTTCTTTCTTTTCAAGTGGTAGCTCTTTCATGAAGCGCTTGGCTTGGTGCAAGATGCCGTCGCAAGCCGACTTTGGGATTCGGTGGTTGGTGATGTAGAAGAAGCCGGATGTTGTGCATGCTTTACGTATTTGGTCTGCAACTTTCTGGCGCTCGGAAAGGGAGTCGGAGAATGATGGTTCGAGATCGATGACTGGTATTTCAAAGTCTTTGTCTGCTTCTTCGTTTTTTGTTGAGAGTCGTGATTGCAGATATGCAGCCGCTCCGTTACGTGCTTCTTCGTAAGTTATTCGATCCGTTTCGGAGGGTTCTGGGCACATGATGGATGGTAGATGAAACAGTTAGACTTGGCGTTAGGTTTAGAGTGCTCTTCAGTAAGCCCAAAAGGGAAGGTTCAAGATCAAGTGTAGGAGTACAAGTAGACCGGCTGTAAATACTGTGTTGTTCACAGAGAGGGTCTCGATGGAGCTACTTGGGTGATCGGTGAACCTATATATTGCACAGCGGCCAATGGCAAGCCCTGGTGATCGTACACTGCCACAGTCTCCAAAGTTTACAGTATCACAGTGTGGAGTAATACAGCTGATAACGGGGAGACAGACTTGGAGTCGAAATGTGGGGTACCGGTATCGGCGATTGATCGGATCTAAGACTCGTCCGTACACGTGAACCTCCATGGTACATATACTAGTTCCCCTCGCATGCAACGAGAAATCTGTCAATACCCCGCATCCTACTCATGGCTACCTCTTCGAATACTACCATTCTTACGAATGGACGCTGCTTCAATGCTGGAGCAGCTGAACAGCAAGTTCTCTCCAATTCGACTATAATCATCCGAGATGATAAGATTAGCTTCATTGGTAGCCCAGATGCAAAGGAAGTCCAATCACACCGTGATGCTGGCGCAACCGTTCATGATCTTGGGGGTAAACATGTTCTGTCTGGGTTCATCGACGCCCATATGCATTTCCTAATGCTGGGTCAATCGCTGGACAAGGTTGATTTGGATGATGCCAAGAATTTGGAGGATATTCGGCGGCTCATCTCAGAATATGCAAAAGCCAACCCGGATAAACCGCGCATTCTGTGCAAAGGATGGATGCAATCGACTACCGACAATCTGGCCAAAGCCAGCATGTTGGACGATCTGGACCCGAGACCGATATATATCGACGCCAAAGATCTGCATTCGTGCTGGTGCAACAGTGCAGCGTTGAGAGAGATGGGCGTTCAGGATATGGAGAATCCGGCAGGCGGCGCCATTGAACGAGACGAGCAGGGAAATGCGTCAGGTCTCTTGAGCGAAGCGTGTGTGATATTGATTGTGTGGCCATATCTTGCAAAAGCCACGCCATTGGAGGATAAGATGAACGCTCTTAGGGCTGCAATCAACGCGTACCATGCAGCTGGGGTTACAGGATGCATAGACATGGCCATGGATGAGCCCGCCTGGGAGAGTATCCTCGCATTGAAGTCTGCCGAGGGACTGCCGCTTCGATTTGCAGCGCATTGGTGCATTCTGCCTGGCGATGGCGAGGAGCATCGACTACGACAAGTCGATCGAGCTATCAAACTGAGCCAAGAATACAACAGTGAAACCAGCCCAGATCTGAAGATTGTTGGCATCAAGATCATCTGCGATGGCGTCATTGATGCGTGTACTGCTGCACTGTCAGAACCGTACACTTCAAATGGGCATTTCGAAGGCCCAATCTGGACCCCTGAAATGTTGGAACCCGTTGTCAAGAGAGCGACCGAACACGGACTGCAGTGTGCACTGCATGCCATCGGAGACCAAGCTATCCACAATGCTGTCGAAGTCCTGGGAAAGTATGGCAAGCCCGGCCAGCGACATCGCATCGAGCACCTCGAGCTCACTGCGCCCGAAGATGCGAAGCGGCTTGGTGAAGTGGGCATCACGGCAAGCATCCAACCTGTGCACTCTGATCCGGCCATCCTCCGTGCTTGGCCAAAGCTATTAGGCCCTGAACGTGTGAAGCGGGCTTTCGCGTATTCCGAGTTTGCGCATCATGGGGCGACTCTGGCGATAGGCTCTGACACGCCTACTGCACCATATGCGCCACTCCCCAACCTGTACATTGCAACAACTCGCAAGTCGGCTCGTCAAGCAGATGAAGGCGACCCACCTGTCAATGAGCATTTCAAGCTCGAGTTGGCACAGGCGGTAACTGCGGCCACTCAAGGCGCAGCTTACTCGTTTTTCTCCGAGGACCGTTTGGGCAGCCTGGAGGTTGGCAAAATGGCTGATTTGTGTGTGGTGGATATGGAATGGAAAGGAGAGGATCTGCTCAAAGCCAGAGTAAGCGAGACCTGGTTTGGGGGGAAGCGTGTGTATGCAGCAGCATAACTGCATGAGTAGCAGAGATGAAATGAGAAAAGTACAACATGCATCATGGCAAACTCACGGCCGGCGGCTCGTTGTCATTGCCGAGAGATGATGGTCGCATAAATACCAAGGTGATAAGAATTGCTTTGCAATGAGTCTTGTCTCTCTTGGCCAGTCTTCCTTCTTGTTCCAAGGGCAGTGGTGTGCAGAATGACATGCAGTGCCTTGACACCGTTTCGTGAACTGAATTTTCACCAGCAATTGCTACAGCCCGTCTGATACGCTCCACGTGGGCGTCGCTGCTATCTCGGCGGCAGCTCAGCGAATCTTTGTTGCCATGTGGTCGAGTTGCAACAGATGACAGGGCGTGTTAGAAGTGTCATCCATGTATCAGCGATGGCCCTAAAACCTCAGAGCCAGGGCCGCGACACTCGGCGTTTCAGCATCTCGACTCTACCTACCAAAACTACAATGTGACGTAGAGAGCGGAACACGACTCCGCGTGTTTCCTGTCTGATTGTGCTCGCTAGAGGCGGTGCCAATTTCCGCTGTAGGCAAAATGTCTGTTGCAAGGCATCCTGGGCCGGGTTGGTTTCTATCACGGTGGCTTAGACGTGCGGAAGGTGAGCCCCCAGGAGCCCGCGAGCCAAGGCACGAGTTTAGAACGTTTCGCAAGCCGATCAGTATCGCGATGTAGACGGGAGGATGCGTGCAGATATATTCGTTGATGGTCGCGTCCCATGGCCCACAGCCCAGTTTTGTTCATTCACTCACTCTACATCTGCATTGCCGTCTACTGTTGTCGGTTAGCACTCGTTTCAATTGCACTGTTCCCACACAGATACATATCAAACCAGCCAACATGTTGACAAACCGTCGATCGACCATGATGGTTCCACCAAACCGGTTGCCAAGTTGGCACCCTCACTCCAAAGCCGCGGCACCACACGTCGCGTCTCCAGCACCGCTCACATCAGAAGCCGAAGCACCTCAAAGTCGCACTCAGGCTCTCCTTACATCGACATCGCCAACATTGGCCGGCTACCGCATCATTAGCGTCGTCGGCGCAGTACACGGCACGACGTCGGTAACGCGCAAAGACAGCAAGTCTTTCATCAAGAATATTGCCTCCAACTTCAGCAGCAGCTGGGGAGAGGCGAAGACGATAACGAGCATCATATACCAGGCCCGCGACCAGGCAGTCGAGCGGCTTATCAACGAAGCAATGAACAAAGGCGCCAACGCCGTGGTTGGACTAGAAACCAGGGAGAGCGAGGTACTTGGATGTATCGTCGTCAGTGTGAGCGGCACAGCAGTGTATGTTGAGAAGGAGAGCGCGACCAAGCGAGACAGTGCACAAGAGGCGAACCCGTTCCGATGACGGTATACGCATGTCATCCAAGGATGGGAATGGGAATGGTAATGAGGGCAGGACATTGTGTTTTCAAGAAGTTAATTGTGAATACGGGTATTGGGGTTGCGCATTGGCGTTTGGATTTAGTGGATACCTGGGGTAAATCCAACATTGCACGCACTTTGACAGTGTGTGTGTGTGTGTGTCTCATGAGTTCATGTCCTCTTCACAAGCGCGACATTGGTGTTGTAGCCTTTTTACTGTACCAAGGCCCTCGTTAGCACGACCCTAGTACGAGAGGGCATTTTTTTCTTCCGGTTACTACTACGGACCATGTTGCCCCGAGCAAGCCGCAACTCCAGGGCATAGCAGCGTTCCTAAGCTCCAAGCAAGAGGAGGGCTCTGGGCGCCAAACCTTCTTGAGCACTCGGCAACGGTCTTGTGGCTAGCACTAAAGAAGCATTTTAACCGGCGACGGTCCGGCCAGCGGGGGCGGAGGCAGAGGAGAAAGCCCAGCTCTTTCTTGCTCCCCAGTTTCTCTCCGCCCCGTTGGCCTCGGCATGCGGAGACACCCTTGCCCCCGCGCTTCTTACTTGCTTGGATGCACACAGCACATCCTCTTGGCTCAGCCTCATCGTGCGCACCTCCATCGAGCCCATGGCCAATCGCCCGTTGCTGCCAGCCCAGCAGTGCGCAGACTGCACGTCCTGGACGCCGCCGGTGCATGCTGCCAGCCAAGAGGGGTCGCGTCACTCAAGAGGGGGCGCTGCATCCGCCGACATGGATCGCCAGGAACTAGCACTCGACTTCATCCATTTCTTCCGTTGGCGAACCCCCACATCCTCCAATAACCGCCCGCCAATTCTCCAGCCGCTCGTGCATACACGCCATGCAGCCGGAAAATGTCATGACGACTGCACTGTACCCCAAGGCCGCCATGAAGATCGGCCTACATTCATCCTGTCGCCAAGGGCCAGCCTCCCTGACCACGCCCATGTTCCGGGAAATGCTCACTTTACCCCGGCTCTCTGGCGGCCGACTATAAGATGAACATGCTGCTGCGGCAGTCAACTTTCCCACTGCCACGGCCAGCAATCTGCCAGTCTTCTGATCGCGAAGATGGTGCTTCTCAAGGGCTTCGTCGCTGCTGCCTGCGCTACTACTGCGCTCGCGGCAGACATTGTCGTGCATTCCTCTGGCGGCAACCAGACCGGCAAGCATGGACATCCCTATGGATATGGCTTCCTCCACGAGGTATTTGTGCTTGATTCCCCCCTGCCACTGCTCATACTGATTGGTGCTTCAGGACATCAACAACTCTGGTGATGGTGGAATCTATGCCGAATTGATTCAAAACCGTGCCTTTCAATTCAGCAAGAACTACAGCGTATCCACCGCCCACTACTTCCCCATCAACAATGCTGGCCTCAGCATTCAGTTCTTGGACCAGCCGCTTTCCAAGCAGCTCCCAGCCTCGATGCGCGTATCAGTCGGCAATGGCACTTCCGGCGCTGGTGTCATCGGTTTCAGGAACGACGGTTACTGGGGTATGGACGTCCGTCCACAGACCTACACTGGATCCTTCTGGGTCAAGGGAGCATACGACGGTGTCTTTACCGCATCTCTTCAATCCAATCTCACAGACGAAGTATTTGCCTCGGTCGAAATCCCTTCCGAGAGTGTTGCCGATGACTGGACTGAGCACACTTTTGAGCTCGTCCCAGAAAAGGCTGCTCCCAACTCCAACAACACCCTCGCCATCACTTTTGACGGTGCCGCAGCACGCGCACTCGACTTCAACCTCATCTCCCTTTTCCCGCCTACCTACAAGGGCCGCAAGAATGGTCTTCGTATCGATCTTGCAGAGGCTCTGGCCGACATGAACCCCCACTTCCTTCGTTTCCCTGGTGGCAACATGCTCGAGGGTCTCCGAAACGATTCGTGGTGGGACTGGAAGGATTCTCTTGGTCCTCTCCGCTACCGTCCTGGTTTCCAGGGCGTGTGGGGATACCAGCAAACCCACGGTCTCGGTCTCATGGAGTATCTTGAGTGGGCAGAGGACATGGATCTCCAGATTGTTCTCGGTGTCTGGGCCGGTCTTGCCCTTGACGGCGGTGTTACTCCCCAGCAGGATCTCGATGCCTACATTGAAGATGCACTCAACGAGATTGAATTCGTTACTGGACCCGCAAACTCCACCTGGGGTGCTCGCCGCGCCGAGCTCGGTCACCCAGAGCCTTTTGAGCTCAACTACGTCGAGGTTGGCAATGAGGACTGGCTTGCTGGTTTCCCTGGTGGCTGGGACTCTTACCGCATCTACCGTTTCCCCATGTTCTACAACGCCATCCGCAAGGCCTACCCCCACATCACTGTCATTTCTTCCGCTGCCTCCAGCGATCCGGGCGGCACACCTCCCCTCCACGGCCCCAACAAGGAGAACGGCCAGATTCTTCCCTTTGACGCTCTTGGCGACTACCACCCATACCGCGAGCCCGACGAACTCGTCTACGAATTCAACCGCTTCGACAACGACGCCGGCCACATTGTCGGTGAAGTCGCCGCCACCCACGTCAACGGCGGTATCCGCTGGGAAGGCAGCCTGTACCCCTTCCCCTGGTGGATTGGCGCTGTTGGCGAAGCTGTCTCCCTCATCGGCTACGAGCGCAACTCGGACCGCGTCCCCGGCACGTTCTACGCCCCAGTCCTGAAGAACAACAACCGCTTCCAGTGGCCCATTACCCTCCTCCAATTCGACGCCGATCCAAAACGCACTACCAAATCCGTGTCATGGTACTGCTGGAGCCTGTTCGCCCACCACCCCATCTCCCACACCCTGCCCACATCCTCCAACACATCCTACGGCCCACTCTACTGGGGCGCCGGCATGGACGAGAACCGCGGCGGCGCACGCGTCTGGAAGGGCGCCGTCTTCAACACTACCAACAGCGTCGACGTGCCTGTTTCCGTCCATTTTGACGGTGTTGCCGCAGGCGCAAAGGCAAACCTTACCCTTCTTACTAACTCCGTTGGCGATCCGTACATGTACAACGATCCCTTTACCGGAGTTAACATTGTTAATACTACCAACGTTATCCTCACGGCTGGAGGCGATGGAGTGTTCCGCTTTGCCATGCCTGAGCTTAGTGTTGCTGTGTTGGATACTGATGTTGGTGCTGGTAATGGTACTGCAAAGTATCGCAGGCGGTTGTCGTAGCTTTGGTAACAAGTTAATGGGGGGGAGGGGGTTTCCCCTTTTTTATGAAGATTATGATTGAAATAAAGTAATGTTTTTGCTTTGCAATTTGCTTGTCTGACGTGATATGAATTTGACATGATAGAAGTTTGATGACTCTATGTTTCATCTGCACGCCTAACCTTTCTATGTCTTTCTCTCCTGAGTATTTGGTTTTACTTTATCCTTGATAATACGCAAAGTTTAGATCAAGTTGCGTGCATGTACGACTTTCAATCAAATCTCAAGCCCAGAATCTATGGATTTTCAAAAAAAGGAAAAAGAATATACATGTATTTGAGTAGTAAAGCCAATGGCTTTACTCGCTCCTGCGGACCCCCCACACGAGACGAATGTGGAGACACGTCTCCTAGTGAAGACTAGACAAAGTAACGTAACGGAGTAGAGAACCATCTGAGCAGGTTTTTTTGAGGCCTTTGGAGTAGACAATGTCAAAGGTGATTAGTCCAACAAGGACCGACTTTGTCTTTCTACCACACCAGAGCCAATGGCCACCACTCGCTTGGAATCCTGCGTCCGGGTCCAAACCCAATATGAGCACGGAATACTCCAAGGAGCATAGCAGTTGGCGTTTTAGCATGATTTCTGGGCTCTTGACGAATAAGATGCGTGCCTTTGGTGGTGATGTGACCTAACCATCGAGGTACTCAATTGGACCAACGCACAAACAACGAACAAAGGCAGATATACAAAAAAAATCCTCCAGACAAGAAAACAAAAACACACACCTTAGAACCTTGCAAAAGAAAAAAAATAACTCTTGATAAATTGAAAAAGGGGAAAATTTCAATGTCACCAGCAAAGCGCCGAAAGACGGGCGGAGCGGGCATGAAGCCCAAGAAACAGGGCAGTGAGCAAAAGCCACTCCCAGTCACCATTCTCTCTGGCTTTCTTGTAAGTATTTGCTTAGACCAAGGGAGACTTTTTGAACCATGCTTACAGTGCGATAAAAAAAAAGGGTAGCGGAAAGACGACGCTGCTACGACATATTCTCAAATCAGCAGACCATGGACTGCGCATCGCCGTAATCGTGAACGACATGGCCTCTGTCAACGTCGATGCCAACATCATCAGGCGCTCCGACAACAAGGCGAAGGGCAATGGCGAGGTGCGTGTCAAGGAGAAGATGATACAGATGGAGAACGGGTGCATCTGCTGCACGCTTCGAAGCGATTTGCTGGTTGAGCTGGCTCGGCTTGCATGGAGCCATCAGGGGTTCGACCATGTGGTGATTGAGAGTTCGGGTATCAGTGAGCCTCAGCAGGTTGCTGAGACGTTTACTACCGAGTTGACCGAGGCAATGCTTGATGCCGAGGGCTTGGAACCAGATGAGAAGGAGGTGTTTGCCAAAGTGTGAGTAGCCCGAGTTGACCAATTGCGACTTGACCTGCTGACTTTGATTGCAAGTGCAAAGATTGGTGGATTGAAGACAATTGCGACGGTTGATGCAATGGTCACTGTCGTGGATGCTTTTCGCTTCTTTTCAGAGTTCGATACGGCAGAGTTCCTGCAGGACCGCTTTGGGAGAGAGGAGGTGCCTGATGAGGATCAGCGCACCGTCTCTGATCTCTTCGCTGATCAGATTGAGTTCGCTAATGTCATCATTGTTAACAAGATTGACAGGGCTGATGCTGCAACTCTGGGTCGCGTAAAGGCCTACATCAAGTCGCTTAATCCAAACGCCAAGATTATTGAAGCCAAGTACTCAAAAGTGGATGTCCGTGAGATGCTGAACACTGGTGTCTTCAACTTTGGTGAGGCAGTTGCAAGTGCTGGATGGCTGAAGAGCTTGCACGAGATGACTGTGATGGATGTTCATGGCAAGAAGCGTGTTGCGCCCAAACCAGAAACACTAGAGTGAGTTGATCCCTAAGGATAATTGGGATTACTGCTTACCTCTTTCTAAAGGTACGGAATCGGGTCTTTCGTCTATCGTGCTCGTAGACCCTTTGATCCCTTAAAGCTCTACCGACTGATCGAGGGCAAGTTCATTCTTCTACAAGATGAAGCAGAAGATGTGGATGACGAGGACGAAGAAGACGGAAATGATGAATCATCTGATTCAGGCAAAGCCAGTACCTCTGGCGATGATTCTGACCAGCAAAGCAATGATGAAGATGCTCCTCCGATTGATGATAAGCAGATTCTGGAGAACAAAAGAACCAGCCCTTACTTCGGTGGTCTTCACCGTAGCAAAGGCATCTTCTGGCTCGCAACTCGTCCTAACCAGATGGGTTCATGGAGCACCGCCGGCGCAATGCTGACACTCGGATCTGAGATGCCTTGGTTCTGCTGTGTGTCTGAAGAAGACTGGGGCGCTGATGAAGCTACCTTGAAAGCTATCAAGAACGACTTTGAAGGCAAGTGGGGAGATCGTCGCCAGGAGATGGTCTTCATTGGCGAGAAGCTCGATGTGGATGGTATGACCAAAGCGCTCGACTCGTGCTTGCTGAGTCGCAGTGAGATGAAGAAGTGGGAAAAGGTCATGCTCGACAAGAAGCTAGATGATGATGAGAAGGAAGAGACTCTGCAGGAAGTGTGGGATGACGGCTACTGGGCGGAATGGCCGCGGGTACAAGATGAGGAGGAACATGATCATGATCATTCTCATGACCATGGCCGCCATCAACATGGCCAAAAACACTAAACTCTCAATGCTTTGATATGTTGCAGCAGTGATGGTTCTAGTTTGTCACCCAGAGAGGGGTTCATGGTAGAATGCCACCTGTGACGTAATTTACATTAGTCTCGGTGCTCGGTACTTCTTGCTATGCCTTCATTCGTCCTCGTAGACTCTACAAAATCTCTGTGGCCAACCTCTTGATTTTGATTCTTGAACCAAAAAAAGAAACGCGATAAAATAACCAACAGTTAAGTGTCGAGGCAATGAGGCGGTTTGCTAGTAGTTGTAGCTGCTCGACTGCCATTGCTTTCGTTCAAGAAAGTTGAGGCATCCCTCGTATTAAGGTGATGATCGTGCAGCTGACACGAAGTGCCCGCAGCACCAATTCTCAGGTAGCATGGGGTCTGTGTCCCACGCTGGAAAGGTTACGCGTCTTACTCAGCGGGGTAATGTGATTTCTGGAGATTCGTTCCGGACACAAGTTCATGACCTCAATCTCATAGGTCTTTTTACAAGACCAAGAGAGTTGGGCAGCTTTTCCAAATGTTCGATACGGCGTCAAAGTTACTGCGCATCAACCTCGCCTTGTTTGGGACGCACTTCCTATCTTCCCCAGGCGAACCAATTGGGCGCCTTCCTGCCATGGGATGGAGCTCTTGGAATGTGTATCGATGCGACATCAACGAGACACTCTTTGTTGAAGTAGGCAATCTTATGGTCTCCCTTGGCCTGAAGGATCTCGGCTATAGCTATGTCAACATCGATGACTGCTGGAGTGATAAAGATTATCAGCGCGATGATATTACTGGAAAGATTAGACCAGACTACAGCAAGTTTCCCAAGGGCATCAAGCATACCGCGGATGAGATCCACAAACTTGGTTTGAGATTCGGGATTTATAGCGACTCGGGAACATTAACCTGTGCCGGATACGCCGGCTCTCTTGGAAACGAAAGACTAGATGCAGAGACGTTCGCAGAATGGGGCGTTGATTGTAGGTGCGACGTGGATAGTCAGAAACACTACTAACAACAAGCAGACTTGAAGTACGACAACTGTTTTGTCCCTCAAGAATGGCAGGACAGATACCGATGGAGTCCAGATGACTGGGTGGCTGATCCTACTACTGTTGATGATGCCGAAACTGAAGTAATTTCAGCACCAGATGGGTACGATTGGAGGTCCTCCAAAACCTTTACTCGCTACAAAAGGATGGGAGATGCACTGCTTGCTACCAATCGTCCCATACAGTTCTCTCAATGCGCATGGGGAAATGCCCATATTGATCAATGGGGCAACGAGACTGGCCACAGTTGGCGAATGTGGGGAGACATCGGGCCTAGATGGGAAGAGTTCCAGAATGGAGACTGGGGCATTATGCCTATTCTGAACCACGCATCGTTCTTCATCAATGGCACCGACTTTTGGGGTCATGGTGATTGGGACATGCTCCAAGTGGGTAATGGCGAGCTGACCTTCCAGAAGAGTCGTACACACTTCGCAATGTGGGCTGCTCTGAAGTCGCCTCTTATCATTGGAACGCCACTTCATAACATCAAGCCGGAGATATTGGGGATCCTAAGCAACAGAGAGCTCATTGATTTCAACCAGGATCCACTAGTGGGCCCCGCCGCTAAGCCATACAAGTGGGGCGTGAATCCGGACTTTACGTGGAATCGGACTCATCCTGCTGAATATTGGAGTGGGCTGTCATCCAAAGGTGTGCATGTGTTTGTTATGAACACGTTGAACACGGTGCAAACTAAGATCATCGACTTCGCGGAGGTTCCAGAGCTTGATCCTAACGTTGCATACATACTCATTGACTCCTGGACCGGAAAAAAGCTGGGGAAATTTAAGGGGAAATTTAAGACGACCGTGGATGCTCACGACACCATAGCGATCAGGTTGGTCAAGGCAAGTCGTTATGACTATTCGAGATTACAGACCACATTTTGAGAAACTTCCTCGTTTCAGCACTGAACAAGGTTCTGGATTTTGTATGTGTCAGGCCTCTGTCAAATAGTTGACTATCAAAAATAAGGACAAGGTCGGCTCTTGTGGGGTGCAGATTTGGCGCTGGCGTGACATGTTGATGTGACGTCAATCTCTCCAATTACCCCAACTTCTTCAAGTAGATCATCGCCTCAAGGTATATCCCCTCGAAAAAATTGCTATCTTGTTGGAAATGAAAACAGAACGTGCAATACATGACGACAGCGAGCGATTGTTCCACCTCATGATAGGTGGGGTCTAATCTACCAGAAAGCCACAATCAACCTCACCCAAATAGCAATCACAAACGGCGAAGAACCTAACGTGAGTAAATGCCTCCAGGATAAATAAACAAGGTCAAGCATGGGTAGCTGCCATGCAAACCCGGCTGCTGGGTGTACATTAGTTCATTGATCCAAGACCACGATGGAGCCTTTTACCCCGAGGCTAAATACAACACTGTTCCTCGGGACTACTCCGGAATGTAACCCGATGCAACAAAAAAGAACCCTTACTACGCCTATGATCTGCGCCGAAGGTCTGAAAGTGGAATGCGGGGGACGTTGCGCTAAGGACAACCTACATAGTTCATCATCAGTACCTGGTACGTACACGGGCAAAATGCGGTCCATCAATGAGGCGTGGGAAGGTTATAGATCACCATCTTGTCGGGTATTGGCAAACCATATCTTGACTCTATGGCGGAGTCACATGAACTATAAAACCCATACATTCGGACCGTATTTGGCCATAACATTTTGGACCTTGCAATGTTGATCACGGCAATTCTTGCTACTGCTGTTGGCTTTGTGCCATTGGCAGCAGCAGAAAACAGCACTCGACTCTGGTACACTGCTCCCGTCGCATCAAGCACCTGGACTGATGCTCTCCCCATTGGCAATGGCCGCCTCGGAGCAATGATTTATGGTATACCGGTGCAGGAACTCATACAACTTAACGAAGAAACCATATGGTCAGGAGGCCGGCGAGATCGGGTAAACCAAAATGGTGCCCAAACAGTTTCGGAAGTCCGAGACTTACTTGCTCGAGGCGATGCTGGCGGTGCGCAAAAGTTGGCCAATTTGGGTATGATGGGCACTCCGCAGACATGCAGGAACTACCAAACCCTGGGCGATATGGAGATTTCTTTCGATGGCACAAGTGAATACGACAATACTACATATGAACGGTGGCTGGACCTCGACACAGCTCTGGCTGGGGTACGGTTTAAGGTCAACGATACTCTGTACGAGCGGGAGATGTTCGTGTCAGTACCAGATGATGTTTTTGTGCACCACCTGAAAGCAACGGGAAACGGGAAGCTGTCTTTCCAAATACGTGTACATCGGCCCAAGGACGGTTTGAACGAAGCTTCTGATCAAAACTGGAACGAAAATGGGTGGACATACATGACAGGCGGCACTGGCGGTATCGATCCAGTAGTTTTTACTACTGCTCTGGCGGTTGAGTCGGACGGTCATGTCAGGACACTTGGCGAATTCATCGTTGTGGAGAATGCTACTGAGGCCACGGCGTTTCTTGCAGCTGCAACTTCGTATCGCCACAACGATACTAGAGCTGCCGTGGACAGCACTATACAAAAAGCCCGCCAACATACTTATGAAGAGCTGCGCCGACGCCACATTGAGGATTATTCGCCGCTGTATAACGCTAGCGTGCTCAATCTGAATGGGCCGGATCTTGGGACGAGCAGCTTACCGACTAATGCACGAATAAACGCAACCCGCAGAGGTGCGAATGATCCTGGATTGGTCGCATTAGCCTACAATTATGGTCGTTATCTTCTCATTTCTTCTTCGCGAGCTGGCAATCTGCCATCGAACCTTCAGGGTATCTGGAACAAAGAATTTGACCCATTGTGGGGCTCCAAATACACTGTCAACATCAATCTCCAGATGAACTACTGGCCCGCAGAGGTTACAAGTCTCTCTAGTCTACATGAGCCGTTCTTTGATCTTCTGGAACTGATGCGCAAGGATGGCACACACACGGCTAAAGCTATGTACAATGCATCTGGATGGATGAGCCATCATAACACAGATCTTTGGGGTGATACAGCACCTGTGGATACATATCTACCCGCCACTTACTGGACACTATCTTCCGGATGGCTCGTCACTCACATACTTGAGCATTACTGGTACACGGGTGATAAAAGCTTCCTCGCTTCAAATTTACACATCGTATCCGAAGCCATTGAATTCTACCTGGACACACTTCAGCCCTACAAGACCAATGGAACCGAGTACCTTGTAACCAACCCATCCGTATCTCCAGAAAACACATACGTAGGCCCGGACGGAAAGTCCTACAACTTCGACATCGCACCCACATGCGACGTTGAAATCCTCAACGAGCTCTTCACAAACTACCTCAACGCCGTCGCCACCCTCTCAAACTCAACCGTGGACTCGGCATTCCTAACACGCATCCGCGACACCCAAGCCAAGCTCCCACCATACCGATATTCGACTCGCTACCCAGGCACATTGCAGGAATGGATGCAAGACTACGAACAAGCCGAGCCAGGTCATCGCCACGTTTCCCATCTCTACGCTCTCTACCCAGGAACCCAAATCCCTCCTCCCGGCGCCCCAGGCTACGACGCTAAGCTCTTCAACGCCGCGGCTGCTACGCTCGAGGACCGCTTATCGCACAACGGTGCGGGAACGGGCTGGTCGCGCGCGTGGACGATTAACTGGTATGCTCGTTTACAAAATGCGACTGCGCTTGCGGAGAATACGTTTCAATTCTTCAACACGAGTGTGTTTAACAATCTCATGGATGTCAATGAAGGCATTTTCCAGATCGACGGTAATCTGGGATTCGTAAGCGGCGTTGCCGAAGGCTTGTTACAATCACATGTTGTTGATGACAAGGGTGTGAGAGAAGTATGGCTGCTACCTGTTTTGCCAGAGGAATGGAGTGATGGGTCTGTTAATGGAATCGCGGCAAGAGGGGGGTTCGTGTTTGATCTCGAGTGGGCGGATGGAAAGCTGGTGCATATGAGGATGGAAAGTAGGGTTGGTGGACCGGTTGTGCTGAAGTACGGCGGTGGCGGAAATTCCACAACCGCTGCTAGACAGGCTGAAGGGTTTTCTAATGGTCGGATGAGGTTGGAGACGAAGGCGGGGGATGTTAGGGAATTTGATTTTCGTAAGGCGTACTAGGTTGCTGCGTTGCTGAATCATAACTTCCTGCTACGAATTGCTATTGTTTGATAATACTCCAATTTCTCGATAGTATATAACCACTTATTTCAAGATTCATGAGCAATGACACACATGAGCTCATTTTTTTTCTGGTAGGTCTAATCAATAGCCCATATCGATCTGGCGAGTCTTAAAGTGCTTCTTGCATGCCGAGTAGATGTTCCAAATGGGTCGAATTTTCATAATGAGTAGTTGCATGAAGACAAATCCACAATTGACGAAGCTGCGCTTAGAACTTAAGCATTGAGAGTTTAACCAAAAATTCAAGATCTAATATTCATGATAGAAAAGGTGCTAGAGCGGGGGAGCGCTAGGCCCAAGATGGCTGCAAAATGGAGGACGCTCAGACCAAGAACGCGAGCGCGACTTCACAATTCGCGTCGCCCCTAACGACGGCTTTGTCTGCCCCTCTCTACCTCCACACACAAACACCATAACGACTTACGACCCACGACAATAATGGCAGACAGGCAGACACCGTTTTCCATTAGCCTTTTTGGCAGCCAGGCAGGCGATGGCCCTCAGGATGACACTGCGCCCTCACACGTGCAGCGAGCATTGGTAGACTTTATCATGGAATTTACCCTGGATAATATCTTCGTTTACAGGTACACAACAAAAGCAGCCATGGAGTAACGAGTGCGGGACTGATTCTGTCTCCAGAGATCAAATACGCGAGAACGTGCTCTTGAAGCAATACTACTGTGATATTGACGTTGCCCATCTCATCAGCTACAGCCCCGAGCTGGCCCATGACCTTAGACAGAACCCTGCTGAAATTATACCTCTTGTACGTTGCATGCTCTATTTCCACATGCAGGCATTGACATTGGCCAGTTCGAAGCCGCCCTTAAGACATGCACACAGCGCATCGTCTACCCCTCACAGAAGAACATCTCCCTACCTCAGCACCAATTGCTCCTCCACTCCAACGCTTCAGAGCTTTCCATCCGCGACCTCACCGCTACAAACGTCTCGCAACTCGTACGCATACCCGGTATCGTCATTGGTGCATCCACGCTTTCCTCCAAGGCCACAGCCCTCGCTATTCGATGCCGCAATTGCCAGCATGAAGAGATTCTACCTATAGCCGGCGGCTTCTCAGGAGTTTCTCTCCCGAGAACATGCAGTAGGAAAAGGGGAGAAGGCGAGGTCGGTGATCAGTGTCCGCTGGATCCATACTATGTCATGCATGAGCGCTGCCAGTTCATCGATCAGCAGGTGCTGAAGCTGCAAGAGGCACCTGACAAGGTCCCAGTCGGTGAATTACCGCGTCACATTATGATTTCTGCGGACAGGTATCTAGCTAACCGCGTTGTCCCTGGTACTCGGTGCTCCGTAATGGGCATCTTTTCAATTTACCAGCAAAAGGGGTCCAAGCGTGCAGGAAACGCTGCTGTAGCCATTCGCAATCCTTATATACGCGCTGTTGGTATTCACGCGGAAGTCGATCACGGTACTAAAGGAAATGCCGTCTTTACTGAGGAGGAAGAGCAAGAATTCCTGGAGATGAGCCGCAGACCAGACATCTACGACGTCTTTTCGAGGTGCATTGCGCCATCTATCTACGGAAACCAGGATATCAAAAAGGCCATTTGTTGCTTGCTAATGGGCGGTTCAAAGAAGATCCTGCCAGATGGAATGAAGCTTCGTGGCGACATCAACGTGCTTCTTCTTGGTGACCCGGGTACTGCTAAATCGCAGTTGCTCAAGTTTGTCGAGAAAGTGTCGCCAATCGCCATTTACACATCCGGAAAAGGATCCTCAGCAGCTGGTTTGACCGCCTCGGTGCAACGCGATCACAACACGCGCGAGTTCTACCTTGAAGGAGGTGCTATGGTTCTCGCAGACGGCGGTGTGGTATGTATTGATGAGTTCGACAAGATGCGCGACGAAGACCGAGTAGCTATCCACGAAGCCATGGAGCAGCAAACCATTTCTATTGCCAAGGCAGGTATCACAACTATTCTCAACTCGCGAACGTCAGTGTTGGCGGCCGCCAACCCGATTTTCGGACGCTACGACGATATGAAGACACCTGGTGAGAACATCGATTTCCAAACCACCATCCTGTCGCGTTTCGATATGATTTTCATTGTGCGCGACGAGCATGACCGTGGACGTGACGAGCGGATAGCAAAGCACGTCATGGGCATCGCAATGGGCGGGCGTGGTGTTGAAGAAAATGTACAAGCTGAGATACCGATTGAAAAGATGAAGCGCTACATCACCTACTGCCGACAACGGTGCGCACCTCGTCTTTCGCCCGAAGCAGCGGAGAAACTCTCGAGCCACTTCGTTAGCATCAGGCGACAAGTGCACGCTTCCGAAGTCAACGCCAATCAACGGTCTAGCATCCCGATTACGGTGCGTCAACTGGAAGCCATTATCCGTATCACAGAATCTCTAGCCAAGCTATCGCTCTCGCCCATAGCAGATGAGTCTCATGTCGACGAAGCAATCCGCCTGTTCCTTGCGTCTACCATGGACGCAGTGAATCAGGGCGAAGGACAGAGTTCAAAGGAACTGATGGATGAGGTCAACAAGGTGGAAGAAGAACTCCGGCGCCGTATGCCCATCGGGTGGCAAGTCAACCTGTCGACGCTCAAGCGCGAAATGGTGGATGGCAAGGGATACTCAGAACAGGCTCTTGCACGGGCGCTGCACGTGATGAATGCTCGAGAGACGATAAGGTGGAGACACGGAAACAGCGTTGTATTCCGCGCCAGTGCCTAAGATTTGGGACCCGTTTTTCGAGGTGTTTGTCTGGTAGTGAGGCGAATTTGTCTTATTTGAGACGTTGGGTGGAGAATAGGTGATGAAGGGAGGCTCAACGTGGGATTGGATAGACGAATTATTGCCATGTAATAAATCTGGTGCGGCGCAATATTCAGGCGCTGACTCTGAAGCTTCGCAACCAGCCAATTTTCTCGTTCCTCAACACTACCATGACATCATCGTCAGAGCCGCAAGATTGCCAGAAGGAAACAAGGCTGTCCCGTTCGAAGTTGGTTAGCGTATTTTGAATGAATGGAGATCATGTGTCCAGACGTTGAAGGCCTAGGCTTCGCTTTCCCAAATCAGACTTGATTCGTTACCTAACTGTGGAGATTGTGGGCCGCTTCTCTCGCAGTTTGTGGCTCGCTATTGGAGATAAGGTGGATGAAAAGTCATGTTTTTGATCGTCTCCACCTCCAATATGTTTGAACCTGGGGAAGGCTCGGGTATAGTTAGGTGGTGGGAGGGGGTAGTGTGTGGGGTGGGATATTGTGGCGACCTGATGGATTGTGGGTTTGTTGGAGACACAGTATTCAGGATGTGTACAGCACGTTGGGCGCTCTAGATGATACGATTGGCTTTGCTGGTCGTTGAGATGAAAGTGATGATTCAATTTATCTATTTGATAGTCACGGCCGTGAATCCATGTCAAATCTGGGGATATGAGGCTGAAGTGACGGTGGGTATGCCAGTGTACCGGCCCACAAGGTTTCAATTTAGCAGGAAACCAACTTCCGAATGCGGGATATCGCTTGGGAAGATCAGTACTGTGTGAATGAGACACTGTGGCTTCAGGGACTTGTCGGTAAGAGAGAGAGAGGAGCTTTCAGCCTGGGGCCATCGGAGGTGCTACTTGTTAGCCCCTCTGATGAAGGTACGAATTGTTGGTCCACAAGGCTAGAGTATGGATGTGGAGGACCCAAGGCAAACATACTAAATCGTGATGCTGGACCAAATAGAAGCTGTTCACAAGTTTACACATGCATCGGGTAGGCAGGCTCCGCAGCAGTATGACTGCAAGTGAAGCCTCACCATCACCAAGTATGCCACAAACAATGTGTTGGATCCAAAGACGTTGATGGCCAGCCCGGAACGGAGCTGTATAGCTTCGTCCTCACTGACCGAGTATGAAGATGCATGCACATCGCCCACTTGCAAAGATAGACTGAATGTGCACGTGGTGTTTCCCAACGCAAATGTGATGAGTTGGGAAGGTGTTTTCGCATGTCTGGCGTCGTTTTGCCTACGATGTGGGGTGGCGCGACTTGCATCAGTTGACTGCTATCCTAAATTCTGTTGGTGTGGAGCCATATGTTCAGCGTCCCGAAGTGCCAGGCGAGGGTGTGCATCTTGAGAGCTGAGGGACCACGATATAGGTTTTGGGTAATAGCTATGAATTTCGGTGGGCCTCTGCTTCAGAAGACTGCTTTGCCAAGGTAGTTGTTGGGCACTACTAGGGAGGACTGTGGAACGTTCTCCGTGGCTGATTCGATTGGTGAAGGTTAGTATGTCCAAGAAGTACGGAGACTTACGCAAGTACATAGATTGAGCACTTTGTGGTGGGGGACCATTATTGGAAGTGACTCTCGTGACTACCATGAGGGAAGCTGGTCCTGATATAGACGAACGCCACCCTATAGATAAGGAATGGATACATTTTTTTTCTTCAATTTTTTCTTATGGAACCGAGCAAATAGGTTTTGAAGAGAATGTCAGCGTGTTGGGGCCGAGAGCCGCACAAAAAATGGGCCAGCTGTGGGATCCATGGTCGTTGCAAAACCACAGTGGTTTGGTCCGTCACGACCCAATATGGAGGTGTCTGAAAATAGAATGAGCCCAAGAGTATATAAGTAGCGAACAGCATCTGACAAATGCGCATCTTCTCTCAGGCAGTCCATTACTATCCAGCGACGCAACTCGCAATCATCAGCATCATCAGCATCATCATGGACCTTGACTGGGAGTTGCATGCACAGCTGCTTGGGCAGCCGATGGGATTCGACGAGAGTGGGGGAAGCAGCGGCACTCATCTGGCACAGGGTGCTGGTGTTGAAGTGCAGCTTGGCTCACTGATTCAGACAGCCGGTAAGTTTTCCCGTTCCGCTCCGAGCTCGGCGGGACTCGGGGTTTGGTGGTTCGATCTGATAAACTAGGATATCCATCTGATAACAGCGCGCATCACCATTCGCACCTGACCTTTACCCAACAAGAGGTGGCGGCTATCAGGTACGAGATGCTCGAGAACTACATCAATCCACCCGCTGGCTGTGCTGCCTCACCCACCGCCTACCACTCGCCCGGTGCATCGCCTCACTCGCCCACCGCGTTCGTCGAAAACACTGATTCCCGCCGACCCAGTCGAAGTGAGTGTACACCCGTCCATTGCTTTTCCCTTGTCCCACCCGCGGTTTGCCGCGGCTGTTGGCTGCACAACACCACAGTTGACGGTATGTACTGGTACTGACAGATTGGCAGCCCTCGTCCCCTGCCCCGCAGTCCCTGCGCACGACTCCGTCGCCACGTTGTCTCCTGAATCCAACACCACCGTTGGCCCTCCCCAGACTGGCGGGGGCCCGCTCAGCAGGACCCATGTCGTCCCACCACGCCCCAAGCCCGGCCGCAAGCCTGCCACCGAGGAGCCAGAGTCAAAGCGCAAAGCACAAAACCGACAGTCGCAGCGCAACTTTCGCCAGCGCAAGCAGAGGACTGTCTTGGATCTGCAGGAGTCGTTAAATCAGGCCTCTAGGCAACTTTTGAGTGCCAATGCTGACCACGCGAGAGAGAGTTCCATGCTCAGAAGTGAAATCGATAAACTCAAAGAACAGAATCAAAGGCTACTCATGGAAGTCGAAGAATGGAGAGTAGCCTACAAACAAATGCAGGAAAGACTGTCGGCCGTCGCTGGCCAACCCCATTCCATGCCTCTCTCCTACCCCCGTCATGACACTCCCCTCCGCAGGGCCTTTGATACCGACTTCAATGCCCAGGCTCTTGTTCCCAGCCCTCAGCCAACAGACCTGGGATGTGACCGGTGCACAAAGGACCATTGCGCCTGTCTAGCCGAGATGACCAACGACGCCGCTTTCCAAGGCCCTGTCGACCCCATGACAGGTGTCCTTCGCGCCGACCATGGAGAGCCAGATGAAGACAAGCCACGCGACCACAGCGAATTCGAGACAGACTTTACAGCTGCGTTCAGTAAACAAAAACCCCGTGATGCGGACCCGGCTGTACTCCTCTCTTCGGCCGAAGACGCAAAGTTTCCCGATTGTGGTTTTTGCGCAGACCAGCCAGAGTCTTGCATATGCAGAAGCTTGCGTTCGGAAGCTGCAGATGCAACCTCATCGCTGGCGCCCAGTTCAAATGCCCCTCCTGCTGAGCCTGCCAAGTCAAATGTGATTGTAACCGGTCCCGGTTCCTGTGCTGATTGTCAAGCGAACCCCGAGCAGCGCGCCTGGTGCCAAAGGGTTGCACAGCTTCGCAGCGAAGCGACACCGCCCAACTCTCGACGCAACTCTGCCAGGAGCGTCGTGCTAGGAACCATGGAGCCCAAGGCCTCTACCAGTATCGACATGAGCAGCTCTGTGGGTCGCGGAGATACTGTTGGCTGCAGTGATGCTTTTAAGCTGCTTGTTGGGCGAGTAGACACGCAAATGGATTGGCGTCAACTGAAGCCTGTTCCTCCAACCTTTGCGCAGGAAGATGCTCGAAAGAACACGTTCACTATGGAGCCAGGCATGTACAGTGCCATGGAGCTGGATGCTAGCAGTATCCTCACTACTCTACAACATGCTCCGGGTCCCATTAAGCCTCGTCCTTCCGATGGTACATATGCACGCTTGGTTCAAGAAGCAGAAGAGCGACGCCGAAAGTCTTCCACTCCCATGAAGAAGTCCGATGATCATCCTATGCTGGATTGTGACAAGAACTAGCTTCACATTTTTTCTATCTTTGATTCCAACGACCATCATTTTACCATGTTTTATCGGCATCGGTCGTTGCAGAGTCATCATCATGATTGACTGTATATCCCATGTGAGAGGATTAGCAGTCGCAAAAAAAAAAGATTACGAATCACGGCAGGGCGGTCATTTTACTGTTTTTCGTTTCCACTACTTGGTTTTGCTACAACACTGGTCAGACTATAATGATCATAGGATAGACTAATAGGAGAATACATCTCTCCACGTATTACGTGCCAAATTTACCTTAATCCTCCTCTGGGTTTCACGTGCTCTTGAGTAACTTTTGCAGAAGAAGAAAGATTGTATACCGAGGCATATTTCTTAATGGATTACTTCATCAACGCACCGAAGAGATGCCGGTTGAAAGCTACAGTCACGCCATAATTGCTCTCTTTGTGGCATTAGCAGGCGCTTGTCTTGTGCGCTTACGTGAAGTTGTTTGGCTGGAAGGATAAGCGGAGATTGTTCGGGCAGAAGATGTGGTGTGATTGGCTGAAATTCCATCCGACGTCGGATCTTATCAGATGATCAGATAAAAACTTTGCACTAGACTCAAAGTGGTTTTCAGTGCCCGAGCGCGGATCAATGTTTACACGGTCAGAGCATTGTGGTGGATGGTTAAAGCTGTGATTATGTAGTCCAGATCACATGAGTCGAAGTAAACACCAAGAGGTGTTCCAATAGTTACTCTTCTTGTGAAGAATAGCTCCTAGATAATCCAGCATGGAAACTTCCCACTTGTCCAAGTCGCACATTTTCCCATCATTTTCCCCTTCTCGAAACTATTTTTTCCCATCCTCCCCAAAACAACAACTCACTTCTTAACCCCATTAATAACAATCTCATGCCCCTCCCCTTTTCCCTGGCCATGTGCATGATACACTCCCGGTCCCGCTCTAACCGCAACCTAGAATCACTACTTATTAGCTGCTTCTGCCCACCCTCTACACTCATTAAAAAAAAATCCCCCAGAACAACTCGCTTTCGTGATACAATACTTCTCAACAAAAGGTTCCTTCAGAAACGCTAATGCTATGTATGTCTTGACTTGAGAAAGAAAGGCAACGATAAAAACGAGCGAACGAACGAACCTGAACATCTACCCCCCACTTCTGTGCATTAGCCAGAGCAATATTTGCGGCTTCTTGCTCCAGACATGCGGCTGCGGCTGCGAGTTTGGTGCCTGCGGCTGAGAGAGAGGTTCCGAGCGTGGAGAGTTCAGAGGCGAGTTTTAAGAGGGTGTCTGGGGTTGTGTTGGACATTTGTTTGTTTATTCTTGCTTTCTATCGGGCTTGGTATGCGAGGTAGGTAGGTTGGAGTGATCAGTTGGGGGACAAGGAGAATGGAGTGGTGGATGTTGAGGGGGAGGTCGATAGAGATAGGGTAATGTAGGGGTTGAGAGTGTTTTTTGAAAGTGTTGGATTGGGTTGACATGTTAGGTGTATGGCGAACGGTAGGGGTTGTGTTTGACGGTGTTGATGGGTCACTTTCTTTTAGTTAGGGATGATTGTATTTTGCGATGTGATGTGTTATATTTGAATATCCAGTGAGAATCTATGTGACTACAGATTTGAATGGCATGGTTGACAATCAACAACTTAGCATTCTACCATTTGTGCTTAGGTACACAACTATATCATGATGATTGCAAATGAGATTCTATGCTTGTCCAACACATGGATGCATGCCAGTTCACGCTCTCGAATCTTCCTTCATCTTCCGTAACTGAGCTAGCACAGATTCCTTTGAAGTATGGTTTTTCAAACAATTCAAGAGTAAATCTTGCTCGCTTGTTGGAGCCATACCCGCAGCCTCTGGTACTCGCCTATCAAGATTCGTGGGAAACGGATAACCCTCTGCGACAACATTGACAAGCGCCTTAACCTCGTCACTGAGTCCATTCTTCACATGCATCTTTGACAGCGCATCCCAAGTGCGCTCCACAAGAGAATACGTATCAATCGATTCCATGGGCTTACCAAACGCCGACGAAATCTGCAGCAGGTTGGCCGAGCGCATGATATCTGCAGAGTCATTCTGACCTGCAGCATGGAACAGCGCAGGATTGAAGAACAACCCATCACCTTTTTCCAACGGAAGCGCAACATAGTTGTCCAAAAAGAAGTCTTGGAACTCAGGTATCCGATATGCCATATACCCTTGCTCAAACTTCTGACTGAACGGTAACAGACGTGTCGGGCCACTCTTGTCCGGCATATGCGAGTGCGCAACTGCACCTTGCAGCGTAAGAAACTGCGACGCAACCTGCACTGCTTTTGGAAATCTTGCGCATGACTCGCTATCTTGGAACCCAATGTGGTAGTCTCGGTGCGAAATCTGGGCTTTGGCGCCAGGCTTCACGATATTGACTTGCGCTGTCAAGCGGTGATACGGACCGAGCCATCCCCCAGATATCAGTGGAAGCCAAGGATTAGAATAGTATTTTACAAACGAGGCCGCATCGGAGAGGCAGTGCTTGGATAGTGAATTCCAGATGCGGTCGTTTGCGCCGGCGCCTGCAAAGTGGTCGCCACGTTGGCTAGACGCTTGCTTCTCTGCTGCGATTATCGATGAGTAGACTTTGTTGACGTCGTCAATTAAAGACATGTCTTGGTAGAGGTTCTTGGTGACAAAGACACCGGGGCCTGAAAGCAGGACGTGGTACCATTCGTCCTGTAGAGCAGCAAGTTGTTCTGGACTCAATGATGAATAATCGGGCAGATGATATATCGGCACGTGCGACTCGGTAGTGCTTGCAAGTGGATAGTCAATTGAGGAAGACTCTGTTGTTAGCTTCTTGAAGTCTTCCAATGACGGCGGGTTGTTGATAGAGTACAGCCGAGGTTGGATTCCTGATTCTTGGCGGCCGTGATTGACGCCGTTTGGCGTAGAGTAGTTATTCATTGTTATTGTACGCCTTATGTGACAACGTTGGAAGGCTGCGCATATGCTTTCCTGGCTGAGTATGCAAGAGCGTTTGTCGGTATTGATGATGTCGGCAGTTGTGCCACTACGTACGTAATAGTAGCAATGCTATTGGCCCTACATATTGGGGTTCTGGGCGGAAAGCGGAGAAGCAGCCCGACGCACCCTTCATCTCGAGCTATGTGCAAACAAATACATCCATGTCTATGTGAATCAAACAAGCACGCGTGCATCGTGTTTGTGCAGGAAGCATGTGTATTGTGCTAGAAATTGCATATTTGAAGTAACACCAAATATAGAATTGTCGCACAGCTGTGAGACTTGGCGTATTTCATGGGTTAAGGTATCGTAGTCGTCTGCTGATCGACTTTCATCCTCGATCAGGATAGAACGCGCTTCAACTTCTATCGACGATATGACGGTGGTTTAAAAAGCCCATTTATTTCGCATCAATCACCACCCAGTCACGCCATAGAGCCTTACTTTCCCCCGCTCTTGTCATTAATTTCTGACTTGCTTGGCTGTGTTAGTGCAGATTGGCGAATGCTTGGCTTCGACGAGGTGGGCGATGCACGATGCGCTGCCAAGGTGTTGAGATAGTAGACGAAACGCACCGACTAGTTGCGTCAGCCTGCTCTGGGCCTACCGAGATGCGAGGGTTACCATGCGTTGACACGAAAATGGCACAGACACATGTGGAAGCACGGATACTTCTGGCATATCTCGGATTGTGCGCATCGGTTCTATCGCAATGTCTGCATGAATAGATTTCTTGCATCACAGTGCTTCTCTTGGTAAACTGCATAAGTCGATGTTCGGGTATGATCATGGGTTCAGATGGTGATTACGTTTGTTCGAGTTGTTCTTAGAACTATCCCAAGTTCCGGGCACATCCTAACTACCTTTGTAGAATATCTTTCAATACCAGTCCTGTACGACGTGTTGAAAAGTATTCTCTTTGCGTGAAAAAAAAAACACATCCATTAAGTGACTCTTTAGAGTGAAAGTTTAAATGTGCAGAAAATAACTAGACGGATGATGCTATACTGAATGCAACACAGATGAGATATGCTGTTCTTGCTCATTTAATCATTAGAAAGACGCATTTAATATTCTTGTGAAATACAAAAGATGATTAGGGATACATCGCCTATAGGTTCAGATCCTGTGCACAGTGCAAAATGAATCCATAACTGAAATTATTCTAAACAATTTTAGACAAAATCATACTCATCAATAGATGAACGAAATACTTTTCGAAAACTGTTCTTTCAGTACTAATCAAACCTACAGCTTCTAAAGCTCTTATCCTATTGTCACCACGTTGAAATTGACGCCTCAAAATTTGTGTATCTTCTCTTTGACTATCGCCTTGATTGACGGTGATTTTACAAAGCATTAAAGAAAATATGAGCATAGATCGCATCGTACACAAACATACACATACTAGGCAATGAGAATATTGATGCGAAAACTCTGTATGTATTTTTTTTGTGAAAAAAGAAGTAGTTGGATGTGAGTATCATCACAACAAAACTGACGATTAATCAATGCTCCTACTGAGCGTGAGTCCCGGTAGATTGTACACATTGAAGTACATCTGGAAAAAAGCAAATACAGAATTTTTCCCTCGAATGATCAGTTCGTCGCAAATCGAAGCCCAATTTTCGATGAATATCAAAGATAGCTCCACCAGGATGTCTGCTTTGTATGGTGTTTTATCGATCAATGTGTAAGCATTCATTCATAGAGTAGAATTGTGGCTGGAAGTTTAAATCTTTATTCATTAGTTCCGTCGCATTGTGCAAAAGAAACCTCAGGCAATCCTAGATATCACCAAAATGACCCATATCTCCATAATACACTACTGAAGAATACACTGTAGTGTTGAATCAACGCAAAGTCATTCTTACAACGCTGACTTGGTGCTGAGCGGCAGCTAAACCAAGTTAGGCTGCGTACATCAAAGACCCTGCAAGCATACCAAGCGGGGTAAGTCTCCCACGCCCCCACCCCTGCAGCTCTACCAATAAACTTTCGATAACCATAACAACTTGCTCAACCTAAAAACCACGACATCACTCCGCACAAAACACCACACGACCAGCATTTCGCACGTCGATCCAATTGCTTACAATTTCCCCATCCCCCTTTCTCTTGCATATGCGCCATCTTCCTTGTTCGGCCCCCCGCTTCTTTGTTCTATGTGTAACTACAAGGCATCTGAAACACGGCACCCCGGTAGACTTCGAGAACCCGCCCCCCCTCCCCTCCCTTAGTCATATTCGAAGGGCGGCAAAAGGAACCACACAAGGCAGCAAAGCAAAAGGAAGAAGGCAAAGCAATGAAGAAGTAGCGAAAAACAAAAGCATGAAAAACGCTCTAGTCGCATCAAAGAAAAAGTGCAAGGCGAAACGTTTTAATAAACGGGAATCTTGATTTCTACTCTTACAACATAGATTTGTCTGCGTGAAACGTTCGTACCCATGTTTCTCCAATCGTCATTCGCCCGTCATTATCGACCCACAAACTTTTCAAATCTCCCCCATTTCGCCACACGTCAGTGCGACGAAGAAGACGACGACGACGACGACAACGACGAAGCGGGGGACCCACCTACCTACCGATGTCAAAGACACGGCCTGACAAGCCCTGCAAGCGCATGAATTCGCGTAGGGCCTCTAGAGTCGCGGTGTAACCATCGATCTGATGCTTAAGCCACAGAGTGCGGTATTGGGCTGGGATTGCGAGCTGCAGATCGCGCAACGCATGTTCCATGGATGTGAGTAGGGTGCCGGCCTGCTGCATGGTGTGTCGGTGGTTGATGGCCTGGGTGGTGACGACGGAGGGCCGAGTGTGGTCGGTGAGGAAGGTGGTGATTAGCTTTTGCAGGCCGAGACAGCAGCACAGTGCGCGGCGTTGGTGCTTGGATGGGGCGGTGGACTGGGCAGCGGAAGAGCTAGAGTTGGGGCCGGAGGGGCCAAGGCCCGCTTTGCCTTGGGAGGGTCGCTCAGGGCTCGCGTTGCTTGACTCGTTGTTGAGCGGCTTGTCCACCGCTGGAGATTGGCATTGATCCGAGCATGGGACGTTGCCCTGACGAGGCTGGCTGAGAGCTAGTTTAGCGTTGTTCATAGCGGCGGCCTGGTGTTGCTTGTACTGTAATTCTTCTTGGTTGTGGTTGTAATGTTTAAAGGATTGGTAACGAGGAGATCAGGAAGAGATTAGAGTTTAATATTCTGATGTAAGTAGACTCTGTGTGTTCATTCAGTGCAGTGTTGAGATTACAATGGTGAAATGATCGGTTGAGATGAGCACGCAGGACAGGTCAATGACACAGTGCAAGCAACGATGCAGTGTGAGCCTCTACGCTCATCGTGAATGACCATCGACTTGAATTTGTATTGTGTAGGCACAATGATAAAAGAAATCGCCTACATAAATTCAGTTTTATCCAAAAGTGTTCCTAATCACACAGACAAACAAGACAATTTAGAATACAACTACTACAAAGCAAAAGACAATCTAGACCAAACACAATGGACCCTTCAGAAGAGGAAATCTTCTTCCTCTGTGACGAGGCTCGCAAAGACAGCGATAATTTCATGAAAACCTGTAAGATAGAAAATATGGGGCCCGGTTTCATCCCCCCTTTCTGGAGATCTGTATCGAAGATGTCCAGCTCTCTCACGAAAACATTTCTCGTAGCTGAAATGCAAAACAGGAAGCCGGCATGGTGGACGGACGACATAGTGCAGCGTCATCTAAAGACCATCCACCTAATGAGAAATTATGAGCGAAAGCTTCGATACTTGGCTCACGAAAAGGAGATCTTCCCCCTTCCCCGCGAGGATATCCGTGCAACCGGGTCCTATGAGCTGGAGGAAGCGGTGTTGGCCGGGTTGAACCATGATATGGTAGCAGCGCGAGTTCTATTCTTGTTGCTGGAAGGTGGTGGAGGACAAAGCACGTTTCCGAGCGACGGTGGTCTACGATATGGAGGCCGTCACTTTTGGACCAATCTAACGGGCGGCGATGAGATGTTGCCGAAGCGCTACCAATTTCTTCGATATGAGCATAGGCTGGAACCCCTGTCACTCGAATGGCAGGCATTGGTGGGGCTGGTGGGCTGGCTCACATACCAGGAGCGTAACCTTGTACAAACGATCCGCGGAAGCTGTGCTGAAGCCGGCTTGCTTGATGCAGACGATGAGGTAAAGTTCTTCCCGGCTGCTATAGCCTATGGAATGATAGGCCCAGATTGCAAAGACTGTCCAGTCTGCCAGGAGGAACTGGCCAAGATAGCTGCGGAAGGGGGAGAGATCCCAATCAAGACACACTGTGGCCACATCATAGGAAAGAACTGTCTGCGAGCTTGGGTGAAGTCATGGGATGGCGACGGGAAACCGGGGAGTCCGACATGCCCTCTGTGTCGAGCGCAGTTGTCGTTGTCGTTGCTCTACCAAGACATTGAGTCGCTGCCGTTGGTCGAGCAAATTGAATTGCTGCCAAGTGAAGTGCAGCCAATCGCCCGGGATTGGGTGGCATATGCACGCAGCGATGAGGCGCTGGACAGGGAAGTGGATGCCTTCCTATTGGAGGCACGGCAGGAGGACATCTATGGGTGTTATGGAGTTGAGTTGGGGGACATGCTGGCAAGGCTGGAGACACGGCGGCTGAAGTTCATCGAGTACCAGAAGGCGCTGCAAACGGTTCTCGCAGGTATGCAGACTGACTAAGCAATGCTCGTGATGGCGCTGGGATGGCAAATGTTATTTGACCCCGTGCGTTTTTCAAGCAGGATAGATTTCAGATAGTTGTACTGTGTCTTAGACGTAGAATGTAAAATTTCCTTATACCTTGGGGCGAAAGTGATAGTACTGGTGTGAAGGAGATATACATAACAGCGCTAAAGGTAAATTACCACGCTAGCGGGGGCGCTAGCGGTAGTTGTGAAACGTCGGGGGCAAATACCGCAAATAAACGAGGTCAAAGAAGTTGTGTCCGCTGGGATGGACGAGGGGGCGGGCTTGGCAAGGCGCCAGAGGCAGAGTGGAGGGTGGGAGATTATAGATTGAGGCAAAGTGCCAAGCTGACTGAGAGCCGGACAGTGAAACAAGATCCATAGCGGCACTTTGGCGGCCTTGGGTCTTGTTTTGTTTTTGCGAGGCTTGGCCATCGCTTCAAACGGCTTGGGCAATGGTTGGCATTCCTGCCTTCATTAAACATCGAGACTAGAACGTTGCAAACATTCCTCCCGGGTGGATCCCATGACAGCGCCGTGTCGGGGGGACGTGATGGGAATAGATGAAGTCCATGTCTTGGGTCACCACTCGCAGCGTCGTCATGGACAAGACACCGAGTATAAGTATAGCCCAGTTCGCCTTGCTGTAGGAATCATCGCAGTCCACGACTTTCGATTCTCACTCATTCATTCATTCATTCACTTCTTTTGAACATATATTCAACTTACTCTTTACTCCTCAAACATGAAGGCTGGTGCTCTCCTCGCTCTGCTTGCGGCGCCCATGGCGGCCAATGCCCACTACATCTTCAACATTCTCGTTGTCAACGGCCAGACCATCGGCGGCGAATATGCCTACACTCGTAAGAACAGCAACTCGTACAACCCCGTCATCACCAACGACATTGTCAACTCCAACGACCTCCGCTGCAACAGGGGTGCTGTCGCTGGTAACACCGGTACTTACACCGTCAAGGCCGGTGACAAGATCGGCTTCAAGATCTTCAACAACGAGAGGATCGAGCACCCCGGTCCTGGGTTTGTCTACATCTCCAAGGCTCCCGGAAAGGTCAAGGACTACGATGGCAGCGGCACCTGGACCAAGGTCATGGAGAGCGGTCTTGCCAACCCCAGCGCCCCTGGTGTTGACCAGAGCTGGGCCAACTGGGACAAGGATAGGCTCGAGTGGACCATCCAGAAGAGTATTCCTGCTGGTGAATACCTTGTCCGTGTCGAGCACATTGGTCTTCACGAGGGTCACGTGTAAGTAATCACTCCAACAGCATTAAAGACATCAACTGACCCTTCTCTAGTGGCAAGGCCCAGTTCTACATTGAGTGCTTCCAGCTGAACATCCAGTCCTCTGGCACTGGAACCCTCAGCCCCGCTGTTAAGATCCCCGGTCTCTACAGCGCCAACGATGCCGGTATCAAGTTCAACAAGTGGAACAACCCCAAGTCTTACACCATGCCCGGCCCCAAGCTCTACGCCGGCCAGTAAGCGATTCACACTGCTAGCCAGCCGTCAAGCAAACAAGCAAGCATTCATGCCAGCTGCCCAGTCAGCACACAGTCGAGGAAGAAAGGGTGTTTTTGTCCATATCTGCCCCAGTGGCGCTTCGTTTCTCTCTTAGTCCGCATTCCATAGCTATGATCAATGTGACTATGCCTTGCTTTCCGAACTCACTTGTTTTGAACATTGTGATGCTTTTCAATTCCATTTCCGTACTAGCGGGCCGGAAGTACTTGTGTTACAATCCTGTATCACGTGATCGGTTCCCCTCGACCCAACAGAACCATGACAAGATCCTGATAGTCAAGAAAAAGCACGCATCCATGTATGGATGTAGCCACGGTCAAGCCACTAAGGGTTCACGGACGGGTTCGGTTCTAGTAGGTAGCTCATTCCAGCCCTATCGAATGCAAGCCATCAGCCACGCCTGACTAGGTCACTGCACGAAGAGAGCTTCACCTTGTTCCTGTATTTGCTATCCAAGCCAAGTTTCTCGAATCGCAATGTCGGGCTCCTCTACCTACTGCTGGGCTCCAGATAATGCTGGCACCGGGATCTTGCCTATGATCTTCCCGCGGGGCCCATCATGCCCGATGACAGAGGTGGCCCAGGTGCCCCAAAGGGATTTTGCTGCGTACCGCCCTGAACAGCGTGGTAGCGACCAAAAAGAGCGCATGACAGCAAATCTTGCACAATCACGGCTAAGCGTCATGGGTTGATGGCGGAGCGGCTTGTTTAGCGCATCGACGCTCAGCCGCATCGACAATCCGCCCCAAGAGGTCCAGAAGATGATCTGGTTCCCGCAGTGTTTTTTTTTTCACAACACGGCGTGTGCGCAGCGCATCGTGGGAACGAAGACGGGAGAGGGCGGATCCCAGTGTGCTGCAATGCTGCCCTGCATTGTCCCATGCACGGCGCGGTATGTACTGGGAGAGATACATAAGTGGTTGGAGGTGCAGCTGGCTAGGGGGATGGAGGTGAGGGCTGGCTGACGTGTTGGCGATGGGTGGGGCGGGGCGCTTGTGGCAGGCGCGCTAGTGGGCAGGCGATGCTGTTGCTGGGGAAGCGGCGACTTGAGTCGGTAAACACCAAGCCAAGGCGAGACGTCAGTCGCATGGGCCCTGCTTAGTAGTTAGCTCTGCTCTGCTATACCGCTGCCCGCTATCATTCGGGGTCTGGCGACCTTCTCCGTACTGCTCTTTGTCCTCTGTTATTGCTACTACCGCCGATTGTTGTTTGTCGCGTCCTTTGCCTGGCCGACGCATCCTCTCGCTCGCAGTCAGCGGCGCATGTAATCCACCTTGTTGCACACCCCAGCCGTTGCAGGTCAACCATATACAACCACAACAACAAACCTAATCCTCACCATGGCCGTCGGTCAGGCGCTGCCCACGCGCTTTCCCTGCTGGTGCAAGGCAGTCTACTCCTGGGGCGGAGAGGTAAGTCTGCTTCCAAAGCTGCCTCATGCTGCGGCACATGACCTGACCGCTTTCTCTAGACCAAGCGAGACCTGGGATTCATAGAAGGAGACCTGATCGAGGTCCTCAACGCCGGCGATGGCTCTTGGTGGATGGGCCGCCTCAAGCGCGACAGGCGCATGGTTGGCTTGTTCCCATCCAACTTTGTCGAGCTGCTCAGTGAAGACTATCAGCCATGGGCGCGCAATGGCAGTGGTGGGAGCTTCTCGCGGCAAAGCAGTGTGCAGGAACAGCCCAAGCCTGTGCCACAGAAGCAAAAGAGCATGTTCAGGAAACCCTTCACTGCCTATGCTGCTGCAGGCGCTCCGAACCCTGCCGCTGCCGCCCGCGAAAGGCTCCGTGCGGGTGGCATAAACTCCGCAAACGGCACTGTCAAGACAAAGTCGCCATATTCATCCATGAAGCGCCTGTCTCAGGAGAGTAGCGAAAGCCCGCCGCCATCTGCCCCCTCGACAAGAGCGCCCTCGAATCTGCGCGCCGTATCCCCACGCCCGCCTTCCAAGAGAACGCCCGCAGCCCGAGCAGTGTCCCCAGCTCCGCCCTCCCGTCACGGCTCACGCATACGCGCCCATTCTCCCGCTCCGCCATCGCCGTACCAATATCAACAGCCTCGTGGCGTCTCGCCTGCGCCTCCCGTTCAACACCAGCGCTACAGCAGAGCAGTGTCTCCTGCACCGCCGCCACAACCAGCCTATGACCCATACCGTGCCGCATCACCCATTCCACCAACTCAGTATCAACAACATCCGCGAGGAGTGTCACCCGTTCCACCGGCCCAGTATCAGCAGCATCCGCGAGAAGTGTCACCCGTTCCACCGGCCCAGTATCAGCAGCATCCGCGAGCAGTATCGCCCATCCCACCTACCCAGTATCAACATCAGCGAGCAGTGTCACCTATCCCGCCAGCGCAGTACCAGCAGCATTCTCGAGCCGTATCCCCAGCGCCATCATACCAATACCGAGCCTATGACAGAGGCCCATCTCCAGCTCCGTCATTCCGACGACCTTCGCACACACCATCGCCAGCCCCGTCTTTCCAGTACCGCGCATACGACCGAGGTCCTTCACCATCGCCGTATCAACACCAACTAGACCACAGCCGTGGCCCCTCACCTGCGCCGTACCAAGATGACCTCGAGGAGCCCATTGACTCTCCACCACCGCCCCCTCCGCCGCACCGCATTACCTACAACCCTAGCCGATCGCCCTCTCCGGCTCCTCCGTCGCATCTTGGTTATCACACGCCCGAACCGCCTTCGCCTGACCCTAGGTCACGTGGCGGTCACTTCACGCCTTCGCCACTTACGACAGCAATGAATGATGTTATGTCCTCTTTGCAAGATATGACCACCACACAAAGTAATGAATCGCCTGAGCCAGTCCCATCACCATCAAACCCATGGTCGCCAGAAGCCTTTGACCAAGTGTATCAGGCATCCGCGCAGAAAGTTAGAGCACAGTCAGCAATAGATCCGGATGACGATGACGATGATGAAGCCCCGCCAGATGTCAACAATTATATGCAGCGCATGGAGAGTCGTTTACGCCGAATGCAGCAACAGGAGAAGAACAATGGCAATGACATGCTTATGGATGATGATCAAGGACCTACCGTACCGTTGAAGACGGCAAGCCAGAGACCAGGATCGTCTATGGGTGGCATCGAGCAAGAGGTGGAACGGAAAGGATCCAGACTACTCCGAAATCGCAAGTCCGCTTATGACATTGGCCGTAACGCACTTGGTCGAACCTTTACGAGCAAAACGAATTCGACGACAACAACAGCAACAACTCTTACTAGTAACAGCACTAACCGTAGCTTAATGTCTGGACACTCTGCTACGAACATGAGTGCTACAAGTGCTGGCAGCTATTACCGCAAGAAGTTTGGCAAGGATCGCCCGAAGAGCCTAATGAATATAAAAGACACGCCAGGAAAGGGTTATGGATTTGATGACGGCCGACCAGAGACGCCTTTTACTGGTGTGACCTATCACTCAAGCCACGCTTCCCAATCGCGACCCAGTTCCAGCGATCAACAACAAGCCGTTGTCAGCACGCAAGCAAGCGACGATCCACACCCACTTGGTGGTTTGAGGCAACCAAAGGCGAAACGTAGCGGATTCTTTAGGAAGATGATCGACACTGCAAAGACACAAGCAGCCAACGCTCGTAGCACTATCGATACAATTAGCCGGCCTGCGTCCCGAGCAGCTAGTCGCGCTGCAGGCCGTTCTACCAGCCGCGCTGCAAGTCGCATGGATGGTCCAGAGCAGACCGGCATTGAAGGTGGACCAGCCACTCACTCAGCAAATACTTCGAGGGATATGGGTATTGGCACAGTGGATTGGGTGCAGGTGCGAAGGGACATCAACCGATCTAATTCGCTGAGCAAAAATGAACGCGCAGAACGTGCTGAGAGGTGCCAGATGATGGATTATCCCGTCTTGAACCCGATTGACATTCTGAATGAGTCTGTCCAAGGTGATGAAGGCCTCGATGGACTTCCCATCACAGAGCCAACAGATTTCTCAGCCTGCAGTCTCTCTCATGTAGACAAAAGCGCACGCTTCATCAACAGCATTCCTCTGGGAACAAATCCTGCCACGTTGGCACAGGGCTACATCTGTCGCCCGTACCGGAGCGATATTCAGCGACTCCGCGCCATCTTCACCTGGGTCAGCGAACGTATCTCGTGGGAAGAGGATTTTGAGGGTGAGATGGACCCGCGCCATGTGCTGCAAAGCAAGCGTGGTTGCTCTGAGGAAATTGCCATGGTAGTTGCCGAGATGTGCGCTTCCGTTGGTATGCACGCAGAGGTAATACGTGGTTATCTGAAGACGCCCGGCGAGCCTCTGGATCTCGAGTCTGTCGCCCGACCGAACCATTTCTGGAATGCTGTGATCGTGGAAGGCGAATGGCGCGTCATGGACTGCGCACTTGCCGGGCCTACTCATCCAAAACGCGTGCATTATTCTACGGCTGGTTCGTCTGTCGCCGAAACTTGGTACTTCCTGGCCCGTCCAATGGAAATTTGCTACTCGCATGTACCACTTCTCCCGGAACAGCAACATATCTGCCCACCCCAGCCTCACGAGGTGCTCATGGCCTTGCCCTGCGCAACGCCTACTTACTTCCGACACGGCCTTAACGTGGTCAACTTTGACACCAGCGTTCTAAATCTGGACAACCTTGAAATGACGCATATCTATATCGACGTACCTGAAGATGTGGAATGCGTGGCTGAGGTTGAGGCAAGATGCTACTCCCAGGATATGGATGGTGACTTATTCGAGAGTGGAGACGTAGTCAAGAAGCCCGCCCTCGCACAGGCTGAATGGTATGGAGGACAGAAACGATACACAGTCAAGGCACTCCTCCCAACCGATGGAGGTCAAGGTGTGCTGAAGATCTATGCCGGACCTCGGGGATTGATGGTAAGAACTCTTCCAACTCGGTAGCAATATAAGTGGACTAACTCTCTGCAGCATTCGAACAAGCTCAATCCTCATAACTTGGCTATTGGTCTGCCTATAACGCATTCTGGCATGAACCCTCCATACTCATTCCTAACCCTCCATCCGACACCGCACGCCCAGAGACACGATCTTTATGTCGCTCAGCCACAGTGCGCCAGCTTAGCTCTGAACAATACCTTCGTGTTTTGCGTCCGTCAACACCCATCGTCTCTTACAAAGTCACCCGAACCTAGCCCCGCAATGCACGGTCGATCTTCGCCTAATCCTTTTGCTCGTCCCACATCTGCTATGAGCATGCAGAGCATATCTGCGACGGGCTCCAATTATACCAATCCGTCGCAGGCTTCCTCAGGCTCAGCAAGTAGCAACAGTAACAAGCCGGCCAAGCTAGCGATACAGACACCTTCTGGAAAGATTATTCGTCTGACAAGAAAAATTGAGCATATGAGCGCCATGAGTGAGGCTGATGGCACGGCATGGGAGACAGTTATCAAGATTGGCGAGAAGGGAACGTGGAGGGGATTGGTTCTTGCGGATCGTAGTGCGAGGTGGTGTGTATTTGCTCAATGGGAGTGCGCTTAAAGCAGTTTCTCTTTTGGCGCACAAAAAGCTCGCGGTTTAGTTGCTTCTTCCTGTTCTTCTTGCCTTATTTGAGACCACTACTTGATGATTTGTAATGATGTAAGCGTTTGGTGTTCAGCATACTAGCGACGGCTGCGATAGAAGTTTTGCATGATTATGGCGTTTTGTAGGATATGGGGGGGTGTGACGATATGATTCTGGAGTATTTGGTACTTTTTGCACTGCTTTGAACAATCGTGGTTATCTGACTTTGGGTGATGCAAGTGACGTATATGCGCTGAGCAGTGGTCTTATTGGTACGTAGTGACTCAAGTCACGGATAAGATAAGCGCCTGCCCCTCACTCTCAGTCTAAACCCCGCCACAACTTTTTCCAGGCCCGATCAACACTGAAAAGCTTCACAACGGGCCATCATGGACGCTGCTATTGCTGAATGGCAAACCCGCGCCGAGGCGCTCAAGCCATTGAACCTCAAGCAAATCGAGCCCCACCTGCTTGAGTTGGATGCGCACCTCACTCTGCGCTCCCACATTGTCGGTTACACGCTCAGTGATGCAGACACGACAGTATGGAAGACGATCCGCGAGAACCGTGTGGCCCATGCCTTTGTCAAGCAAGACTTGATGAAGAGCCTGTGCCGTTGGTTTCGCTACATTGAGGAGGCGTACCCCCAGAGTGTGGTTGTTGTTAGTGGAGGACAGGGCAAGGAGGGAGCAAAGGGAAAGAAAGAGGGCGGCAAGAACGACGACGCCAACTACGACATCGGATTGCAAGACGTTGGAGATGGTACCGGCATTGTCACAAGATTCCCCCCTGAGCCTTCGTGAGTTTCCCTGCGTTGTCGGCGTTGAAGCACTTAGAGCTAATTGTTGTCTTGCAGAGGTTATCTCCACATCGGCCACGCAAAGGCTGCGTTGCTGAACGACTACTTTGCGCACGAGAAGTACAAGGGCAAGCTCTTGCTGCGATTTGACGACACAAACCCTACCAAGGAAAAGCAAGAGTTCCAGGATGCCATTGTTGAGGATTGTGCGCTTCTTGGCATCAAGCCAGACTCTGTCTCATACACCAGCGATTGGTTCGACCAGCTGTACGAGATGTGTGTGCAAGCAATCAAGGACGGACTGGCATACGCAGACGACACCGTTCAGGAGAAGATGCGTGATGAGCGTATGAATGGCATTGCCAGTGCTCGTCGTGACTCGAGCGTCGAGGACAACCTGGCGCGCTTTGAGGAGATGAAGAAAGGCAACGAAGAAGGCCTGAAATGGTGCATTCGCGCAAAGATGTCTGTCGACGATCCCAACAAGGCCATGCGTGACCCTGTCATCTACCGCTGCAACCCTCAGGCTCATCACCGCACCGGAGAAAAGTGGAAGATCTACCCTACCTACGACTTTTGCTGCCCCATTGTTGATGCGCTCGAAGGCGTTACCCACGCTCTGCGTACCACCGAGTACAACGATCGTGACGCGCAGTACCAATGGTTTATCAAGAACCTCAAGCTCCGAAAGGTGCACAACTGGGGTTTTGCCCGCCTCAACTTTGTCAAGACAGTGCTGTCTAAGCGCAAACTTACCAAGATTGTCGATGCCGGCATTGTTGGGGGCTGGGACGACCCGCGCATGCCCACTGTCCGTGGAGTCCGTCGCCGCGGCGCCGTCATCCCTGCTCTCCGCGAGTTCATTCTCAAGCAAGGTCCATCCAAGAACATTGTCAATCAGGACTGGTTCGCCTTTTGGGCCACTAACAAGAAGCACATTGAGCCCACTGCGGCCCGTTACACAGCGATTGACGACGAGGGTCGTGTCCCCGTAACCATTATCGGCGCGCGCGAGGGCGTCACATCAGAGGACAAACCAAAGCACGCAAAGTACGACCTGGGCACCAAGAAAATTGTCTTCAGCTCGTCGGTCCTCCTCGAGCAAGCTGACGCGCAATCCTTTGCCCAAGATGAAGAAATCACCCTCATGAACTGGGGCAACGCCATTGTCCGCAAAATCACCCACTCGCTCAACCCTGTCGACATCGCAAAAGCAGGCCTCACAAGCGAAGGCCGCACCGTCACTGGTCTCGAACTCGAACTCCACCTGCAAGGCGACGTGAAGAAGACATCCAAAAAAGTAACCTGGTTGAGCAAAGACCAAGATCTCGTCCCCATTGAACTCGTCGATTTCGACTACCTGATTACCAAGGACAAACTCGAGCCTGAGGATACGCTTGAGGATTTCCTCAACCCGAAAACTGAGACGCGCACAAAGGCGCTAGCGGATTGTAATGTTGCAGAGCTCAAGGTGGATGATATTGTCCAGTTTGATCGTAAGGGCTTCTTTAGGATTGATCGTGCGTTTAAGCACGGGGAGGCGGTTGTGGCGTTCCAGATTCCAACGGGTAAGAGCAAGTAAGTTGGTTATAGTGGAAGAAATGGGTGGATATACAAGTAGATGTAGGAAAAGTTTTCCAAGAGAATTAATCCATGCAACCAAGAATTTCGATCGAGTGAGATCAAAGAGGAAACAATTGAATCAGTGGTAATGTGACTTGAGTGAGAGTGTATCCCAAGGGGTAACAGAGGTGTACAAAGACTGGTTTCTGACAAGAAAATATATAGAATAAGTTACTCGCTGTTGTTACCATTCGGGTATCTATTCGTACACTACATTCCGTCTATGCATTTCATTCCTTGCATCCATCAGAGACACGAGGAGGAGTAGCTACTGAAACTGCAAATGGGCATCGCACCACTCAAGTCAAAGCCCCTACTCTTGATCTAACGTCTAAGCAGCGTTAGAGCCAGCACCCTCCTTCCTACCCTGAGTCCCCTCCTTGGTGACCTCATCCGGCTTTCCCTCAGACATTTTCTTGTTCCTCTCATCCTCTCGCTTACGTTCAGTCTCCCTGACCAAATCAGGTGGACTGTCCTCAATCAGATCCGATTCGCCGCTCAGTCCACTCCACTTGGGCAGACCATCGGGAATATCCATAACACGCTGGCCGTAGAACATGTGACAACGGGGTTTGAAGTAGGCCTTGTCTTCGTCTGTCTTGAGGTGCACCAGTGAAGGGAATAGGAGGATCATGTTGCGGCCCTCGTCCATGATGGGTGAATGGCAGTACGAGCAGCGTACTTTGCATGGGAGCTTGTGCTCGACGGACTTCTCGGTGGGGTCGTACCATTCGAGATTGTGGTGGCCGTGGGTGAAGTTGATGTCTGTCTTGTGAAAAATGGCGGCCCACTGGAAAGGTGCAGCTGTGAGGCGTTAATACTCGTAATTGCTATAGGGTCATGTGCCAATGCCTACCGTGCTGAGTTTGGCATGTTGTGCAGTGACATAGCTTGCTGTCTAGAGGTTCCCTCCGGCTGAGCTGGTACTTGACCTTTCCGCAGTGGCAGTTGGCTTCGTACTTGACATCGAAATCCTCATTCTTCTCGTGAATGCGGTACGGAGGGCGTTGCTTCCACTCTGACAATCCCGTCGTCTCCTCGCCACGGCTCTGATCTTGGGCCATTCTGAAAGAAGTCTGGGAGAACGAGGGCTGCTGTCGTGTGAGGTGCGAGACTAGTTGGCGTGCACGAGGTAGGGCGCTTGAGGTCGTGAGCAGTGGTGACCGGCGAAATGCAATTGAGACTGCGGACATAAGTGTAGTGTGGTGAAGTGAAGAGAGTTTGTGTGTGCTTTTGATGGTTGTTCACCGTCATTATTGATGCTTTATTCGTTGCAATACGCGCATCTGACGTCACCATGACCGCCCACCGTGAACTACTACTACGCGACAATACGCGCTCTAGATTCGCTTTGCGTCTCATTGCGGGTACCGATCGTCCAAAAGAAAGCGCCTTTTTGTCGCTCAGATGCGAAGCCCAGATTTCGCCTCTCAATGCAATGCTTTTTACGCTGCCCCATTCGTTAAAACGTCATTAGTGTCACGCTATCCTCCCCCATTCCATCACGATCGATCTTGCATCCTTGTCTGTTGCGAGCCGTAGCTCGCTCCCTGGCGTCTCGGGTAGCCATATGCCCGCTAAGTCATGACTGCATCACCCGTTTGTAGGTACACAAGTCACTGTTCCATAAGGCTGGTTGAAAGCCACGCTACGGTCCGGGTGCACGGGAACGGGTAGTTCAAAGCTTACACTGTGATTGTTTTGTCATGTGTCGCGTGCGCTCATGTTCCTTTAAGTAGCTTCTGCGCTTCTCTACTAGATAAACCGAAAACGTTGATCAGATAGTCCAGCCTAGAATTACGTCAGCATTCGTTCAAACCCAATCAGGACTTCTACAACTTACTTGATATCTCCTGCTATTCGCCGTCGCACCGCTTCGAACTCCACCTCGGCCTTGTCTCTTGCAGCGTCTTGTTTCTTCGAATTGATCGTCTTTACACGGAGTTTGAATTTTCCACTGACAGGCCGGTGATCTGAGACTTTGATGGTGTCGTGCCGCCGGTATTCCAACTGTTTGATTCTACCAAGACCACGATACAAGAGACGGTCACACCATGCTGGCGACCGCTGCTTCTCAGAAGTGTCGTAGTTGTCTGTGCCTGGATCGTACTTGTACGTCGGAGCAAAGTTGATAGGCGACTCGGTGAATGCACGGAGACGGAAACCAGGGTTGCGTTTTCGTGACAGAAGCAACTGATCGCGTTCAAGAAGCTTTGCCAGATTTCCTTGCTGGACTGCGGCAACAACCGAACTACGAGGCATGGCGTCAATGCGGTAGTTGAGATCGCCATTGAGGATACAGATCTCATGATCCAAGATCATAGAACCGTCACCTCCTCCGACAAAGAAGTTTGCGCAGGAGGTTGGCGAGCGATTCTTTGGCAGAGGAGCACTCTCCATGATGGCAGCCGCGTCGTTGTTGCGATGTACTGTCTGTGTCTGGCCAGCCGCTAGATGGCAGTTGATAAAACATAACGAAGAATCGTCAATGAAGAAGCGCACAACAAGAGCGCCTTTGTTTCCCACACGGCCGCTGAATCCAAGTTTGATCTCTGCCGCACACACGTCGCGTATGTTAGCCCGCTCCGACTCCTTGATAAAAACACAAGTGAAAAGACCGACAAGATTCGCAGTATGCAACAACACATAGCTTTGCTGAGGGACTTGCTCATCCAAAACACGCACAAGGTGATCTCGCCATGCTCGGTATTGGTGAGACATGTGCTCATGCTCGGACGTCTCCTTATGTTTCTTTCTCTTGAATATACTCTTAGCGGTAATCTTTTTGTCTTCCAGGTCCACCAGCTCTTGGAAACCAAATACCAGAATGTCCGGCGGGTTTGCAGGCTCGAGTAATTCCCGGAAGAAGTTTCGATCTTCTTCTGAGCCACGTATCGTTGTGGGCTTAGTTGCACCGGCATTCCATGTCATGACCCGGGCCGAGAGTTCTCGGAATTCGCAATATTCGGAATCGCGCTGTTGCATTAGAGTTTCTACAATGTGTTAGCATCTGGCATAGTGATCAATATACCATGCGTAAGCTTACCAAGCCAATCTTCTTTCATCATACCATCCCAAATGCGCAGCATGGAATCGGTCCCTAGTGATGCTACTTGGAATCTATCAAGCTTCCAAATGCTAGTACGGTCTGCTAAGATTCCGGCTATTGGCTTGTCATGGGCCTTCCAGTCCTTCAAGACCTTCCAGGGATTAGATTTCGTGTCATACACGTAGATCATGCCCGTGCTGTAGCCAGCCCAGAGGAAATCACCGACACCAACTAATGAGCTGATCTTGTACACACTGACATTAACGATTCCGAGACATTCGAGAGTCTTCTTGGCATATATTGTGACCTTGCCATCAGCATGGCCAAAGTAGATGCGATCGGGCTGACTGCTGATGATGGCGCCAGAAGTCACATCGCCGACATTGAGCTGTGAGAGTGGTCCTTCTGTCAGCTGAACAAAATGATTACTGTCCATGGTGCGTGAGTAGACTCGGATGTCTTTGGCCGAGGCTACCCAAAGCTCCGATCCAGATACGATTGAGAAGGTGTTGCCTCGAGGAATGCGGAATGTATGTGGAGTTTGTTGCAAAGACGGGCACCCGAGCTCATCAGCTGGCCAAATGTGGATTGCACCATCTTCATCCATGGACCACATCTCTGAGGCATATCGAAAGATTTTTACAATGACGCTCCTAGCGTGCGCATTGGCCTTGGTATATACGACACTTTGTGTGGGGATATCAATCTCAAGCATCTCGCCAGTGTTTGTTCCAAGCCATAGTCTCTTTCCCTCATCCTCGACATCTTTTGCTGGTCTGAATGCAACCGCTGTAGCTTTGACTGTATCTCCATGCGACAAGCTCATGAGCAACCGTCCGGTCAGAATGTTCCACACATTCGTCACGTATCCCGTGGTGCATATGTACTCGCCACAGATGGCAAAGAGTTTGGTTTCGTAGCCGGTGGGGATTCCGGTGGTGCCATCAGGAAACACTGGTGGCCTACGGTTTGCTTGAGAAGAGTCTGGATACTCTGTTAGAGCAGTGGTTGGCTGCTTGTCCCCGTCTGTGTCCTCCTCGTCGGAGTCGTAGTAGCGCGGCTGCGATAGCTGCGAGGCTGGCATTGGTGCTGCCTGAGAAGGTCGTCTCATTTCCCCAGAGTTTCGTGGGGGCGGCGGTCTCGGAGGCTCTAAAGGCTTTGCAGGGTTCCTAGACAAGTGACCGGTTGTGTTTGTTCGCCTCGGAGGTAATCTGAACTTGCTATCCGTCTCTTGTCCTATCTGAATAGGGCGGGATTGGTCAAGAGAGCGGCGCACAGGTAATTCTGGCGGAACCGCTCTTTGAATTTGCACACTCTTGCGCAAATCAAAATTGTCCTTTTCTCTCCGTATGGGTAGTGTAGGGCGGTCATCTGGCAGATCACTTGGCATTGGCGGCGGTGCAGCCTTCTTCATTGGCTGCTTTCCTGTTGGGCGAGACTCAAGGGAAGATAGCTTTTCGGCCACGGCAGGATGTACCGGAGGAGGTGGAAAGTATCCGTTGTTTGTCGAACTCGTCTTGGACTTGGGGAAGCCCGAGTTGACGTACGGTGACTCGCCCTTGGCGCTCTCCCCGCTGCTACTGGGTGGTGTGCTGAAGGGAGACAGGTCAACGGCATCTGACGTGGCCTCTGGCGCCAGATTCGCGCGCGCCGCCGTATCCACCGAATGCGACTTTGGGGTTATCTTGGGTTTCCCTGCCCGATTTACAGGCGGAGGCACTGGGGGCGCAGACGCTATCGGGCGGTCGCTCTTTGGCGGATCGTTGGTGCGGCTTGGGCCGTTGGAGGAGTCCAGAGCGGCATGAGGGGTCGGTCGCGAGGGCTGCGGCGCATAAATGTGCGATCCCGGTCCCAGTTTGGGGGAAGGTTTTGGAGACTGGACCAGGACTTTGGGCGGCGAATTGGTGGGTGATCTTGGGGGTGAGGGAGAGAAGGCCATCATGGATGTGGGTCGTGGCTTCCCACTGCTATTCCATGGCATGCGCCCAAGTGTGTTGGACCGCGGCGTCACGGAGCCGGAGCCGCTGTAGTCGGCCACGCTGAGGGAGCTGTGGGAAACATGCTCTCTGGGAATGTCGAGGGATATGCGCCCATCGGACCTTCGGTTGTCGTCGGGCGCAGGAAGGCGATCGGTAGCACCGGGAGAGCGCTGACGGGCGGCGGGCAGCGAAGATGTCGACTTGTTGCTACTGAGTAGGTTCTCGAATTGTGCGCGCAAAGAGGAAACAGGTTTCTGTGGTTGGGGTCAGTGGACGGGCTCTTTCTCTTGTAATATGCTGTGTGGATGTGCAAGCAGGCTTACAATGGACGAGCCATCCATATTCTCTTCTGGTGGGTTGTCCATGGCGGGATAGCGTGTGCTTTGTTGGGCGTATTGGTGGTGGGGGAGGGGGAGAGACTTTGTCGTCAGCCGGCACCAGAGCGAATCCTATAGATGTTCATTGACGACCGAGGACGGCTTCCCATTTGGCGGTGGTGGGCAGCATGCAGCGACAGGAAGTTAGTTGTCTGGCGTGTTTATGTCGAGGCCCAAGGGCCAGGCAGGCTGTCCGTAGGGCTCCCTAGTGGAGACGCGTACACTGTCCTTCGGCGACAAGGAACAACACGGGCGCCGGCCGGGGGGTGTGAGATTGTTTCAGCAACAAACGGCGCAGTCATCTGGCGAGCTGGCGGGCGCTGGCCATGTTGTTAGGGGCAGGGCAGGGCAGGGCAGGGCAGGGCTGTCGATTCAGGGCGGTGTCGGTGTGGATGTCGTCGTGCGTGTGCGTGTCTGTGGCCTCGTCATGGCATGGCCGGCCATGCTCCACCATGGCAATGGCACTACCCAGGAACCGCCAGCGCCCTGCCCCGGAACCCTGCACCGCACATGCACACCACCGCCCCGGCCAGGCGATCATCAGGCACCGGGCGAATGACCGACGACCCTCGCACACGCCCAGACTAGCACCGCCTGCATCCAACCTCTACCCACGTCCATACACAGTACTTACTTCACACTACTACGGTACACTGACATTTGCTGGCCCTCGCCCTCGCCCGCCATGTGGTAACGAGCCCCTCTCCCCCCCTCCTCCTCCTCCGCCGTCACCTCCGCCGCCAGCCCGCTGACGCCCATGGTCCATGTAGCAAACACATCCTCAACGCCCAGGTCTCCATCCGCTCCCCCTGCTGTATGTTAAATACGCCACCACGACGATCAGCGACGACGACGTGTCTTTGCTGACCTCGAGTGACCAGGCAAAAAATGGTTCGACTGCGCACAGTGCCACGAGGAGCAGTCCAACCACCCACTCATGCAGACCTTTGACATGACCTTCATCTGCAAAAAGTGCAAAAAGGCCTTTCGCAAGGATGCGCGCGAGTTCGAGGATGCGTGAGTACACCAAAGCCTTCCTCCGCCTGGGCACATTGGCTGACGAGGCGCAGCGATGAATACTGCCCCCACTGCGACAACCACTTCGTGCTCGAGGCCAAGACCCCCAAGGCCTCACTGCAGGTAGAGGGCGAAGACGTGCGCAAGGACTCGAGGCATGCCCCCACCCCTCCCGCTGACCCATGGCCTCCTTATCTAACCTGCTATCCAGGATGTTGAAGGACGACCGTGTCCGGAGCGAGCAACTGCCGAGCATCTTCGACGTCAAAGAGGCTTCCTACAAGCTGGGCTGAACATTGCCCTCTCCACCCTTATCACCACCACAGCAAACACAAGCTACAACCAGCGCCACAATCACTACGCCACAAAACACCATCACGCACCGAGCGGGGGACTGGGCAAACAGAAATGCATCGTCACATGCTACATACATGCTGGCCATGCGCAATAGCTCGTCATCATCTGTACTAGACAGGTTCATCAGGTCTAACCTTCTACCACACCAATGTCATTCATGCCTTTTTCGCCATCACTCGTTATCCGTGTCCCTCTACGCTCCGCCAGCTCCAGAGCCCTCGCCGGGGGTCTGGCGGGTCAGGATAGCTGCCTGTCCAGTGCCAGGTTGCCTTCCGGGCCTCCTGTTTGCCGCCTCCTCTTGCTTCTCCGTGTTGATGTTGTCCACGTACTTCTCAATGTCCTCTACCGGCAGCATCTCAATCGGTTTGCCAGGCGCCATGATGGCAATCTCAATGTTCTTCGCGCCCGTCTGTACAACCTCCAAAAGTGACTTGACTGTGAGCTTGATTGTCTCCTCCCTGTCCATGCCTTCCTTGTGGTTGCGCTCGAGGAACTCACGGACCGTCTTACTTGATCGGCCAATAGCATTCGCTTTCCTGTCATTGTATTAGCACACTTGAATATCTGGGCCAGATCAATGGACGTACCATGCTGAGTAGATACCAGAGGGCTCAGTCTGGTACAGGCGCGGGGTCTTGTCGTTGGGGTCGAAGCCGACTATCAGCGTGCTGATGCCGAACGGACGGACACCACCACTCTGTGTGTACCTCTGCTGCACACCGGCAACATACTTTGTAATGTACTCTATTGATACAGGATCTTCGACGGTGAGGCGATGTGATTGTGCTTCCAGGCGGGCCTTGTCGACCAAGATGCGGGCATCGGCGTTGAGTCCAGCGAAAGCGAGAGCGACATGGGTATCAACAAGGCAGATCTTTGAGGGAGTAATCCGGGTATCTTGCAGCTTCATTGCTGATCGCTTTTCACATCCAAGTACCACTATGTCTGAGCCTTTGACCCCAACAGCACATGTTCCTGAGGCAAATCAGTCTTTCCCTTGGCAACTCCTTTTGCCGCCATTGCTCACCTCGCTTGACAGCCTCCAACGCATATTCGACCTGGAAGACGTGACCGTCAGGACTGAAGACTGGCACCGTTAGCTAAACCATCAAACTCCAAGCGGCATATGCTCGTACCGGAGAGAGCTCGATCGTAACCGGACGCCATTGTGGAGTAATTTGTATGCTGTGGTTTGGGCTTCTTCTTATTCTATCTCTGGAATTCGACGGTGAGACTCAGCAGCGGGAAGGCGGGGCAGGAAGTTGTTACAGGCGACAAGCTGCTCGCAGGAGCTCCAGAGCTGGCCGCGTCGATGCTCCCGCCTAAACGACGCCAAGGATTGTGGCACGTGCACTATATCTCCTCTTATGTCATCCTTGTTTGCTATGCCGAAGGCGACGTCGGAATAAGTCGCTTTTTCTTCATCACTAATTGCCATGGCTTCTTCGGCGCGCTTGGTATCGTCGACGCTGCGGCGAACTGCGCTCTCTTCACGTGCGTCATCGCGCTATCAATGTTTGCGATTGTCAAGTCAAATTCGGTGGACTGGTACCTCGTCAGCGACTTCGGAGCCTCACCAACCTGACGAGCAGGGTGGTGTCAAGGGCCCAACCGCGTCCTCAAAAGCAATCAAATACACTTCGGAGTCGTAAGCCTTCACCTTTGCGCAAGCTTTCAAACTTCGCTAAGCCGGCCAGGTACCCCCATCTCCAACGTGACTCAAGATTCACCAAGTTGAACGAAGAGCATGTGAATTATTTCAAAACTCTGCTGGGCTCCGAGTCGGCTGTCATCGATGGTGTTTCAAAAGATGCATCGCAGGATATCGAGCCCTTCAACAGTGACTGGATGCGCAAGTTCCGCGGCCACACCAAACTAGTTCTAAAGCCTAGCTCCACTGAAGAAGTTAGCAAGATCCTCAAATACTGCAATGACAATATGCTCGCCGTAGTCCCACAGGGTGGTAACACTGGCCTCGTCGGTGGCTCTGTGCCCGTTTTCGATGAGATTGTTATCAACATGCAGAAGATGAACCAAATCAGATCCTTCGATGAAGTGTCTGGTATTCTGGTCGCTGATGCTGGTGTCATTTTGGAGAATGCCGACAACTTTCTCGCCGAGAAGAACCACATCTTTCCACTGGACCTCGGTGCCAAAGGATCATGCTACATCGGCGGTAATGTCGCAACCAATGCTGGTGGTCTCCGTTTGTTGCGTTATGGCAGCTTCCATGGAAATGTGCTAGGTCTCGAGGCTGTACTTCCAGACGGCACCATTGTCGACGACCTTTCGACGCTTCGTAAGAACAACACCGGTTATGATCTGAAACAGCTTTTCATTGGCGGAGAGGGTACAATTGGCATCATCACAAAGGTTTCAATCATCTGCCCTCGAAGGTCGCCCGCAGTCAACGTCGCGTACTTTGGCCTCGAAAGCTTTGAGAAGGTCCAGAAAGCATACATTGAGGCCAAAGGTCACCTTTCTGAGATCTTGTCAGCCTTCGAGCTTATGGATGGACGGACACAAAAGCTGGTAAATAGGGTAACTGGTAAGAAGATGCCACTTGAAGGCGAACATCCTTTCTACTGCCTGATTGAGACCAGCGGCTCCAACTCAGACCACGACAGTGAGGTGAGGCATTCTACTTTCCTTCAAATATGTAGTCGCCACTAACTCCTTGAAGAAATTGCAATCTTTCCTAGAGCACGTCATGGAGACTGAGGTCGTCTCGGACGGTGTTCTCGCTCAAGACCAAACACAAATTCAAGAACTCTGGTCATGGCGCGAAGGTATTACCGAGTGTCTTGGCCATGACGGTGGTGTCTACAAGTATGACTTATCGATACCGATTGCCGAGCTCTACGACCTGGTCAATGAGACGCGCGACCGGTTGACCGAGGCTGGCCTCCTCGGTAGTGATCCTACGCACCCAGTCGTTGATGTTGTAGGATACGGCCATATGGGCGATGCCAACCTGCATCTGAACATCCCAGTGAGAAAGTTTGACAAGACTGTGGAGAAGGCGCTTGAGCCGTTTGTATATGAGTGGGTACAAAAGCGAAACGGTAGCATTAGTGCCGAACATGGTTTGGGTGTTACCAAGAAGCCGTACATTGGCTACAGTAAGAGTGAAACCATGATCAAGCTGATGAAGCAGATCAAAGATCTCTATGATCCTGTAAGTGGCGCCCGCATGGATTCCCCTTTGACGTCAGACTAATATTGGATCAGAACGGTATCATGAACCCGTACAAGTATATATAAGAGTCGTTACGAAAACAATTTATTGTCTTTGGCTCTCAGAGCCGTTCAAGCCTCATTCCTGCATGATTATCTTCTCCCAGTAGCTTCACTGCGTTACCTACATATATCGCATTCCTCTGTTCTTCACTGAAGAGATTCTCGAGACCATCCTTCATTCGATCTGCGAATGACTTGACGAACTGAGTTTGCGTAAAGGGAAAGTCGCTTCCATAAAGAAATTGGTTGTGTGAAATGTTGAACCCTTCGACGAACGCTTTCAGCTGTCCATTCCCACCACTTTCTCCGTCAAAGGCGAAGCCAGCTAGATCAAAATAGAACTGGGTTTCTAGTTGGCGTCGTACTGTTGAAGCACTCAAAACCCTCCCACCAGGCACCACACTGGAGAACTGAATGAAGCGTGTCAACAGCGGTGGCAAGGCACCTCCAGAATGCGGAATGACAAACTTGATGTTCGGGCAGCGATCCACAGTCCCTGTGCTGAAGAGGTTGATGACAGCGCGCGCCGTATCGAAGAGGAATTCAAATATGGGAACAGGGTACTGATTGTCAAATGGCAGCGCGTCAGTGGTTTGTGCAGACGATGTCGCATTGCCATGCTTTATGCACGGTTTTGTAGGGTGAATAAAAACGGTTGCGCCGATTTGGTTGAGTTTGTCGAAGACGCGATCCAACTCTTTTCCACCGACATAATTACCATGGTAGTTGGTCATTAGCCCGAAACCCTCTGCCCCTTCGCCGATACACGTTTCAATCTCTACCAACGCAGCTTCGACGTCTGGTAACGGTAGCGCGGCCCATACGCCAAATTTGTCGGGATGTTGCTTCTTAAGCTGCGCAGCGTAGTGGTTACATTGACGCGTTAGATCCCGGCCCAAATCATCTTTGCCAGGTACAATGTGCGTCCCGGGCGAGGATATGGAGAGGATGGACCTCGATACGTTAGCCGTGGCCATCATCTCAAGATGGCGCTCAAGAGACCATTCTGGGATGGCGGGCATGCCATCGGGGTTCGAGTGCCCATTCTCAGCTAGTGCGGTGCGATAAAATGGCGGAAGAAAATGAGAGTGTACATCGATTCGTCTGGGTAGTGGGTGGGACATATTGGTGGTATGTTGCGGGGCTGCAATCGTGATGGTGCAGGCTACTGAGAATATTTGGACAAGGTTCAGTATGGAGAACATGGTGCTGATGCGTCAGCACCACGTTCTTGTATGTATCGTTATATGTGACGCTCATTGCTTGGACACTTCACCGTCAAGTGGCATGCTTCCTAGGATTCGGGACCCCGCTCCGGTTGCGGTGCAAGGCGTGCCTGCACTGCTCCTTATGGAAATGGCTCGTACTCGGCTCGCCAGCTGCAGAATGCAGGCAATACTGCACTGGCTCCGGACTAGGCTATGCTATGCGAATCTGCGGACAATTCATCGCGCAGGGGAACACGACTCAAGAGGGCATGAATATGCCGATGGCGACCAAGGATCCTGACCGTCGATCCGATGCCCCACCTGCGGCCTCCAGATGCACTTTCCCTTACTTTTTGTTCTTTCCTCACTTGCAGCCATGACACCCCATCTTCCGCCACACCACTTTGGATCTCACCCTTGGTTCCCTCTTTGCCATGGAGAAGATTACGGATAAGATCAACGCGCTGCCTGATGGCGCCAACTACTTCTCCCTCGAGTTCTTCCCGCCCAAGACGGCAATGGTGAGTTGACCCCGCCGCACGCGACCACGGCCAACGGACAGATACCGGAATAGCAGAAACGGGCACTAATGGTGCCATATAGGGTTTTGCCAACCTTCAGACTCGACTGGAGCGCATGTCACAGGCCCTTCGTCCTCTCTTTGTTACTGTCACTTGGGGCGCTGGCGGGTCCACAGCCACGAAGTCGCTTGAACTGGCCGAGATCTGCCAGCGCCAATTGGGCCTCACAACATGTCTCCATTTGACGTGCACAAATATGAACCGCCAGCTCATCGATGAGGCGCTGGAGCAGGCACAAGTGTTAGGTATAAGGAACATCCTGGCCCTGAGGGGTGACGCACCGCGTAGTGAAGAGTACAGAGATGAAGATACACCGCCTGAGCAGGACTCGAACAAGGACTTTACATGGGCCGTCGATCTCGTCAGGTACATTCGGAAGCAATATGGCGACTACTTTTGCATTGGCGTTGCTGCGTACCCCGAAGGCCATTCAGACCAGAGCCACCCTGAGCACCAAGATCCAGTGGCGGATCTACCGTACCTCGTTGAGAAGACCAAGGCAGGCGCAGACTTTATCATGACCCAGCTATTCTATGATGTTGAAGCTTACGACAAGTATGAGAAGATGCTAAGGGAGCATGAGAGTGGAGTGTTCAAGACAATACCGATAATTCCAGGGTTGATGCCAATCCAATCGTATAAAATCTTGCTTCGAACAACCAAACTTTCGCATGCGAAGCTACCCACAGACATAATCGCACGTTTGGACGCGGTGAAGAGCGACGATGAGTTGGTCAAGCAGGTCGGTGTTCAGATCATGGACGAGATAGTGGAGCACATCAAGGTGCGGCCAGACACATGCAGGAGGGGTTTCCATTTCTACACACTCAATTTGGAGAAGGCTGTGTCGCATATACTGGAAGATACAAAACTCATTCCCAGCACATTGATTGATGACGATGAAGTCATTGTCGAGACAACACCCGCCATCAACTTGGAGCCGCCACCCAACGGCATGATGCCCCACCGACGTCGATCATCAGCTGTCAACTCCGGTCCGCGCAACAGGGTGATAGTGTCACATGTTTCCGCTGCTCGGTCGAGTAATCCTTCGTATGAAGCAACTGAAGAGGAGGCTGGAATCCCGCGAGGACCAATCAACACCCGCGCAAACACCCTGGCAATCTCGGAAGGTGAAGGTTCTTTGGGTCGTGAAGCAACATGGGATGATTTCCCTAACGGTCGATGGGGTGATGCACGCTCGCCTGCATTTGGTGAGATTGATGGTTATGGTCCAACACTGCATGTCTCTACTCCACAAGCGCTTAAGCTCTGGGGACACCCCGTTGAGAAGAACGATATCTCTACACTGTTCCGCCGCCACATCGAAGGAGATCTCGAAGCTATACCGTGGAGCGAACAGGGTCTATCACCAGAAACTCTAACTATCAGCAAGCAACTGCTCGCTCTTAACGCCAAGGGCTGGTGGACTGTCGCCTCACAGCCCGCCGTTAACGGCATCAAGTCCACTGATCCGGTCTTCGGCTGGGGTCCCAAGAACGGCTACGTCTTCCAAAAACCCTTTGTCGAATTCTTCATCCCCGCATCGGAATTCGCCACCCTGCAACCAAAACTTGATGCTCATGACCAAATTACATATTTCGCCGGCAACGCCGCAGGCGACTTTGAAGCCAGCCAGGAAGACGGCGTAAACCCCGTTACCTGGGGCACGTTTGCGGGCAAGGAAATCGTTACCCCGACAATCATCGAGGCTGTGAGTTTTAGGAGCTGGCTCGATGAAGCGTTTAGTATCTGGCGCGAGTGGCAAAGGATTTATCCCCCAAGAAGTGCGCCAAGTACGCTGCTGGGTGAGTTGAGGCGCGATTACTGGCTTGTCAATGTCATTTGGGGTGATTTTGTCAATGGTGAGGGACTTTGGGAGTTTTTGCTGGAGTAAATATCGGGTTGCTGTTGTGACTAAGTATGTTTGTGAATGACAAAGAGATGGAGTAAAAAGGGAAATCAACAAGTAGTAAGTTGTCTCGTATGGACGCCCGCGTTTTTATTTCGCTATGAAGCTCAACTAGTCAAGCTGATATTTTCCTTCATCGTCTTCTTCTGCTCAGGGATATCTTTAATCTTACACATGCCACACATACATGAGAGTATGCCAGGATGAACTTTTTCATCTTGACTTCTTCTTGTGATGCAAACTCCTAAAACGCCAGCCGTGCTACATTTTCTCTCTTTATTTTTAAATCCCATCGACTTCGGGCTTGAATCTTTGTGGTAGAGAGAGAGAGATTGATGAAAAAAGGGGGAGGAAGAGGGAGAACAAGAAAATAAAATGCGGCTGTGTAGTGGGGACACTGTTTGAACGCGCAAGAAATGCTAGAGAGTCTTACCTAGAGAGAGTTCTTGAGACGCGTCAAGCTTCATCGCGCGAGGGTGAGACTTGGTTGTAGAACGTCTCCAACCGCTCTCAAAGCATGCCCGCAGCAGCCAAATCGCGATACACCTTCTCAGGCATAACGTTACCCTCCGAATCCTCCATCTCCACCACATTATCCGCCATCATCTTCTCCTTCTTCTTGTCTTTCTGAATCTTCTTCCACAAGTCCTCAGCCTCCTTGATACTCGTAATCTCACGGAAGAGGGTCGTGTTAGTGATGCCAAGACACTTGAGGCCGTGAATGTGGCGGGGCTCGTTGAAGTGCTTGTCAAAGGCGCGGCGGCCCATGTAGACAAAGTTTCCGCAGATTTCGCAGGGAAACTCGACGCCCAAGCCGTGCAGCTTGTACAGCCAAAAGGGAATGGGCTTGCCATCCCAGGCAAGGGGTAGTTTGAGCGGGTTGTAAATCTTGTCTTCGCCGTCCGAGTCGTTGGCTTCCTCGTTTGCGCCGTTTTCGGGTGTCTCGGAGTACAGTTGCTCCAGCTCTTGTTGTCGCTCGCGTTCCGTCATGCCTTGCTTTCGCTCCACGTTCATCTTGGTGTCACCGCGCTCCGTCTGCATGGCTGCAGCGAGCTTTCGTATTCTGAACTCTCGCTCGGCGACGGCGCGTTCCTTGAAGCGTTGCATGTCTGCCGAAGCACCGTTTGCGGACTTTCCGCTATCTTGTGCGCCGTTTTGGCTCTCTTGTAAAGCCTTCTTGTGCTTCTTTCCTGTCAAATGTGCTTCGTAGACTGTCTCTTTTGAAAATCCCTTCTTGCATGCGGAACACCAGATTCCCTCGCCCTTAGCTTCAGTATCAGCCGATGCTGCAGGAGCAACTTTTTCCCAGCCTGGAACTTGGTCCTTTTCCCATAACTCCTCAAACTCCTTGTCAAAGTTAGCGAAGAGCCGATCCAGGTTCTCCAGAGGCTTTGTCCGTCTCATGAAGCTCTCCAGATAGTCTTGCAATGCCTTCAAGTAATGAAAGTAAGACTCGGACTTCTTCTGATCGCGGCGAATGTTGCATTGCGGAGGCGTGAAGACATCGAACAGATCGAGGTACTGCAGATACGTCAGGCGGCGCGCGTGCTGATGAACAGGAAGGTTCAAGTACTGCTCATGCAGCGTGGTCAGGTCAAAGAAGCGACCAAAACCCTCCTCGCCAGTGAACATGGAGTCGATCGCTGCAATGGACTGCGCGTGGTCTTCGGGCGACCGCTTCTTGTAGGCCTTCTCTAGGTTCTCGACGGGCTCGTTCGGGTAGCGTCTGTGAAAGTCCTTAATGGATTCGACTTCTTTTAAGAAGGACTCCATCGGATCGCCGTGTGTGAGGCCGCGCACCTCGTCCTCCTTCTTGCCATCTACATCTTCGTAGATCTTGAGGAGGCGACTCGACTGGCTTTCAATCTGCTCGAGGAATCGCGCAATGTCGTGGTCACGTGCGAGACGGTCGCGAATCTAGTAAGACGTTAGTATGTGGTTCACGATAGATGCATTGGAAGACGTACATGCGGAGGGTCTTCAAGAAGGCGCTCTGCGGCGGCATCCTCGAGGCGCTCCAGGTCCTCGTGAAGCTGGCGCTGTTCTTCCAAAAGCATGATCACGGTCGCCTAGATTAACTATGAGTCTCGGGGTATAGCAGCGATTCGGCAGTGGATGTGCACACCTTTGCGGGCGTGAATGTTGTCGAGCTACAGGGTGGAGCCTGTCGCGGCTACATAAAGTGAAAAACGCGCTAGTACCCGGAATGGGATCTCCGAGGCTCCGGGCCTCCGCAACGCCTAGACGTAGCTGCTCCCAAACTTTGTTGCGATTGCGAACAAAAGTCTCCAAAAACCTCAACCCCACCACATAAATATCACCTTATTGAAGTCAACATGGCGGACGGAATCGACCGAAATGCCGACGACAAGATGGAGTTCTCCACCTCCAAGGAGGTCACGGTTGCGCCGACCTTTGAGGCCATGCACCTGAAAGAGAACCTGCTGCGCGGCATCTACGCCTACGGATACGAGTCGCCTTCAGCTGTGCAGTCGCGTGCTATTGTGCAGGTCTGCAAGGGACGCGACACCATTGCCCAAGCTCAGTCGGGAACGGGAAAGACAGCAACCTTCTCCATTTCCATCCTCCAGGTTATCGACACCGCTGTCCGAGAGACGCAAGGTAGGATCGCATCCGCCTTCGCTGAAGAAGCGCATACTGACAAACCACAGCACTCGTACTGTCACCCACGCGCGAGTTGGCGACCCAGATTCAGCAGGTCATCATGGGTCTCGGGGACTACATGAACGTGCAATGCCACGCCTGTATCGGAGGCACCAACGTTGGCGAGGATATTCGCAAACTCGACTACGGTCAGCACGTAGTCTCTGGAACACCTGGACGCGTCGCCGATATGATTCGCCGCCGCAACCTCCGCACGCGCAACATCAAGATGCTGGTTCTCGATGAAGCCGACGAGCTTCTCAACCGCGGTTTCCGCGAGCAAATCTACGACGTCTACCGCTACCTCCCACCTGCGACTCAGGTTGTGGTTGTTTCCGCCACCCTCCCATACGATGTACTTGAGATGACAACCAAGTTCATGACCGACCCTGTGCGCATTCTAGTCAAGCGTGACGAATTGACACTAGAAGGCCTTAAGCAATACTTCATCGCCATCGAAAAGGAAGAGTGGAAGTTCGATACTCTCTGCGATCTCTACGACACACTTACCATCACACAAGCGGTCATCTTCTGCAACACACGCCGCAAGGTCGACTGGCTCACCGATAAGATGCGCGAGGCCAATTTTACTGTTTCCTCAATGCACGGTGATATGCCACAAAGGGAACGAGACAGCATTATGCAAGACTTCCGTCAGGCCAATTCCCGCGTGCTCATTTCCACAGATGTCTGGGCTCGTGGTATCGACGTGCAACAGGTGTCACTCGTGATCAACTACGACCTTCCGTCGAACCGCGAAAACTATATTCACAGGATTGGTCGAAGCGGCCGATTCGGACGTAAGGGTGTGGCCATCAACTTCGTTACTCAGGATGACGTCCGCATCCTCCGTGACATTGAGTGTAGGTTTTCCAAAAGCAAATTCGTTTCAAAGACTGCCAGCTAATTATGACAGTATATTATTCGACTCAGATTGATGAGATGCCTATGAATGTTGCCGACCTTCTCTCGTAGATGATTTTCTAGTTTCTGCATAAACATATGCGATCAAGTACCAAACATGCCTTACACACAAAATAGGCATGACAATGCCGCGTAGTGAAGAATGGTCAAGCCACTCCCTTCAAAGGACAGTGTGGAGGAAAGGGGCTCTACAGCCAAAGAGTAAGCTCATCTCCGCTACTGGATTCTATCTTTCGCCGCTAATACCACCGTTGTACCCAGAATTAAATTGAATATATACCCAATGGCGTGCTACAATACTACGAATCGACTGGCAAGTTGGTGTCTCTTGACGACATTTACTTAACCATTTTTTGCGGATTCTCAATCTATATCTACACCGTCTTTATTGATGTATCGAATGAGAGGCACTGTTTCTTAGCACGATGCGCTGAGGATAGCCCCCAATTACTTTTGCTTTACTATACTGCTTTGTGGACTCCAACATCCCGTGTTACATTCCTGGCTTATAGACAATTGGGCAGGACGTTGTTCACTCGGCCTTGCCAGCCATTTCACGCACTTTGTACCCGATGTACGGAGTGGGTTACCGCCAATGAGCGGGGTCATAGCATCCTCCAGGAGGATGAGCTATCGATGGAAAGCGATCTGATGCTGGAAACCTCTTGCAGCCGCGCCACTGTGGGTTCCCCCAGAGGCGCTATTCGCCAGTTTTCAATTTTGACACCCACGCTGATGCTAGCCTCCGCGTGGCTTTCACGGTTCGCGTGGCCTCTGCCACCATCACCTGCTCCAACATTACAAAGCTCTGGTGTCGATGTATTGAATTTACTCAAAGGGGATCTGAAGCCCAATGCTATATAGCATAGCTCCGATGAAATTCTTAGACCCTGCATGTAACGAAACCGTGACTCTTAAGTCGTCACTATGTCGATAACAGCGCCTTGCGAATTCGTAGAGCGGACTTTTGGTCAAGTCCATATTCGTGCGTGTATGTCCACTGGTTCGATTTAACGATTATGTACAAGAAGACACATACGGAAGTGAGCTCTAAACCAGGCTGACAGCATTGGATCAAGGGGAGTGTATTTGGCTGGAACCCTGAATTTAATGCAGCTTGGGATTGAAGTGTAAGGAATATGGGCTACCCAATCTTCAGTCTTGGTCAACGAATAGGAGGTTGTTCTTGATTTGGACAGAAAATCATGAGCGAATCGAGGCCGGAACCCATGGTATGGTTGACAAGTAACTAAACATGAGGTGATTGTTTGGTGCGTTGGGGTTACCGGAAGCGATCCAAGATCGAAGGACACCTTTCTATGTCCGCTTGGAGGGCCAATGCAATGCCGAAATGCAAAACATTCTGGCGAGAGACGGTAACTTTTATTCAACATGACTTCAAGACGGTTCATGATCTACCAAACTTCATCACAAGTCACCCGTTCAGAACGCACGGCTTCTACCTTGCCATCGCGTGCCGTATCATGAACCATTTGTGTCCTGAATTCAGGGTCATATCCATAAATCCACCCAACCTGATCGCGTGACCGCAACCGGGTTCTCCACCATGTATTCTCCGAACCAACTCTGCCCGTCATAGCACCGCACTTTCGAATTTGAGCCGGCACTGTGGTATTAAGAGTGAGGATAAATACTACTTATCCTACCTTCCAGGTTTCATTCTCATCAGCAATCGCTTTTCATCGCTTACTCTACAGTCCAGCAGCTCAAAAGCAACCCCACAAGTACGTTTTCAACTCTCAATATCCCAGAGCACTCTTTGCCTCACTGCACTGGAGAATTCCTGTAACAAAGTTCTCAACACATCGTCTTCAATTACCAGATCCCCTTAAAACCCCTTAAAACATCCTCAGATCTTCTTCAACTAGCAACAATCGCCTTACAATCACCTTCACAACACTCTAACATTCTCGCCCGTCAGAAAACCAACCCACCACACACACCGCAAGAGAAAAATGCAGCTCACCACCGTCACCATGGCTCTCGTCGCCCTCGCCGGCACTGCTCTCGCTGCTGACCATAAGCCGAAAGTTGACCCCCCACCTCCTCCCCAGCCTCCTCACCCAGTCATCACCGTCCCAGTCGAGAGCATTGCCCTGCCCATCCAGAGCGTCGCCATTCCTGTCGAGAGCATCATTGTGCCTGCTATCAACCCCGCGCCAATCCCTATTCCTGCGCTTCCCGTTCCCGCGGCTCCCGGACATTAAGATGTGCGCGCATGTTCGTCGACAAATACAAAAAGGGGCAGGCGAGAGTAATCAGTGGGGGCTTTCGTGGTGACTTTGAGGATGCGGATATGATATCGTAGCTTCCTTTTTCCGAATGTGGCAAGGTATCAGAAAAGGGGAGGGTATCATGTTGGAGTTTCTCGTCATTCTCAAGTTGGTTCATCGCTTGTCTTTGGGAGTGGTGCGGATATGGAAGTGTGTGGTTGGAATTATTCTTTTCTCTTCTTCACCTTCCTTACCCTCATTTTTAACTCTGTTTTCTACATGGATCTAATTTTGTTCTGTCGATGCATCTGTACGTGTGGGGGTGCAAGGGGAAAAGAGATACCGCATGTACAGAATGTATCGATGGTAGAGACGAAGTCTCGTTTTTGACAATACAACATCTCTACCTTCTAGTGATGTCATCTTTGGTCATTAAATTTGGCTGCTTATAACACGTATGAATCTTTATCCTGATTTGCAACTCAATATTTTGCTGTTGTGTCTCTAAGGATGCGTATCTTCACCAAATGCCAACTGCACCCTCCAAGCATCGCACGATTTGGGCTATCGTCCAATGATCAGAAGCTCGGTCACAGAAAATCTGTCAAAAACTCGCAGGCTCCCTGCGTTACCGCCCAAAGGAAATAAATGAACGAGACGCCAAGACCAGCAGCCAGTCGAAATGTCTTTTGGCTGCCTACGCACATTGACACTGCGCCTCAGCCTTGCGCGTTCGAGAACTTGTGCGCTGCGAAAGCCATCGACACGAGCAATTTTCCTATATTAAGCAAAAAATTGTATATTTAGGGGTAAATTTTCGCGAGGAAGAAACAGGTCATAGGGAAGAGGGCACTATTTGCACACATAACTTCGAGTGAAAGCCAGGCACGTTGAAAGAGTTGACGCGGCTAGTACGGTGCGGCTGCGCCCCAACGGCCCCACAGATGACTGTCGCTGAACGTTCATAACGGAGAACCATACACCCAATTGATAACATCACTGTGCATACGCTGATTCTTCCGTGGATGATATCGCATGGTGATTGGCCATTTAATCGGAGACTTGTGCACCTTGTACCTTTCCCCGCCACGGTTACATGCCTTTCTGGTACTAATGCTGGCCCCAACCGATCTTCAGCTTGTCAGCCCCCGTCAGCCTCGTCTGCCTTAATGCAGATAACAAGGCCCCCATTTGCTTATAAGTATTCCATTGGGCCTGAAATTATCAGGTAGCATTCACCCATCTTCTCCCGTGTCGCTACAATAATTCTTGCCCGAACCATGCGTTATCTGTCAATGAGTGGTAAGGATGATGTCAACTCCACTGCCGACCATCGTTAACATCCCACAAGCCGTAGTAGCTAGTGTACTTGCATCTAGTACAGCCTTTGGACTATCTTCCCAAGAAGTGTTGGACAACAACTCCCCACAAATACTCAATGAAACGGGCATCGATCCCTGTACCTTGGTAGACTCGCCAAAGGCGAATGCCAGCGTGCAATTGGGCAGTTGGCTAGAATGCGCCGTAAACGGTACAGGAACTCTACGATTGAAAACACAGAACCACCATTTCTAAGACTTTTATCCTAGGGTTTTACCCGTTCCCAGCAAACAAAAACTGGCCCGAGGGCCACGCAACGTCTTTTTCAAAAGACATCAGGTTTACGTTCAACGACACGCACTACGACTTTGAAGGCTCACGACGGCTTTACAACACATTCAACGCAACCCTAGGCGTCGCTTTCGCGCCCTTCAAGCACGGCTTCATCAGCACTCTCGGCATCCCCAACGCCAATGGAGACAAGGGCGGCTTCGTGTACATGATTGGATGGGCTGGTGGATTCCAGACGCGCATACAGCGCGATGTCTACTTTACCAATGCGGCGTTTGCAGTTGTCAAGGAAGTGGAGGGGGAGAGGAAGATTGTTGAGTTTAGAGAGAGTAGTAACATTCCAAACACTGCGATCTTACCGCCACCGGTTGAGTGGACGTGCGAGTTTTAATAAATGGACGAGACTTTCAGGTTTTATCCAAAAAAGAATGGATTGGATATTTAAAATGCATAGAACACTGGTGCTCGTACATGCGAAGACAAGGGATTTTGGGACTACGTAGAAGAACATATGCTACAAGTCCTCATGTGCGTGCAATTGCTTCGTTCACCAAAGCTCTGAATAAAAAATAACAACTAGAATGCATTGTATTGTACATACAACACATCCGTTAGTACCTCAACAAACGATTGGCTGACTTGTTACATTGAAACAGCGAATCGCAAGTCAGGCTAAATTTCATGGCGCAAAATGACATACTATGCGTGTAAGCAACTCTTCAACTCACCAGGTCCTAACACAACCTCCACTTTCGCTACGTAAAGGCGCAGTCCAACTAGCCATGACTCTCAAACGCATCGACCAAGAACTCACCATCCTCCGGCGCGACCCCACAGACACATTCTCCGCGGGCCCAGCTGAGACGGGCAATCCACTTGAATGGGTAGGATACATTATGGGTCCACCAGACACTCCATTCGAACGAGAAAAGTTTGCGTTCGCAATCGATTTTCCAGAGAATTACCCCGTAAAACCTTTTCGACTTAGTTTTACGAGTCTAATTTCGCATCCTAATGTTTCTGAAGAGGGGGTTGTGCTAATGCCGGAACTGGGGGAAGAGTGGTCGCCGGTGCAGACTGTTCGCACTGTTTTGATTTGTTTGCAGGTTTTGTTGACGGAGCCGGACCTTTCTACGCCGTACGATTGAAGGCGTGAAGTTAGATACAGCAATCGAAGTCCGTCTCTGATTGCGATACAAACGCCACGCAACTGTTTGTTGAACAAATAAATCCCAAATCAAATTCTGACAATCTACCATCCACGGAGGATAAGTCTCTAGACTCTACATCTCAGTCCCTGTGAAATTTCACAACTGCTAAGCCCTTGCCGAATTACAAAGAGTACCGAAATCGTTCAACAGCCCAGACTATGCGCTACCACAAACCGCCGCACCCCTCCCTTCTCAAAACTATCCCAGCTTCCGACTTCAAAGACTTACTAACGGTAGCACTCGACCTCCACACCTTCAGCCTTGACTTCCTAAACATCATCCTCATCCCACGCGAAGATGACTACCATGAACCCAGAGACATGCACCCATTAGCAACAGCAAAAGGGCTACTGATCGACTATGACGATCTAGACCGAGAGTACGGTTGGGTCTTGGCTTCTGATCACGCAAGTGTTGATAGAGTACTGAGCCGGTTTTGCAAAGCTGGTAGGAAGCCGAGCGAGTGGTTCAAGGAATTCGTGGCCGAGTTGGAGAGTGTACGAGGATTGTTGGAGAAGGAGGTTGCACAGTGGGAGAAGGTTTATGATCATAAACCTTCCTTTTTGCGTGACAAGTAGAACGTGTCTTGGTTGCGGTTGCTGGCATGGTGAGGTATTGCTAGGGACCGAGGTGTAATATGGGTTAAGATTATCGGGATAGTAATAAGGCTGGTGGTATTGCCAAGGTTGAGCTTGCTGGGGTGTTTGTTGATTCAAATGGTTCAAGGTAGTTTATTCATGTTGATAGTGCAACTCGCTTCCCATAAAAAAAGAACTTGGCAATCTTGCCTTGAACTAATCTGTTAATCCGATGGTATAGAATGCACTTTAGTAAAGCAGCATAATGATTATGCATCCCGCTGCTCATATTAAGAACAAGAGCCAAGATCCAAATTTAGTCTTGCGTTTCGGCGGCATTCCTAGTGATGCAAATGGCACAGACCTTAATAGTATAGAGGTACAGTGTATTATCGCGCCTAGACGTTATGCCATAAAGAGCTTGCATATATGCCTCTCTAATAACAATAACACGTAGTAACGTGATTCAAGGTGAAGTAGTATGACTACTTATATCAATTACATAGCGACCTTAGCGTTTGCACACCATGCAAACAAGCTAAGCACAGATTTGTCAAGAAAGCTCGTCAATCGCAGTAAACAACAGTGAACAGGATGCTAGATGAAAAAAAAAAGAGTAGCCCCCTCAAGCAACCCTAGACCGGCACAAGGTATCCATACACTCATTATGGAGTGTTGGCACCAATGTGACTCCCCGGATCCGCGCCGGCCCGAGTCAGCCCGGACCACATACTCAAACAAGCATGCACCCTTACGTTTCAAGCCTGGAAAATCTCCGTTGGAAGAAGTGCCGATTTAAGCCTCATTTTGTTCTTTTCACGGCTGCCCGCGAACGTCCTACCCGGGCGCAAATAAACGCGTGGGCCTAAACGCGCTGGTAGAAACAAATGTAAGCCTTTTAGGAAGAGGAACACACCGGCCGGTGAAGATAGTAGTAGAAGCAGCACAAGGCGGGGCTGTTAGCGCCTTTGTAGCATAGTGAAAAAGATCTTCATGGAGTGGCGAAGAATACATACTACTACTGTAGATTAAATGCTGGGCCGGGTGCTGGTACCACGGGTTCCAAATCATCCGAGCGGATGAAAGTGCTGTACACGGTAAAGCTAGTGTCGGATCGTTCTTTGGGGGGAGGGGTTACCGAAATGCTACTCTAGGACGGCAAATGCAGCCACATGGGTTTTCTAGTGCGGGAGAGCAAAAATGTTCTCTCGCCGCTGCGCGCCCAGTTTTCAACAGGCCAAAAAAGGCCAAGGCATGATTGATGAGGTAGCTTTCTTGTGTTCTCCACTAATAGTAGTCGGATGATATCAAATTGTTTGCTAAAAAAAGAAAGCAAGCACATCACACAAATTGTTTGAAACTTGTGTCACCGTGAACGAGGGGTTGATAATTGTTTGCTTCATTATTTTTTCTCTCTTCATATCACATTGCTAATTCATGACAGTACTATTTACATCACCCCCACTGTTCTTGTCCCCCCGTTTACATGGGTATATGCCGAGATCGTCGTTTTAAAAAACCGCTAACCAAACTGGACTATTATGAGGTGTTAGCATTGAGTGGCTCGGTGGAAGATAACAAGGGTTATGAACTTACAAATGCAGATCATGTAGCGCTTAGGCAGTGGTGCATGTGCAGCCCTTCCTCAGAGCAGGGTCGGTGCTAGGCCATCCCACGCAAAGGCGACGCCCACAGTTCAATCCGTTCACACCACAGTTATCTCGTGCGCAGGGACCGTTGAAACCTTGTGGGAGAGGGTCTGGCATGGCGAGAGCGACACTGGCAAAGAGGGTGGCGATTATGATCGAGAAACGCATGTTGATGGGTTGAGGAGTAGGATTGGTAGTTGGGTAGTTGGGTAATGATTTTTAGAGTTGAGTGTTTGTATTCAGAGCTGAGAAGAGAGGTTGTTGTGCTGGTGTTGTGCTGGTGTAAATCAGGCCGGCCTGGCTAACCTTTATATCTTTACATCAGTCTAAGATGTGACGTATCAACGGGACCCGAAACGTGACTGCTAGACCGCTGGTCAGAGGCTACAGGGACCGAATGGCCGTCCCACAACCATGCCCCAGCATGCGATCCAAGACCCTACAAGACCAGGATGGTACTCCCAGGCCAACCCGAAACGACACAGCCAGTGCCACTACGCAGTGTTCAAATATGAAGATCAATTTGCTGCCCATGCAAATCATGGAGCAATGCACACAATGCAACCCAAAGTGGACGGATTGATGAGTTCCGCCGTCAGTTGCGTTTGGGCGGCAGAGACTTGGCTCCTTGGCCTTGAGTCTAAGCTGGTAGGCGGTAAGCGGACAAGAGTGTAGATCGTGGTCGATCACCAGCCTGAGTTTTTGCCCAGGAGCTTTGCTGCGGACAACACCTTACGTGTTAGTTTAACCGAGATTGTGGTGGTGTCGATTCGTCCTCTTGCTTGTGTTAGTGGAGTTGAGGCTAAGTTGAGATTGCCGAGACTTTTGTGCAGATCACAAGGGGTGGGAAGGCCAGGGTAGGGCTGTATATGGTAGCCAATATGCATACACTTTAGCATACATAGATAGGTGGGCGTCACGAGCGTGGGGAAAACAATGTCGCATGCCCAGCACTAGACGGCCTAAAGCACACAACCCTGGGCACTGCGGCCAGTCAACCTGACGTACTCGAGTGTCTTGTCCGGGGCTTTGATGTCGCAAACAAGGCGGACTGTCCACATCCAGACGATATGAGACGAAGGCGATGCACCTTAGCTAGATTCCTTACTGCCGGCTAGGATGATGCGCCGGCGGCATGCGGATGGCAATAATAACCCGGATATATGCCAAGGAAAAAGCAGCCACAGAGTAAACGGAACAAGAAACAGCTGCAGAGGGCTATGTCAGTGGCGTGCACCGGGTACGGAAGACGCAGGGCTCCATGTCGAACACGGCGCGTTTCAAGGCGAGAGAGTGGAGAAGAGGGTAGAGGGCGGGAGTGGGTTGGAAGGGAGGGAAGCTAGACGCGTGCCTTAACTCCGAGGCTGTTATCTCCACGCCTGCCTAGCCCAGTCCAGTCCAGCAGCCATAGGCGGGTACCCCGTGTTTCCCCGCCATCACCAGTGACCACTGCCTTGATTCCCCCCACCATGAGAGACGATACGAGCAGTAACAAGAACAACAACAATAACGATCACAACAATCAAAATGAGGGGCGCCACCACCTGCGCCCCGAGGACAACCCGTTCGTCGCCTTCCGCCGGTTCGCAGACTCCCAGGTCTCCTCCCTCCTGAACACCGTCTTCACCCTCCCCGCCACCCTCGCCAGCTACAACAACGCGCACCAGGCACGTGAGTTGTGTCTCTTTGGCAAGGCCAGTCAGCATCAATGCGACAGGCTTCATGACATCGAGGTGGAGATTGCCGAGCTGCGGAACGAGGGGAGGGAACTGTTCAGAGTGGGCGATGTGCAAGCTGTCCTTCGTAACAGTGAGGAGCTCATGAGGCTGGACCGCAGGGCTGATGACATACGCCGCGACATCTTGCGTGTCTCTGATCGAGAGAATCAAACACAGCCCCCTCGTCAGAATGAGACCGACCTCGTCGAGAGAGTCGCCAACAAAAAAGGCCAGGAGTGGGGATGGTCGTGGGACTGGGGGTTTCCTCGGCCATTCGATCATGAGAGTCAAAATAGCCGGGACACATCAGAGGATCAAGACACCAACAGCTCTGTAGCTTTGGACAGGCTGCTGCGGATGCAAGCGGAAATGATGCGACTGGCCCAAGACTTCGAAGACAAGGCTTGGGAAGACTCGGCCGTCCATCTAGTAAGATTCGACAATTACACCCAGACCCAGTCTGACGGTAAACAACCTCGTCTATGGTCATGGTCAAAGTCATGGCAATGGCCTCCAACGCCAAAGACATCATCGTCTGACATGGATGCATACTCGCCTTGTGCGCTAGAGCAAAATCCTACCTTGAACAGAGCAGGTATACCGTGGCGCGCTGCCTATGAAGATCTTCTGCGGGCCGAAGAGCTCTCTATGTCGCAGCAACAGTCAGCGCAGACTATGGAACAAGACAACGAGACTACGCATCCAAGCAGCATGTATACCGACGCTTGGTCGTCTCGGCCCAAGATCCCTATCACTCACCGACAATTGGAAGAGATGGTGGAGCGGAGCGAGGAGCCTATTTGTCCACGGCTTGCTGCGCAAGCTGAACCGGGCTACGGATACAGCCACGATCATGACGACTATACCAAGGAAATGCAAGACCCCGCGACGGAAATGGACGCCTATGAGCGTCTTGATGCTGCGTCTGCACATACAGTCGTCCCGCCTCTGGCTGGGCAAAACGAGCAGAACGAGGCCAAGTCTTCTATCTTATCGACACTCACAACTACCGAGCGCACTGTTGCGCCCAACGGCACCATAACCACCAAAGTCTTGCTCAAAAAACGCTTTGCGGACGGCCGCGAGGAAAGCACAGAAACTGTACATACTGAGCGCGGCCAAGAAACTAACAACCCCTCACGAGATCCTTGGAAGGCACTACGAAGCGCTCAGTCGGATTCGTTGGAAACAGGGGATAGCCATGGCAAGAAGAAAAGTGGTTGGTTTTGGTCCAGCTAACTGTCCTGCTGTCAGTAAATCCACGTTAAACTATGCAACAGGTTGTGTGAGATTTCAAACATCTTAGTGGGTTTGCAATCGCTGTTCGCTTCTATCTATCTGGCATATTCCGGTTCAGTTTTCTGTAAATAGCAATTCGCACATACCCCTCTCAATTCAATGCAAATTCTTTGTCTTCTTTCAAATCCAGAAGATTAATATCATTTTCGTCTTGGTGTTTTCACTGTCCTGTTTCACGTCTGCATGTCAGTGTTGCATCACGACTTGGCAAACGCCAATCTCAAAAACATTCTCGAATGATCATCAATACGTGTACAGCCCCCGTCACATGTGCTCGAGAGCCGCATACACCCCCCCCCCACGCAGTGTCACAACCTCCATTCAGACGTGACAGTTTTCGAGGCATTCCCCGCAACGCGGACCCATCGTCCCAACACTCCGCCTACAGACACTCGCCCATGGCAAAGCTCCGTGTTCACACTGCCTGATTCCACCATTCCACTTCGCATAGCCCCATTAACCACGCATATACTCTCCCCACTATACATCCCATGTACGAGCTGCGCCCTTGCCCTCTCGCACTGTACTAGTACCTGCCTGCATAATGAGAGCAAGCACTGCCACACGCCAAAATATAGTAAACCCCTACACAACCAAGCGCAGGAACACTTGAGCACCGCCCCCCTAAAGCGCAACGCATACCCCTTTCCTACGTCCGTAAATAGCAGATATGGTGTTCTCGTCCACCTATAGACAAGTGTGACATGGGGGTAGAAGAAAGATGGGTCTTGGCGTTTCCGCTCCGCCGCTGGGCGGGAATCAGCTGAAACGCGGCGCGTGGAAGGACTAGTCTAAACGGGTAGTGTGTCGGAAGGGGCAAAGGTATGTGGAATAACGGCGCGCATAAGGTTTTTTCTTTCGCCGCATGTTTTTTTGTAATGATCTTGTTTCTCAGGCTAAGGAAGATTGGGGAATTGTGAAACGGTGTTTGCAACGTACTGGGTGGGTTTTGCCTGAGTTGTGCTGGGATCACAAGTGTTGTGGATGTGGTGATTGTTGGATCTATTGGTGGGGAGTTGTTGCTGGGTTTGATAGGTGTGCGTGTCGTGTCAGTAAAAGCGGCGGAGAAGGCCGCTTCATGCCTTGTGTACGTAGGCGCTGGGTTGTTGATGCAATGAGGCTCTTCGAAACAGTGTGGGTGGAGAATCGGAGTATACTATGTTTGTATGCCTGGGTAGGGATTGGATTTCATGGGTCGACTGAAGCCCTGGGATATTTGTAATAGAGCTAATCGCAGCGGCGGAGGGACTGGGTACGAAGCACTGATTGCGAGACGCCTGTGGAAGACCGGCTAATCTGCTGGTGATTTGACTGAACTGAAAACATTGGATTGCATGTAAGAACATTATCTTTTAGGTTTGCGCTACCTGGTCGATAAGGGAAAAGCACAGGAGATGACAAGAGTCGAGAAAAGTTCAAGAAATTCTTGACTTAGGACCGATTCATGAATGCAGCGTTGTCAAGTTAGCCGTCTGTTTTTTGTGCGGAAATACCAGGCAAGATCTTTCTCCATAATCAGTAAAATGATTATCGACGATGAACCTTCAAAAGCGTACCTTGTGAGTATCCCCACTTCTGCAAGAGACGCTCGATTCCTTTTCTCGTCGATTTCCTTGCATCTTCTCGATCAATTCCTTGATCAAGCAAGGTGTCGTATTCTGTATGCCTATGACGAACATGCGCAATGACGGCAAGCAACACCTTCCGCGACAATGGTATTGAGTTAGTCCTGCCCACTCTGCCAGAATACTTCTTGAACCCATGTCTAAGCACAGTTTCTTGTTCATCTTGGGGCATGTGCGGGAACTGCTTTTCCATTTCAGCACTTGCTCTGGCAGTGTCAGTAGCATCGCGCCTGTTAGTTGCAGCACGACGCGTCGAAAGCGTTTGTTTCGCCTGCTTGTGTACTGTGTCTAAGATTGCCAAGGGGGCACGTAGCCCAATCTGTTTCTTCTTTTCGAATACAATATATAGAGGACGAGCTGCTTCATGGGTGAGCTTGCGGCAATGCAGCGTTTTGTACCGATTTCCCTTTGGGAGGAAACCGTACGCTTTTGGCATTGGTGTACCCGCGGATACTGAGATCTCAGAAGGCATTTCGACTAGTGAACTGTCCGCTCGTCTGAAATGTATCCTTGAGCCTTGGTGTATGAAATGGATTCCTGTGACCAGCTCGGTAAACACGGAATGCAGGCTGAGTGCTTTTGATATTTGAATCGGTAGACAATGAATCAAATTACATTATCCCTCCCCTTTTTTTTTGTTGATGTGCACAATGACCTGCACGGCACGAGCGTGTGTACAAAGGGGGTTGTTGATGCGCGGCCGCGTTGAATGAGTCGCGCGTGCAAGTTGGCAGCCCAGACGCTAGACCCAAAGCGTCCACACATGATTCTGTGCTAACCTCTCTCAGAATACTTCGACTGCTTTTTGGTCCGCGCCTCAATGTTATTTCGACTCTGTGAACTGGTTGCTGTTTTTGCAGGAAGGTTTTCCGTCGACTTGTATCGCCAGATATGATGGCTATATTGGCTGGGCCTGCCCTCCCATTGCTACGGATGACGCGGCAGCCCCAGATCTAACTTTGGCATCAAGGGGCGACGGGGCCCACCTGCGCGCACCAATCCGGCCACAGTTACAGCTTATAGCTCAACCAGACTCCAGCCACGGTCAGCTTAATGGCAACATCGTGGCATACTTATAAAATCTTCAGCCACACCTACAGACCCTGTCGATGCCCTTTCCCCACGCGTGACCTGATCTTTCCGCCGTCTCTAGCTTCTCTGGCCATGCAGATCAAGCCTCTGAGTCGATCCGATACAGGTTTTGGCGATGATACCGACCTAGCCAACATCACATACAACGACAAGTACGTCATCGCGTATGACTTCAGCAACGTTGGTATGTCCATGGGCCACTCCACTCATGGCTCTTACTCACAAGCACCAGACGATGATGTTGCCATCAAAGAGTGCCAACAGCTGCTGCACGATCTCGAGTCTGCTGGACTGAACACCGAAGTGCGTGCTGGCTACGATGAATCCTTGTTAGTCTTTGTCCAGGTACCAAGGGATTTGCTTGGCAACACTGTTTACAAGTCAAGGTATGCTGCCAATGCTCGTAGCTCTTCTCAAGCCTTTGTTGCCTAACATACCCCCCCAAGAGTCAAGGATTGGCTTTATGGCATCACCAAACACCATCCCGGTGGCACCGCCAAGTCGATCGTTTCAGGAGCTTTTGAAGCTGAAGATGTCCTCTCTGTATATCACCTAGTCAACTGGCGTAAAGAGGTTGGGGGTGCAGGCATCACTCCGGGTTTCCCGCCGTGGGAAAACGTCTCCTCAATCTTCCCGTTACACAACCCTCGTGCAAATCGGGCGCTTCTGGCTCATCTCAGCACACGGGTCTTCTTGGATTTGTCGGACCTCGACCAAATCCGTAATCTCTGGGGCTCCAAAGTTGCTTTTTACTTTGCTTTTATCCAAACATACTTCCGTTCGCTTGCCTTCCCATGCGCTGCTGGACTCCTCGCATGGGCATTCCTTCCAAAGTATTCGCTAATTTTCGCCTTGTCGATTGGTGTTTGGTGCACAGTATTCTTGGAATACTGGAAGATTAAGCAAGCAGATCTTGCTATCCGCTGGAATGTGCGCGGCGTGGGTAGTTTGAAGTTGGATCGTCCACAGTTTCGTTACGAGAAAGAGATCATTGATTCAGCTGGACGAGTGCAACGCATTTTTCCTCGATGGAAGCGAATCCTCCGACAACTGCTTGTTATTCCTTTTGTTATTATCAGCACCCTGATTCTTGGCGCTCTCATCACTTGCGTCTTCTTTATCGAAACATTCATTGGCGAGGCATATGAAGGACCGCATAAGTTTTATCTGGTAAGTCTAGTCTTTGGTTGTTGCATCACAACAGGTGGTCTAAGAAAAAACTAGGAGTACCTTCCAACTATTCTTCTCGCAGTTTTTCTGCCCTATGTCACCAGCTTTCTGGAAGACATTGCTACCGTTCTGACAGATTATGAGAACCATCGCACTGGGGATAATCATGAAATGTCTCTCACTCAAAAGATTTTTGTGCTCAACTCCATTACCAACTACTTGCCCATACTCCTCACCGCATTCGTATATGTGCCCTTTGGTAACAAAGTCTTGCCGCTATTACAGAGCATGTTGGATGCGGCGCTGGGCTCCCAGAACCAAGGGAAGACCGAATTCCATGCCGATCCTGACAGACTACGCAACGAGGTAATTGCGTTGACCGTAACTGGTCAAGTCTCCGGTGCGGTTGAAGAGTTAGCATTGCCTTGGCTAAAGGAGCAGGTCAAGCAATGGTGGCGCGATCGACAAGCTTCTCGAGCCCAGAATCAAGGAAACGTGGGCGCAATAACGATACCGGAAGACCCCATTGAATCTAGCTTTCTTCGCCGCACAAGAAGGCAAGCGCTTCGCCCCTCGTATAACGTCCAGGAAGACATTGCGGAGATGGTGATCCAATTCGGCTATCTCGCATTGTTCAGTCCCGTATGGCCGCTAGTACCCATTGGGTTCTTTATCAACAACTGGTTCGAGCTTCGGTCCGATTTTCTAAAAATTTGCGTCGAGCACCAAAGACCCCCTCCGATTCGTAGCGATGGTATCGGGCCTTGGGTCGCCAGTCTAGAATCCCTAACATGGCTGGGGAGTGTCAGTAGTGCCGCTATTGTTCATCTCTTCGGTACCGAGCAACTTCTTGGCCGGTATTTTGATTTGAGCACGTGGGCCAGTCTTCCACTCACGATTCTCATATCCGAACACATCTTCATAGCTTTCCGAGCGGCGGTCCGATTCGCACTTTCACGAATCGGATCAGAGCAGATACGCAAAGAAAGAGCCGAGCAGTACGCCGAGAGAAAGCGACATCTCGATGAGCTCGAAGCAAAGGCAACCAAGGTATCCCATTTGGATGTAGCCGAGCGCGAAAGAAGGAAGAGTGTGAGGATCAACGCAGCAGATATCTTTTGGACTAAGCAGGTCGATGTAGGAGCTAGTGCTGAAGTCGGTGTCAGTATCATCAAAGCGAAGAAGATTGCAAAGCACGAAAGTAAAGTCACAGGTAGGAGCACCAAAATAGAGTAGAGAGATCAAGTAGCATACAATTATAAAAGATCAACTTCTTCATTCCTTTCAATCAAATATTTACAGCATCTCCACCAGTCAAAGTATTTACAATAATATGCGAAAAAGAAGGATAGGTAAGGAACCAAGAGACGACATGGTCTTTTCCGTTCCCAGGATGTTCAACATCGCAAGTAGTTTACTTGAGAGCGTTGAGGACGGTGGTGTAAGCCTGCTTGGGGTTGTAGTTGCTGTCGAAGAGAAGAGGGTTGCCCTGGGGCCTCCAGGAGTCAGTGTCCCTGACACCCCAGACGGTGATACCAACGCAGTTCTTCTGGTTAAGGCAGGCCTTGGTGACGTTGGTCCAGTCAGCCTGCTGGGCGTTCTGGATGTCGACCTCGGTCATGGCGCACTCGGAAGCAGCGCTGCAGAGAAGCTGCATGGCGTCAATGGTAGCGGCACCCTGGCCGGAGGTAAGGTGAGTCTGCGAACCGATACCATCGATGGGGATACCAGCGGCGATCCACTTCTTGACGTTCTTGGCCATGGCCTGGGTCTTTGCGTAGCCGGCGGTGTCAAGGCTATATTGCAGTCAGTATATAGAAAAGCTTGGTAATCATAGATTGGTGCTTACTTGTAGTCGTTGATGTAACGCTTAGCAGCTGGGTCGGCCTTCTTGGCAGCCTCGAAAGCGATGCGGACGAAGTCCTCACCGAGGACGTTGTAGAAGACGCTGGCACGGAAGCTGCCGTTCTCCTCGAACATCTCGTTGATGACGTCCCAGGCGTAGATCTGGCCCTTGAAGTGTCCCATGACGGTGGAGATGTGGTTCTGCATAACAGTGGTCAAGGTGGCCTTGTCCCTGATAGAAGAGACCCAAGCAGGAAGCTGGGAGTGCCAGATGGTGGTGTGTCCACGGATGAGCTTGCCATTGTCCTTGGCGAACTTAGCAGTCTGGTCGGCGGTACCGAAGGTGAATGTGCCACGGGAGGGCTCGGTAGCATCCCACTTCATGGAGTTCTCGGGGGTGATTTGACCAAAGTCGGCCTTGATGATGGCAGCGTTCTTGCCCTGGTTGAATCGGCCTGGGTCAGTGGCGGTACCGAAGTACTTCTTGCCCTTGGCCTTCATTGCGGCATCGAGGCTCTGCGCAGCCTGGCGCTCCTCAAGGAAAGCCTCTGGCTCAGCAAAGGGAGAGGCAGCGACCAAAGCGCTGGCGGAAAGGAGGGTGATGAGAGAAAACTTCATGGTTGCTAAATGATTGGTTGGATTCTTGGTGGAACAGAGAAGCTGAAATGAATGAATGTGATGGATACGAAGATATACTGATGGGCCCAGCTCTACTTATACCAATCCATTGTCCCCAGAGTGTCCTAGACTATTCAGCGCACGAATTTCCTCCAAACAATGTAATTCGCCTCAAACAACGGCAGGCGTCGTCTAGAAGCCGTATACCCACCACATTGTGGAGAACCCCCGAAAATAGGGCGTTAACGCAATCAAACATCACCTGCAATCGTGCCTACAATGCGTCGTTCATGTCGGCCATGCCCTGAATGATTCCTAGTCTTACCGCATAGAGTAAAAAAGTGGAAACAAGGCGTTTCGGGTTAATTTATTCCAAGCTTCAGTGGTCGGTTCTTGTGCTGCTTGAGGTGCTTGGCGTTTTCTGCACGGGGAAAATGCGGCTAAATGCGAGTAGGGGATTCATGGCGAAACAACAACAGCGGGCCCATGCTTGTTCCACCTAATTCTCGAAACGCGACATCATTGTGCTGAATAAATTTCCGATATTAATATGTCAACAGGGGCTGTGTTCAGTGCGTACAACGTAAGTAGATATTCAAAACTATAGCTCTGTAGACCGCTTTACTCTGCGCGCGAGTAATTGCTGGAGCACAACAATGACTGGATCCACGAAGCTTTGATAGTAATGCACCGCAAGACGGGAAATGTCCGGCATCAGTGCTGGTTCTACGGATCCATTTCTGTTCTTCGTTGGTTCTTTTTGGCTACGTGGTGGCATGCAGGGATGGACGATTCGTGGAGAATATTCCGTAGCGATGGACCTTATTCGCCGATCGACTTGGCACAAGACCATTTGGTAGGGGTAGTAAAGCCGTTGAGATTTACGAGGATGGTTTCTCCGGAACAGAAGGAATTGTGGAGTGCATCTGTCTGGGGAAGCTGCATATGCTGCCAAGGTACCTGCGGTTATTGTCTTCCACAAGCTTTCCAAGACCCCACTTGGCGAGCTGAATATCCAGGCTTGATGGAAATGGACGTTTGATTGGCACACCAATAAGGAGAAACGGTGTACGTTCTCTACTGCGGAAGATTGTTATGCCGCACCAACTTCCAAAGTGAGCCGCAATGCTCACGCCAACACCGTTTACTGCACTGCACTGTGATATTTGCCCGCTGGATTTGTTTGGTGATGTGACCAGATTAGAGCCCAAGGAATAACTGCTGCTCCTGTGGTGCTGCACAAACCAGATCTAAGGACCGACGCCTATTTTGTCTCGTTTCCAGTCAGCACTAGCATTTAGTATACGTTGTTCTTCAACCAGATATTGATATGTTAGTGTCACATGGTGGTCCCCAGTAGCGCCTGAGCATTGCCTGAACTTGATCTGAACGATGATTGGTGCCCTTGATGTAACAGCCGTGTACGTGGATGCGCATAGATCATGTTCCTGTAACCGATCATCAATATGGGGGATCCTCCTCTTCTAATTTATTTTCGGGTAATGTGGACAGGAAGTTGATTCTTTTTCGGTCTGCTACTGCCTAAACTGTGGAAGGTTGGGCAGATTCTTTGTCCTGAAGTGGGCTGATAATGAGCAGTCGGCGTTTCTGCTTGAGATTGCAATCCCCGTGAAAGGAGAACAGAACTTGTCCTACGTACAAAGCCTCCTCTCTAACGGCGATCTCTGTCCGAAGCCAGAGGGAGGAAGGGAGGAAGGAAGGGAGGGAGGGAAGTGGAGCTGCGAACACTGAGCTGTTAGTCACGTGAAATCGGTCTTCCAGATGACGTCACGACTATCTTCATCTCGTCCACACGAGCTGTTGTTATGTCCGGCTCCAACTTGTTCTGTCCAGTTACATGTTCTTAAGCCCGGCTCTATCTTCTTATGTCAGGCTCCAGCCTTTGCACCACATTTCGGACGTCCGTCAATGTCCGAATCACTTCGGAATCCCGACCGGCTAGACTTTCAATATAAAACTCATCTTCAGTGCTGTTAGTATATCATATGCATAATCTAAATCTTGAAGATCAGTGCTCTAAGCTCTCACAAGCTTCTCCCATCCTTGTGGCACTTACTTTAATCAACTGCAAGCTTTTCCCTTCCTCCGTCGCACGTCCTAATCGGTAGCATGACTTCGAAGATCTTTTTGAACAAGATCGCACTTGTTGGTGCCAATGGCAATATTGGCTCACACATCCTGTCAGCCCTGCAAGCCAAGGACCGATTTCAGATCACCGCCATTAGTCGTGTGCAATCCAAAGCTACATTTCCAAGTGACATTAGTGTTGCACGTGTCAACTATGCTGAACCAGAGACTCTGGTCAACGCCTTGAAAGGACAAGATGCTCTCATAATCACCATGAGCGTCTTCGCACACAATGCGCAAGAACAGCTCATCCGTGCGGCAGCGCAAGCTGGGGTACCATGGATTCTGCCAAACGAGTTTGGCATGTTCAATACAGAAGACATTCAGAATGAAATAATAGGATCTGGGAAGCAGAGAGATCGCGCTCTAATCGAGAAACTTGGTGTCTCATCCTGGATCGGCATGACCAGCGGGTTTTGGTACGAATATTCGCTCAGTGGTGGGCAATACGGTATCGATCTCAATAAGCGAGAAGTGGTGTTCTTTGATGACGGAAATCAGCGTCTGAACACTACAACGTGGCCTCAGACTGGGCTTGCTGTAGCGAATTTGCTATCGCTGCCTCTATCATCTTCTAATGGGAAAGGCCCAACATTAGAGCAATATCGCAACCGCATGCTATTCTTTTCTTCATTCACACTCAATCAACGCGAGATGTTTGAAGCGGCGCAAAAGGCTACCGGAACCACGGAGAAGGATTGGAAGATATCTTCCGAGCCAGCCAAGGAGCGGCTGATGAAGGCAAGGCAGAGACTGATGTCAGGAGATCGTAGTTCGTTTGCAACGGTTTTGTACACGCGATACTTCATCGACGATGCTGGCCTGTACGAGAAAAACCACGGCCTAAATAATGATGAGTTGAGTTTGCCCAAGGAGGATCTGGTCGAGGCTACGAAAAGGGCTGTGGAGTTGGCCAAGACTGACTTTTGGGACAAGATGTACAAGTAGTTCACCCATTACATACACAAATAAGACAATGCTACTTTGCAGTGTAGTTACTATGCATTAAATTCCGAGTCATGTCTATCTACACAGTACAGAAAGATCGACCAATCTTTAGCGTCACCAGCGACTCATTCCATGGCCTTTCTAGTTTTGAACTCTGTTCATCAATCAAATACGATAGCAGCCTTGACAACTTCCTGCCTCCTTACTGCGTCCAGACACTCCGCCCACTCCTCAATTCTGTACGTTTTGTTCGCAATGCCCTGCAACTTGAGTCTTCCGGCATTGACATACTCCAACACATGTGGTAAATGACTCATACTACAAAAGCTGGCCAAGATGGTAACCTCATTCTCCCAAATCTGAAATGGAGACCATGAGATTTTGACGCTGTTGTCATAAACACCATAAACAATCAATTTTCCGCCTTTTCGTACAAAGTCGAGGGATGCTTCTAGCACTGTGGGAGCACCGGTAGCTTCTACGACAATGTCGAATCCATACGGATTAGCAGCGCGGAGGTCTTCCATATCGGTCTCAGGGTGGTCGTCAGAAATGGTAATTAAGGAGTCTGCAATGCCTAAGGAGCGAGCAAGGTCGAGTTTAGGTCCTGCTTTTGAGGCGATCGTCAACTGAGGCTCATTAGCGATCACTATTAAGTGTGATAGGAGTCTACATGCATGCGCGGCACCGTTCATTTTGATCAGTTGTGCGAGTAATATGCCTGTCGGTCCACATCCGAACAACAACACTCGACTACCAACTTCTAGTTGCATCCTCTCGATACCATGTGCAGCACAAGCTGCTGGCTCAAGCAGAACTGCTTCGAGGTCCGGAAGGTCGCCAATCGGAAATACCATCCGCGCAGGGTATCGGCAATATTCAGCCATGCCACCAGGTACGTTACCGCCATATCCGATGACGTTTTCGCAAAGCTGTGGCTTCCTTCGAGTACAGTGGAAGCATTTGAGACATGGTTCCAGGGCATCCGCTGCTACACGATCACCAACTGCTACGTTGGTTACATTATTGCCGACGGCAGCAACTGTGCCTGCTGCTTCGTGACCTGTAGCTGTGAGCAAGGAGTGATATATGTACATGAGGTTGGGCATACCAGGTATTAGGGGCCACTGATAGGATTCGTCAGCAAGGTTGACATGACATGCGGAAAGCCAATCTTACCCTTGCCAAAAACTCGCCTTTATGGTAATGCAAGTCCTTGGAGTCGGTTAGTAGGGAGAGGCTGAATTTTCTTCGCGAAATATCACATACAGTTCCGCATACACCACAAGCCGAGATCTTGACCTATCTCAAGTTACTCCCTAGTAAGCAGCGAAATGTGAGCCGATGAACCTTACAAGAACGTCATCATCCCCGATCTTCGGAACATCAATTATTTCCACCGCAAATTTCTCTGGTTCAGAGTATCTGGTAGGTCTTAGCAAGATGCCTGTTCTTCCGCAAAGTGCGAGCATGCCTTACTGCAGCGCCTTCATTTTCTCAGGTACAGCCTGATGCTCGCTCTTCTTGGGGGCTGCATGGCCGTTCATCGTAAAATTGAAGTAGTTGAAAGCTTTGAATCTATATGAAAAACATACATCGTGAACCGAAGCATTTTATACCCAACGTTTTGGTGTATCCCGCCACGAAGGTTATGTTATTAGACGCGTCTGTATCTGGGGTGCGGGGTTCGGTATACCTTCCTCGTCGCGCCTGTTCCAGCACTGCCGGCATTTCTTCTTTGGGAAAGCGTGTGCATTCTACCAACCACGACTGCGCTATCATGGCTATATTTTTTGCTTTAGTCTAGTTCAAAGGCTTCTGGTGGGATGGCGCTACCCTTCTTAGATTACTCTGTTTTTCCTGCACGCTATCTGCTGTTACAAGTAACAGCAGGAAGGATCCTCTCCCTGGGTCTGACAAAGAGTAGTTGGGAAGCCACTCGGGATCCCAATGAACAGGATGACTATCGCGGGGCTCGAGGTCACGTGATGTGCCATC